TTGTACCTTATATCTACCCAATGATTGAAATCTGTACAAAACATCTACCTTACAACATATTTACATTGTACACCATATTTACCCAATAATTAAATCAACACTGTACAAGATATCTACTTTATCATAGAATATTTCCCTTTTAAAAATATCTGCCCAAACATAAAAATATCTTTTTTGTAATCAACTCAGTCGTAAACATCTACCTATAAACGAAACATGTATTTTTTACCAATTAACACTAGACATTGAATGGAGCACCCTATGAAGATAACATACAATTATAGACAGAACCCGAACATAACCTCTTGTGGAAAGCCTGTCGTCCGCTTAATTTCTCCATGATAGATTGTACCTGGACATTTTATACCAGACCTGTTGCTGTTAGCCCTCACGTCCGCTTTCCTACATTATAGATCGTACCTGGATCCTACCTAGACATAATCTCTATGTGTTGTATATCAGACCTTTTGGTGTCAGTCCTGTCGTCCGTTTTCCTTCATTATGGTCCGTACCTGGATCCTACCCATGCATAATTTATTTGTTTACACAAGGCATTTTAGTGTCAGTCCTGTCGTCCGTTTTCCTTCATTATGGTCTGTACCTGGATTCTACCTATGCATAATTTATTTGTTTATACAAGGCATTTTGGTGTCAGTCCTGTCGTCCATTTTCCTTCATTATGGTCTGTACCTGGATCCTACCTCGACATAATCTCTATGTATTTTACTATCTTTTGGAACATTTTCTAGAGGTTTGTAATGTCAATAGATTTTCTCTGATAAAGGTGACCGTGTAGACATAAAAACGTCACAATCTTATCTTATCTTCTACTTTATCAGAACTTCTGATCTACTCTTTTTTATGTGAATATCTGGGTTTGGTATTTGTTGACTGTTTAAACAATCCTTTTTATCGCCAGACCTATCATACTATCTCACGGTATGTTAATTCAATGTATACGTGTTGATACAAGAACTGGTATCGTTTATATAAACAAAGTGGAGGGATTACTAGTAAGATCTAGTAAGGTAAGGAAACCTGTCATTATAGTCATTTGATATATAAACATGTAGGTATGAAAAACCAGATATAGTCTACGTCCATATTTTTAACTTGTTTGTTTGCTTTGATTTAGGGTAAAATAATGGTTTATAAGATAAATCATCATTCTCGTCTTGGTGTATTCGGCGTGATATAATTACAACATTCGAAAGATTCATTTGAGAAATATGACAAATGTTTTAGCAGTAAGTAGTTGCCTCTGTGTTTGCTACAATGTATGACATCATTAAAATGATATTCACGTTATGGTCAATGTATTATGATATAATAATTGATATTGTTTTACTATAATTTATTGTGACTCATTCTTATATTGTGTTGGTGGCATTGAACCTTGACGTAACCGTCATTGATAGTGATATAACGTTTATACATTATGTGACAGAATGGTTAAATATATCGGCAAAGTCATCAAATAGTGAAGATTACATGTACGTTGTGTTCTCATTGTGTTCTCGCTCTGTTCTCGTTGTGTTCTCGTTCTGTACCATTAGTTCGGTTGGTGTGGTAAGTGTGAGCATGCGTCTGGAGAACGATAGAGTGAGTAAGCTCCAGACTTGGAGCTCAAAATGTAATTTGTTTGAAATGTATGTAGTTATGGTCAATATTGCACAAACTTTATCATATGGAAGTCAATAAAGAATCCGTCGACAGTATATACAAAGTGAAATGTTATGATGTAAACGCTTGGGGCATGGAGGACAGCAGCATGACTTTATCAACATACAACTGGAATGAATGACGGGTTACACTGTAAACATACCATCACAGTGATGAATGAGGGGTCACACTGTAAACATACCATCACAGTGATGAATGAGGGACTACACTGTAAACATACCATCACAGTGATGAATGAGGGACTACACTGTAAACATACCATCACAGTGATGAATGAGGGACTACACTGTAAACATACCATCACAGTGATGAATGAGAGACTACACTGTAAACATACCATCACAGTGATGAATGAGAGACTACACTGTAAACATACCATCACAGTGATGAATGAGGGACTACACTGTAAACATACCATCACAGTGATGAGTGAGGGACTACACTGTAAACATACCATCACAGTGATGAATGAGGGACTACACTGTAAACATACCATCACAGTGATGAATGAGGGACTACACTGTAAACATACCATCACAGTGATGAATGAGGGACTACACTGTAAACATACCATCACAGTGATGAATGAGAGGTTACACTGTAAACATACCATCACAGTGATGAATGAGGGGTCACACTGTAAACATACCATCACAGTGATGAATGAGGGACTACACTGTAAACATACCATCACAGTGATGAATGAGAGGTTACACTGTAAACATACCATCACAGTGATGAATGAGAGACTACACTGTAAACATACCATCACAGTGATGAATGAGGGAATACACTGTAAACATACCATCACAGTGATGAATGAAGGGATACACTGTAAACATACCATCACAGTGATGAATGAGAGACTACACTGTAAACATACCATCACAGTGGTGAATGAGAGACTACACTGTAAACATACCATCACAGTGATGAATGAAGGGATACACTGTAACTGTAAACATACCATCACAGTGATGAATGAGGGGATACACTGTAAACATACCATCAGAGTGATGAATGAGGGACTACACTGTAAACATACCATCACAGTGATGAATGAGGGGATACACTGTAAACATACCACCACAGTGATGAATGAAGGACTACACTGTAAACATACCATCACAGTGATGAATGAGAGACTACACTGTAAACATACCATCACAGTGGTGAATGAGAGACTACACTGTAAACATACCATCACAGTGATGAATGAAGGGATACACTGTAAACATACCATCACCGTGATGAATGAGGGGATACACTGTAAACATACCATCGCAGTGATGAATGAGAGACTACACTGTAAACATACCATCACAGTGATGAGTGAGAGGTTACACTGTAAACATACCATCGCAGTGATGAATGAGAGACTACACTGTAAACATACCATCACAGTGATGAGTGAGGGACTACACTGTAAACATACCATCACAGTGATGAATGAAGGGATACACTGTAAACATACCATCACAGTGATGAATGAGGGACTACACTGTAAACACACCATCACAGTGATGAATGAGAGACTACACTGTAAACATACCATCACAGTGATGAATGAGAGACTACACTGTAAACATACCATCACAGTGATGAATGAGAGACTACACTGTAAACATACCATCACAGTGATGAATGAGGGGATACACTGTAAACATACCATCAGAGTGATGAATGAGGGACTACACTGAAGGACTACACTGTAAACATACCATCACAGTGATGAATGAGAAGTTACACTGTAAACATACCATCACAGTGATGAATGAGGGACTACACTGTAAACATACCATCACAGTGATGAATGAGGGACTACACTGTAAACATACCATCACAGTGATGAATGAGTGACTACACTGTAAACATACCATCACAGTGATGAATGAGGGACTACACTGTAAACATACCATCACAGTGATGAGTGAGGGACTACACTGTAAACATACCATCACAGTGATGAATGAAGGACTACATTGTAAACATACCAACACATCATACTGCCTGCCACAGTTATATGAAAACAATGTGTACATACTAGTTGTCTACTCGTCAGGCCCCTGGAATCAGAGACGAGAGAACTAAATCCCGTCTTGTTATTAAATCCATTTCTACTGACCACTCCTTGAGACTAGGGGTTGTAAACAATGCTGATGGGCATTTCCATTTGTGAAAAATGAAACAATTATGTTTGTATTTCAAATAGAGTTTGCCAGTGTTAAAAAGACAGGAGTTTAGTGACAAGAACACCAGTCTCTGTTTACTGATAGAATTGTAATAAAAAAAAGTTACATTCTTGACATACATGTGTTACCATGAAATATAGCAGTGGAGAAAACCAGACAAGGGAGATATTAACTGAAACAGGTATGTACATGTGATATCTACGTCTTACGGTAAACGGTATAAAACGAGGACCGGGATGTATCCGTGTTCGTGCATATTCAACACTTTTCTATCACCAAGGCCCAGTATGTTTTTATTTATTTTTTTACAAGAAACGATATTTTATACTGATGACAAGTCTAAATGACACCAATGACGCGGTAATGAAGACAAACGACCTTTAATGATAGGAAACCCTGACTCAAACTTCCGCATTCCATTTAGTGTCATCAATTAGATACGGCATTGTTACATAGGACCATTCAGGTAGGCACTGTACAGTACTATTTTTCTACCAGATGTAACAAAAATCACAATACAAACACTATACTATCGCTGGATATATCTTTCTATATGTATTCTTATCAGCTCACTGACTTCGTGTGGTGTCCTTCATCCGCTCACTGACTTTGTGTGGTGTAATACATCCGCTCACTGACTTCATGTGGTGTCCTTCATCCGCTCACTGACTTTGTGTGGTGTCCTACATCCACTCACCGACTTTTTGTGGTGTCCTACATCCGCTCACTGACTTTGTGTGGTGTCCTTCATCCGCTCACTGACTTTGTGTGGTGTAATACATCCGCTCACTGACTTTGTTTGGTGTCCTACATCCGCTCACTGACTTTGTGTGGTGTCCTACATCCGCTCACTGACTTCGTGTGGTGTCCTTCATCCGCTCACCGACTTTTTGTGGTGTCCTACATCCGCTCACCGACTTTTTGTGGTGTCCTACATCCGCTCACCGACTTTGTGTGGTGTCCTACATCCGCTCACCGACTTTTTGTGGTTCCTACATCCGCTCACCGACTTTTTGTGGTTCCTACATCCGCTCACCGACTTTGTGTGGTGTCCTACATCCGCTCACCGACTTTGTGTGGTGTCCTACATCCGCTCACCGACTTTGTGTGGTGTCCTACATCCGCCCACTAAAGATCAAGGTAAGCAACTGAAGTAGGAAAGTGTGGCCTGTCTGGAGGGCATACCTGATGATTATTAAATACCGTGTTATTTATAGACATATATATTATAAATGCTGTCGATATAAGTAATTGTTAATTCCAGGAACTTGACACGGGAATTGGTACTCGTTATTCATTTGCTCTTCAATAAATCCAGCATTTTATGAAAGCCAAAAAGGCATTAACCAAGACAGGGCCAGATAAAGCGCTCTTAGTGTGTCAGTATAACCAACTATTAGTAATGATGTCATGTTCCTTGCTGACACCTAACTTTATAAATCCCTTTTAGCCACTTGAAACCGTGCCGAACAGGTCATTCATCTCACTTGATCCTGTATTTAAAACTAAAGGCCGTGTAGCAACTGTCGTCCCCAGCTAATCCTATTAAGTGTAAGTATCATGTAGGAAAAATTAACTTGATATCATTTTAAAGATTCACTTTGTTTCCCCAATAAGGCCAAGTCTCTGTGCCTGACTATTACGCGAAGCCTATCTACCTGACTATAAGGCCAAGCCTCTCTACCTGACTATAAGGCCAAGCCTCTCTACCTGACTATAAGGCCAAGCCTCTGTGCCTGACTATAACACCAAGCCTATCTACCTGACTATAAGGTCAAGTCTCTGTGTCTGACTATAAGGCCAAGCCTCTGTGTCTGACTATAAGGTCAAGCCCCTGTGTCTGACTATAACGCCAAGCCTATCTACCTGACTATAAGGCCAAGCCTCTGTGTCTGACTATAAGGCCAAGCCTCTGTGTCTGACTATAAGGCCAAGCCTCTGTGCCTGACTATAACGCCAAGCCTATCTACCTGACTATAAGGTCAAGTCTCTGTGTCTGACTATAAGGCCAAAGGCCAAGTCTCTGTGTCTGACTATAAGGCCAAGCCCCTGTGTCTGACTATAAGGCCAAGCCTCTGTGTCTGACTATAAGACCAAGCCTCTGTGCCTGACTATAACGCCAAGCCTATCTACCTGACTATAAGGTCAAGTCTCTGTGTCTGACTATAAGGCCAAGTCTCTGTGCCTGACTATTACGCCAAGCCTATCTACCTGACTATAAGGTCAAGCCCCTGTGTCTGACTATAACGCCAAGCCTCTCTACCTGACTATTACGCCAAGCCTATCTACCTGACTATAAGGCAAAGTCTCTGTGCCTGACTATAAGACCAAGTCTCTGTGCCTGACTATAACGCCAAGCCTCTGTGTCTGACTATAAGACCAAGTCTCTGTGCCTGACTATAAGGCCAAGCCTCTGTGTCTGACTATAAGGCTAATCCTATCTGCCTGATTATAAGACCACGCCTCTGTGCCTGACTATAAGGCCAAACCTCTATACCTGATTATAAGACCAAGCCTCTGTGCCAGACTATAACGCCAAGCCTATCTACCTGACTATAAGGTCAAGTCTCTGTGCCTGACTATAAGGCCAAGCCTCTCTACCTGACTATTACGCCAAGCCTATCTACCTGACTATAAGACCAAGTCTCTGTGCCTGACTATAAGGTCAAGCCTCTGTGTCTGACTATAAGGCCAAGCCTCTGTGCCTGACTGTAAGGCCAAGCCTATCTACCTGACTATAAGGCTAATCCTATCTGCCTGATTATAAGACCACGCCTCTGTGCCTGACTATAAGACCACGCCTCTGTGCCTGACTATAAGACCAAGCCTCTGTGTCTGACTATAAGACCAAGCCTCTGTGCCTGACTATAAGGCCAAGCCCCTGTGTCTGACTATAAGACCAAGCCTCTGTGTCTGACTATAAGACCAAGCCTCTGTGTCTGACTATAAGGCTAATCCTATCTGCCTGATTATAAGACCACGCCTCTGTGCCTGACTATAAAACTAAGCCTCTCTACCTGACTATAACGCCAAGCCTCTCTACCTGACTATTACGCCAAGCCTATCTACCTGACTATAAGGCAAAGTCTTTGTACCTGACTATAAGACCAAGCCTCTGTGTCTGACTATAAGACCAAGCCCCTGTGTCTGACTATAAGGCCAAGCCCCTGTGTCTGACTATAAGGCCAAGCCCCTGTGTCTGACTATAAGGCTAATCCTATCTGCCTGATTGTAAGACCACGCCTCTGTGCCTGACTATAAGGCCAAACCTCTATACCTGATTATAAGACCAAGCCTCTGTGCCTGACTATAACGCCAAGCCTATCTACCTGACTATAAGACCAAGTCTCTGTGTCTGACTATAAGGCCAAGCCTATCTACCTGACTATAAGACCAAGTCTCTGTGTCTGACTATAAGGCCAAGCCACTCTACCTGACTATAAGGCCAAGCCTCTCTACCTGACTATTACGCCAAGCCTATCTACCTGACTATAAGGCCAAGCCTCTGTGTCTGACTATAAGGTCAAGCCCCTGTGTCTGACTATAAGACCAAGTCTCTGTGTCTGACTATAAGGCCAAGCCTCTGTGTCTGACTATAAGGCCAAGCCTCTGTGTCTGACTATAAGGCCAAGCCTCTGTGTCTGACTATAAGGCCAAGCCTCTGTGTCTGACTATAACGCCAAGCCTCTGTGTCTGACTATAAGGCCAAGCCTCTGTGTCTGACTATAAGGCCAAGCCTCTGTGTCTGACTATAAGGCCAAGCCTCTGTGTCTGACTATAATGTCAAGCATCTGTGTGTGATTATAAGGTCAAGCCTATCAGCTTGACTATAAGACCAAGCCTCTGTGCCTGACTATACGGCCAAGCCTATCTACCTGACTATAAGGCCAAGCATCTGTGCCTGACTATAAGACCAAGCCTCTGTGCCTGACTATAAGACCAAGCCTCTGTGTCTGACTATAAGGCCAAGCCTCTGTGTCTGACTATAAGACCAAGCCTTTGTGTCTGACTATAAGGCCAAGTCTCTGTGCCTGACTATAAGGCCAAGCCTCTGTGTCTGACTATAAGACCAAGCCTTTGTGTCTGACTATAAGGCCAAGTCTCTGTGCCTGACTATAAGGCCAAGTCTCTGTGTCTGACTATAAGGCCAAGCCTCTGTGTCTGACTATAACGCCAAGCCTCTGTGTCTGACTATAACGCCAAGCCTCTGTGTCTGACTATAAGACCAAGCCTTTGTGTCTGACTATAAGGCCGAGTCTCTGTGCCTGACTATAAGACCAAGTCTCTGTGCCTGAATGGGGTTCACGCCTACAAAACTGTGTTCCTTCCCAGAAAGATTTTCAGGCCAAATTAGGACAGAATTTGATCATTCTTACAGATGCCCCATCATAAATACAACATTGAATTTCTGTAATCTAAGGATATTTAAGACTAAATTTGGAAATAATAATCATCATCTCACCAGAGGAACAGTGATATGAAGTCTGCTTTCTCATATGGTGGTCCATTCACTAGTTTAAGCCTTATTATTAAAGTCTAGGGGTGCATGATTATCATTGGGTTTTTTTTTTACGTTTTTTTTAGAATAACGGGCACCTTGCTTTACAAAAATTGAATATCATTATAGTATATACTTGTTTTAAATACTTTTGGTTTATTTGTGTGTTTTACGTTTATAGAATTACCATGTTCGCATGCTATTTCCATGGAAGCCCCCTTTCTATGTTGCACCGGTGTGAAATTGTTGTTCCTATAGGCCTGTAAGGAAGCAATACTCTCGTTGTTGGTCATGTTCTTTGCAAATGCTTCGTGCTGTGTCGATATGAGAAGTGAAGTAAATTTGTTTTTATTCATAATTATTACCATTTTCCTTTCTGCCATCCCTACACCAGTCATCGCCATGAAGAAATGGAACCATCACCCGAAGGAGGAGGAGGAAGTGAACGACCATGCTGTGGAACAAGCAGAGGAAATGCCGAACAAAGAAGGGCAGGAAAACGATGAAACCAACTCAATGATCAAAATATATAGTGTTGAAAATGAACATTCCATTGAAAATCTGAGTCCTCAATCATCTTTAGTATCTCCTTATAACGGCCTAAACGCAATGAACTGTAACGAGTGTAAGTAACTAATTACCTTTGACTATTAACACCAATATATAACTGTAGCATGATGTCTTACCTCTCTTTAGTGTTAAAATGTTGCCGATCTACATTAACAAGGTCCCTCAGCTCTTCACGTTCTTTTGGAATCAAAAGATATCTAAATATCAATCAGGGACCCAATGCACCTTCTCATTTTTATTTTTGCAAAGGCGAAACAAGTGTATTGTGCAGTTTGTTATTATCAACCAAAACGTGCTGAATGTTCTCTGATATTATCCACCAACACGTGCTGAATGTTCTCTGATATTATCCACCAACACGTGCTGAATGTTCTCTGATATTATCCACCAACACGTGCTGAATGTTCTCTGATATTATCCACCAACACGTGCTGAATGTTCTCTGATATTATCCACCAACACGTGCTGAATGTTCTCTGATATTATCCACCAACACGTGCTGAATGTTCTCTGATATTATCCACCAACACGTGCTGAATGTTCTCTGATATTATCCACCAACACGTGCTGAATGTTCTCTGATATTATCCACCAACAGGTGTTGAATGTTCTCTGATATTATCCACCAACACGTGCTGAATGTTCTCTGATATTATCCACCAACACGTGCTGAATGTTCCCTGATATTATCCACCAACACGTGCTGAATGTTCTCTGATATTATCCACCAACAGGTGCTGAATGTTCTCTGATATTATCCACCAACAGGTGCTGAATGTTCTCTGATATTATCCACCAACACGTGCTGAATGTTCTCTGATATTATCCACCAACACGTGCTGAATGTTCTCTGATATTATCCACCAACAGGTGCTGAATGTTCTCTGATATTATCCACCAACAGGTGCTGAATGTTCTCTGATATTATCCACCAACACGTGCTGAATGTTCTCTGATATTATCCACCAACACGTGCTGAATGTTCTCTGATATTATCCACCAACACGTGCTGAATGTTCTCTGATATTATCCACCAACAGGTGCTGAATGTTCTCTGATATTATCCACCAACAGGTGCTGAATGTTCTCTGATATTATCCACCAACACGTGCTGAATGTTCTCTGATATTATCCACCAACAGGTGCTGAATGTTCTCTGATATTATCCACCAACACGTGCTGAATGTTCTCTGATATTATCCACCAACACGTGCTGAATGTTCTCTGATATTATCCACCAACACGTGCTGAATGTTCTCTGATATTATCCACCAACAGGTGCTGAATGTTCTCTGATATTATCCACCAACACGTGCTGAATGTTCTCTGATATTATCCACCAACAGGTGCTGAATGTTCTCTGATAAGGGATTCAATCCGGGACTCTCCGGATTCCATTATTTTCTGGAGCTCAATCCGGACGGGTCCAAAGGAGTTCGGGTGTCACCGGAAGGTATCTTGTGTTGGTTTCAATGTAGTCGTTTATTTGGCGATATGAAGAATACGTTACCTTACGATCAAGAAACCAGAACATTTCCGTATTTCACATTCTGATGGGGTTTTTTTTTTAGGCTAAACGTACTCAGTACGCATAGCCTATTGCGACGGCCTTTCAGACAAAATTTACCGATCCTGGCCTTCTCATTGGCTGAAATATCGAAAACAGTTAGAGCCCTCTAGCGGCAATTTTCTTCGTAAATAATGCCGCGATTTTTCAAATCACTTTTTTAAAAGCATCCAAAATTAGTTTATTTTTTTAATAACAATACGATTACTATATATTTCAAAAAAGAAGCACAGTGTGGTTGAACTATTGATAAATTTTAACAATATATTTTGAACTGTTCGTCCTACGCGCACACCCGCCGATATGACACTTTTTCAAGTTTTTGTAGATAAAACGTTTGCGCTTCGTAGGCAAGGTACATTTGGTGCTCATGGTGTATGAATGATATATTTTTTTTAATACTGTACTGATCATGATGTTGACTTTGTTTTAACTTATATTTTTTACCTTTTAGTTTTATTTTATGATGGTTGATTGTGCTGATTTCTCAAGGTTAATGTGTATCAAAGTTCCTTGAAATGAAAATATTCCTTCAAACAAAGCGCGTATAAAAAAACCCAAAATATTCATGTTTATAATTATCAATTAACTAAAACGAAATATTTCCATAACATATCTATTCATTTAGCGTGTCATGGTGACATTATCTAATGCATTGGAGATCAGAAATAGTAGTAGCTATAGTGAAAATATTGTAAATTTTGTATATATATGGAAGGCTGGTTTAATCTCATAGAACTATGTCTTTATAGACATAATCACTGGAAGAAAAGTCTAACCATGATATTTCAAAGAAGATAGGCATGTAAATACATTTAATGTAATTACTTACACTTTAATCTATCTGAAATGCTGTGTACACCTTATCTACTTTCCTCAACCACAAAATGGACTATTACTTTGCAATACATTCAAAATAAAGAACTCCTCATATTGATAGGATAGTAATTGCAACATCTTGGTATTTCAAAGGTTTTATTTCGTCAACTTCATCATAGAGCTATTTATCATTTGGCTTGTTGGCGATAAATATATGGTTGTGTCTATTTTATTTTATTTTTTTTACCTATTTTGATTCACATTATTGTCGTCAAATTTGAAATAAGAATTAAAGAAGATAAAAAATCTCTTAAAATTAAGGAAAATAGCCTCTGGTTCTCTTATTTTAGTAATTTTTGCATTCCAAAGTGTAGGAGTATGGGGAAAGTAATATAGCTTAGCGGTTATTTGTGAACATTTTTTCAATACGTTTAGCCTCTCAGTACTTTCAGTACTTTGATATCTACGATTTAACACGACCATTCTGATAACAAAGTAACAAATACTTCTTGGACAATTCGAAAATGACTCATGATCAGTTATACGGCACTCTCGTTAATTTTCTTTAATGGCTGTTTGTCTTTAGTAACCGTTTATACGTAACACAGCGGTGTGTTGCCTATAGACCTATCAATTGCTGGGGATCGCTTTACACGGGCTCGCGTATGTTGATGGTATCTCCTTTGTCTAGCGCAGTCATCGTTGTTTGTCTTAAGACTGTTTTACACATTGTGTTATGAATTCACTCATGATATCATATTCTTCAAAAACTACCTATAAAAATGCCAATCGTCAACAAGTTTTAGATTAAACATCGGACATACATATATGTGAGACCACCCTTTCGCCGTTAACAATAAACATCTGCGCTTGAATACTGCAAAACGTTAACATCGTTGTAAAGTATTTAACTTGCATGTAAACATTACAAAACACACATAACGACGAGTCTTGACAACGCGTAAGTTATTTTATATCGATGTTTGCACGTAAGATTTATATCCTTGAGTGAATACGTTGATCCCGGACATATTTAGTGGATACTCAGGAACACAAACGTACCATCAAGTTCTACATTTAATTACAGCTTAGTTCTTAACAGCCATGGTTAAAGATAAAAGGACAATTTTGGAAATAAAAAGCTTGTGTACACAGATATTTCAGAAAACATTGGAAGATTTAGTTGATATTTTAGCATATCCAAACCATAGCATCACACTGTCAAATTTTACATCCGATTAGATTTGCCGAACATCATTCAATATCAAAGGTTAAAGGTCACACTTGAACATCTTTGAAATAAAAGGCTGCATTCAAGATAAAATTTATGTATTAAACTTCTCATTAGAGTTAAAAATCGATGTATCAGGATGGGGGCGTGTCTGTTGTCGATACAGTTGTAGCTGTTTATCTGCACGTATATTCTAGAGAAAGCTTAAATCGAGGTCAATATTTGTTAATATCACAGTGTCACCCTGTGTATACAAGATACATACCAGACTATAACATTCCTTACACAGTATTTGATAGACCTCGTGGGCGGACAGAAAATGATACATACAATATGCTTGTAATCCTACACAATAGATACTTAAATACGTGATCTGTGATCCCGGACAGACCTACAGTGTATGTCTCATATGTTACAGTATTGGTGACCTTTGACCCCTGACAGACCTCCAGTGTATATCTCATATGTTACAGTATTGGTGACCTTTGACCCCTGACAGACCTCCAGTGTATATTTCATATGTTACAGTATTGGTGACCTATGACCCCCTGACAGACATGCAGTGTATGTCTCATATGTTACAGTAATGGTAATAAGATGTAATGTATGTTAGCGGTGTATATCAAATCTTGTAAGGCAGCAACAGACAGCGACGGGGAGGAAATAAAACGACTGAGTACTTGTCTTACACCTATAAAAATTCATCAATTGCGGTTTGAGAAAATTTAATTTGATATGAAAAACTGAAATTTGATACTTAAAGAAGATTTAACCTAAGAGTTACAATAACAACGTGGTTTAAACAATTTTGGATAAAATACAACATAAAAGATTAAATATGTTTGTTTCAAACCTAAGCTAATATCTTACTTCATCAAGATATATCAAAGACGGTGTATTTAATAAGTTCCTGATTAGAGATTTTAAATTTCTGGAAATTTGTTTAATAACTGCATCGAGAATCGGCACTGTGGTAAAACGGACGTTAACTCTGTAATCATCCCCATAACACAAATATCATCGTCAAAAAATGTGTTTTATAGTTCTCTTTACAACACTAAAGATTCGCCATCATCACCCATAATAATAAAATTCAACCATATTTATAAAAACAATAACAACATGTTATTAATTTTAATTTAAAATCGATGAAATTAGGCAGAACTATGTACAAAAGAACGATTCACATGGAGACTTGAATATTGTAGATAGATGTGATATCTCTAAATAGAACTGTGAATATTTTTTGTCAGTTGTCGACAACCTCGAAGCTTAAAGTTTACCTTTAGATAACCAGTATGATGTATGAGGGATCCTCACGCGCATTTACAACGAACCTCTTGAAAGCTGAAAGTTGGAAATTATAAATTCTGATGAGAACTAAGAGAACTTACTCTTTCTTAGTAGTACCATGCCAGCCTTATTGTGTTTAGAGTTCATGATTTATTATGTATCAGTAATCAAACCGACCTCTAGTTTTTAAGTTCGATCTGTGATAACGTGACATCTTTAGACCTAATCAAGTGTTGGGCGATGATGAAAAGAAAAAAAAAAGAAGTGGGAGGAAGGGGGTAGCTTTCAGCAAGTTAGTTGTTTACCTTGGTATATTTATATATAATATACTCGATAAGCTTATTTAATAAGAGTTAATAGCAAAGCTGTGAATGCTTAATGATTTGGACAATAAATTGATCGGTTCTGAAAAGTCAATCGCTTCAATAGTACCAACTAGAAACAACTTAAAATATGAAACAAGACGATTGGGGAAGCATTAATGGTATCGCGTAAACATTTTTGTTTTGCCTTTTTATGTCCACATTAAAGTACATAGCTCATGTACTGGCTGCCTTGACCGACTTTGCCTACGATCCCTGTCTAGAAGATGGAAAGACAATATCGCTGCTTAAACAGCTTCTACATGTTGACCATACAGGTATGGACTATTTAGTGTCTTAATTCTTCACCTGGTCATCTCAGGTATGGAATATCTAGTTTTTGAATATCTCACCTGATCATTTAAGGTGTGGAATACTAATCTGATAGGTAAAGTGCGAAGTCGTGTCAAAGTGTTATGGAATCCTCGCGTGTCATACGTAACACAAGCCGTTACACAGGTATGGAATCCTTGCATGTCATGTTAACACAAGCCGTTCCACAGGTATGGAATCCTCGCGTGACATACGTAACACAAGCCGTTCCACAGGTATGGAATCCTTGCGCGTCATTGTTAACACAAACCGTTCCACAGGTATGGAATCCTCGCGTGTCATTTGTAACACAAGCCGTTCCACAGGTATGAAATTCTTGCATGTCATTATTAACACAAGCCGTTCCACAGGTATGGAATCCTCGCGTGACATACGTAACACAGCCGTTTGGTTAACGTAACACAATCCGTTCCACAGGTATGGAATCCTCGCGAGTCATTGGTAACACAAGCCTTTCCACAGGTATGGAATCCTCGCTTGTCATTCGTAACACAAGCCGTTCCACAGGTATGGAATCCTCGCGTGTCATTCGTAACACAAGCCGTTCCACAGGTATGGAATCCTCGCGAGTCATTGGTAACACAAGCCGTTCCACCGGTATGGAATCCTCGCTTGTCATTCGTAACACAAGCCGTTCCACAGGTATGGAATCCTCGCTTGTCATACGTAACACAAGCCGTTCCACAGGTATGGAATCCTCGCGTGTCATACGTAACACAAGCCGTTCCACAGGTAAGGAATCCTCGCGTGTCATTCGTAACACAAGCCGTTCCACAGGTATGGAATCCTCGCGTGTCATTCGTAACACAAGCCGTTCCACAGGTAAGGAATCCTCGCGTGTCATTCGTAACACAAGCCGTTCCACAGGTATGGAATCCTCGCGTGTCATTCGTAACACAAGCCGTTCCACAGGTATGGAACCCTCGTGGAGCGTACTGGCATTGAAGTACGTAGTGAGCGAGATGGTAAGAAGCCGACCAACTTTCTCGGCTGTATTATTATCGTATGTACACAAAGGTCTAAAATAGTGTGACGAGATGGTAAATGGATTTTAGACAAAGTACAAAAGATGGTAACAATGTATTGTTGTTGATTCGGCTACGCTTTGTTTTACGCTTTTTCGTAGATGGACGAAAGCCTCGTCCCTGTTTAGCACTGGCCTGCCACGGTGTATCCAGTTGGCCTCCTTAACCAGCCGCCTGAAAATGTTGTTGACTATCGCGAAATTTCATTTTATATGATGCCGTGCTGTGTGATAAGTGCTTACTTATTTATCTGCGACTGATAATGCCTTCGTTCTGATCTCGAGATTTCTTTTGCCTTCTTGGGATTTCGCATCTTTCAGATGTTCATGGCCTCGGACCCCGAATCTCCTGCCTGTTTCTCCGTTATATGGTGCATCACAGTTCTTGCATCCGATTGTGTATCGGCATTCGGCAACGTTCTCTCTGGGTTTTTTATCCTCAGGATGGACTGTGACAGTTCGGAGAGTCTTGTGAGGTTTCATGACTGTTACAATGTCATGACCACGGTAAACCCTCTTAATGGTTTCTGAAAGGCCTTTTGGTGTAAGGGAGGACCACCTTTCATTACCCGAACAAAAAGATACCAAAATACCGATATAATTGTTTACTCTGAAGCCTTACTTGGTGTATAACCTCGTGATTCGTCTGTGGCCTGGCACGTATATCTGGTCTTATGTCGTAACTGTTACATATCAAACGTGTTACTTTTTCTACAGATGCCGCAGCGAAAGTTGAGTACTCGCGCTTCGCACGCCTGATAAAGTATTTCGGTCCAGTAAGGAGGAAAGATTGTACAATGTTAAAACAGGTAAATATCAAGACTGAGCACCATTTTTTGACTGAGCACAATTTTGTGACTGAGTTACCATTTTGTGACTGAGCACCATTTTGTGACTGAGTTACCATTTTGTGACTGAGTTACCATTTTGTGACTGAGCACCATTTTGTGACTGAGTTACCATTTTTGTGACTGAGTTACCATTTTGTGACTGAGCACCATTTTGTGACTGAGTTACCATTTTGTGACTGAGCACCTTTTTGTGACTGAGTTACCATTTTGTGACTGAGTTACCATTTTGTGACTGAGCACCATTTTGTGACCTAGTTACCATTTTGTGACTGAGCACCATTTTTTGACTGAGCACAATTTTGTGACTGAGTTACCATTTTGTGACTGAGCACCATTTTGTGACTGAGTTACCATTTTGTGACTGAGTTACCATTTTGTGACCTAGTTACCATTTTGTGACTGAGTTACCATTTTGTGACTGAGTTACCATTTTGTGACTGAGCACCATTTTGTGACTGAGTTACCATTTTGTGACTGAGCACCATTTTGTGACTGAGTTACCATTTTGTGACTGAGTTACCATTTTCTGACTGAGTTACCATTTTCTGACTGAGTTACCATTTTTACGCGATTTATGAAATCAATTTCATTATTCTGAATATCTGTCAAGGTAAAATTGGAAATTTCTTGACAAGTTTCCTATATCACGTGTCAGATCGACACTAATGTAAAATTTGATTTCTCATTTCATTTTTGTGATCTTTCATGATAACAACATTTAGTAGACTGATAAAAAAAACTTATTTTTTAGTGGTCGTCTATTTCAGCAATAGTTCCGATCATCGATGGTTTAGATCATCGATAGATTAGATCGGATCATCGATAGTAAAAATCGATTATTAAATGGGGTAATATAATCAAGCCACTATGTATTGTGGTCACTTTTAATTCACTTCATTATGTTCCAGATTCACACCATTGTACAAAAGTCGTCTGTATTCACGAACAAAACTCGTCAGGACACAGTGAGGTGCGTATATTATGTACATATAAAAACAAAAGGAAAGGTATGTTTTAACAAAATCATAATTCTCAAAACTCAAATTCCAATAAAATAGAGGAAAATGGGGATATTTTAATGGTTGACTATTGAAAAAGTACAGATGCAATAAAACCAGGTGTTCCAGAAGGTTAAATGTCTTTACCTGTTGATTAATAAATGTTACTTTCTTGTTATCATAAAAAAAAACACAAAAATACCAACATGTCAACTTAGGAATAATCCAAACTCAAAATCAATAAAAACTAGGCAACAGACAGATTTATACGGAGACTCCAGAAAATGTACAAGGGGAATAAGACCAGGTGTTCCGGAAGCGTAATCAACTTCTGCTTCATCGACGATACCTGCCATGTAAACCTTGGTCAATCAAAGTAGGTAACGTCACGTTATAAATGAGAATAAGGTATACAACAACGGAATCAACAGACAAACTAACGGAAATCAAACACACAGTTTCATATATCATTGAGAGCTTGATGACGACCGTAAAACTTTCCCATAATTTTCATCGACCTGCATCTTTCGAAACCATGTGTTGTGGGCGTGTCTGTTGGTTGTTAAAATTTTTAACAAAATCGTGATATTGAAACCATGATCTTGAATATCGAATCAACCATGAATCATAAAAATCCAGATTGTTGCTATCAAGAAATGGGAATCGTACAGCTTAGTGGAAACTGCCCATGTCGGTTTCGTTGTAGGAAAAGATCGCGCCTAATGCAGAACAGTCTGTTGAGTCCTTCATTTCTAAATCTGGTGGCTAATATAGAACAGTATGTCGAGTCCTTCATTTCTAAATCTGGTGGCTAATATAGAACAGTCTGTCGAGTCCTTCATTTCTAAATCTGGTGACTTACATAGAACAGTCTGTCGAGTGCTTCATTTCTAAATCTGGTGGCTATTATAGAACAGTCTGTCGAGTCCTTCATTTCTAAATCTGGTGGCTATTATAGAACAGGCTGTCGAGTCCTTCATTTCTAAATCTGGTGGCTATTAGTCTGTCGAGTCCTTCATTTCTAAATCTGGTGGCTAATATAGAACAGGCTGTCGAGTCCTTCATATCTAAATCTGGTGGCTAATATAGAATAGTCTGTCGAGTCCTTCATTTCTAAATCTGGTGGCTAATATAGAACAGTCTGTCGAGTCCTTCATTTCTAAATCTGGTGGCCATTATAGAACAGTCTGTCGAGTCCTTCATTTCTAAATCTGGTGACTAATATAGAACAGTCTGTCGAGTCCTTCATTTCTAAATCTGGTGACTTACATAGAACAGTCTGTCGAGTCCTTCATTTCTAAATCTGGTGGCTAATATAGAACAGTCTGTCGAGTCCTTCATTTCTAAATCTGGTGGCTAATATAGAACAGTCTGTTGAGTCCTTCATTTCTAAATCTGGTGACTTACATAGAACAGTCTGTTGAGTCCTTCATTTCTAAATCTGGTGACTTACATAGTACAGTCTGTCGAGTCCTTCATTTCTAAATCTGGTGGCTAATATAGAACAGTCTGTCGAGTCCTTCATTTCTAAATCTGGTGGCTAATATAGAACAGTCTGTCGAGTGCTTCATTTCTAAATCTGGTGACTTACATAGTACAGTCTGTCGAGTCCTTCATTTCTAAATCTGGTGACTTACATAGAACAGTCTGTTGAGTCCTTCATTTCTAAATCTGGTGGCTAATATAGAACAGTCTGTCGAGTCCTTCATTTCTAAATCTGGTGGCTAATATAGAACAGTCTGTCGAGTCCTTCATTTCTAAATCTGGTGGCTAATATAGTACATTCTGTCGAGTCCTTCATTTCTAAATCTGGTGGCTAATATAGAACAGTCTGTCGAGTCCTTCATTTCTAAATCTGGTGGCTATTATAGAACAGTCTGTCGAGTCCTTCATTTCTAAATCTGGTGACTTACATAGAACAGTCTGTCGAGTCCTTCATTTCTAAATCTGGTGGCTATTATAGAACAGTCTGTCGAGTCCTTCATTTCTAAATCTGGTGACTTACATAGAACAGTCTGTTGAGTCCTTCATTTCTAAATCTGGTGGCTAATATAGAACAGTCTGTCGAGTCCTTCATTTCTAAATCTGGTGGCTAATATAGAACAGTATGTCGAGTCCTTCATTTCTAAATCTGGTGGCTAATATAGAACAGTCTGTCGAGTCCTTCATTTCTAAATCTGGTGGCTAATATAGAACAGTCTGTCGAGTCCTTCATTTCTAAATCTGGTGGCTAATATAGAACAGTCTGTCGAGTCCTTCATTTCTAAATCTGGTGGCTAATATAGAACAGTCTGTCGAGTCCTTCATTTCTAAATCTGGTGACTAATATAGAATAGTCTGTCGAGTCCTTCATTTCTAAATCTGGTGGCTAATATAGAACAGTATGTCGAGTCCTTCATTTCTAAATCTGGTGGCTAATATAGAACAGTCTGTCGAGTCCTTCATTTCTAAATCTGGTGGGCTAATATAGAACAGTCTGTCGAGTCCTTCATTTCTAAATCTGGTGGCTAATATAGAACAGTCTGTCGAGTCCTTCATTTCTAAATCTGGTGGCTAATATAGAACAGTCTGTCGAGTCCTTCATTTCTAAATCTGGTTGCTAATAAAGAACAGTATGTCGAGTCCTTCATTTCTAAATCTGGTGGCTAATATAGAACAGTCTGTCGAGTCCTTCATTTCTAAATCTGGTTGCTAATATATAACAGTATGTCGAGTCCTTCATTTCTAAATCTGGTGGCTAATATAGAACAGTCTGTCGAGTCCTTCATTTCTAAATCTGGTTGCTAATTGCTGGCTAATATCCTTCATTTCTAAAATATAGAACAGTATGTCGAGTCCTTCATTTCTAAATCTGGTGGCTAATAAAGAACAGTATGTCGAGTCCTTCATTTCTAAATCTGGTGGCTAATATAGAACAGGCTGTCGATTCCTTCATTTCTAAATCTGGTGACTAATATATGTCGAGTCCTTCATTTCTAAACTGGTGGCTAATATAGAACAGTGTCGAGTCCTTCATTTCTAAAATCTGGTGGCTAATATAGAACAGTATGTCGAGTCCTTCATTTCTAAATCTGGTGGCTAATATAGAACAGTATGTCGAGTCCTTCATTTCTAAATCTGGTGGCTAATATAGAACAGTATGTCGAGTCCTTCATTTCTAAATCTGGTGGCTAATATAGAACAGTATGTCGAGTCCTTCATTTCTAAATCTGGTGACTAATATAGAACAGTCTGTCGAGTCCTTCATTTCTAAATCTGGTGGCTAATATAGAACAGTATGTCGAGTCCTTCATTTCTAAATCTGGTGGCTAATATAGAACAGTATGTCGAGTCCTTCATTTCTAAATCTGGTGGCTAATATAGAACAGTCTGTCGAGTCCTTCATTTCTAAATCTGGTGGCTAATATAGAACAGGCTGTCGAGTCCTTCATTTCTAAATCTGGTGGCTATTATAGAACAGTCTGTCGAGTCCTTCATTTCTAAATCTAGTGACTTACATAGTACATTCTGTCGAGTCCTTCATTCTGTCGAGTCCTTCATTTCTAAATCTGGTGGCTAATATAGAACAGTCTGTCGAGTCCTTCATTTCTAAATCTGGTGACTTACATAGAACAGTATGTCGAGTCCTTCATTTCTAAATCTGGTGGCTAATATAGAACAGTCTGTCGAGTCCTTCATTTCTAAATCTGGTGACTAAATGGCTAATAGAACAGTATGTCGAGTCCTTCATTTCTAAATCTGGTGGCTAATATAGAACAGTCTGTCGAGTCCTTCATTTCTAAATCTGGTGACTTACATAGAACAGTATGTCGAGTCCTTCATTTCTAAATCTGGTGGCTAATATAGAACAGTCTGTCGAGTCCTTCATTTCTAAATCTGGTGACTTACATAGAACAGTATGTCGAGTCCTTCATTTCTAAATCTGGTGGCCGACAATTCACATTGTTATTGGATTTTGCCCTTGCAATGTTAGCAAAGTGAAAAGTTAAAAGATATATATATATTATTGCATTGTTGTGATGTATAAATAAGTCAAATTCAGCATAATTAGTTGAAAGTATACATTACTTAAATATGCACTTTTTTCTGTAATCATCATTTACAACTCCAGTGTTTCAACTTCATTAAAAAACCGAGCAATGCACATATGTTTCTTGTATTTACAGTTGGTTTGCGGGAGACATGACGAGGGACCAAGCCGAGTCTTTACTACTAAATCAGGCCTGTGGAACATACCTTGTCAGGTAAGTTGTCTATAATCACGAAAGCGAATTTGTTTTTAAAGCAGCCATGGTTTTATTGATTTTCCTCAATAAATGCCAAATGATAATTGATCATTAATATGCATTAGCAAAGGAACATCAGTGATCGTCTGAAGATCAATCTTAAACTTAACTAAATATTCTAAACAACGACTTAAGTTTCTACTTTCACTAAAGGATGGAAAAACTCAATCGTTTTTTTTTTTTTTTTTTTAATTTTGATAGATTTTTTACCAACTAGGATTTCCGGTCCCTGTCAATGAGATGTGTTTGACAATAACAAATGAAATTACCGATCATGAATAATGTTCCTGCTATTTAATAGTTGTCTAAGACACGATTATAACCGGAACAAGGAAATAACGCCCTAGCAATCATACACAGACTTTCCGTCACTAAATACACCTATAGCTTGTCAGGTCTCATAATTTATATGACAGTCGACATTTTTGTCTGTTTTCTATATTTTGGGCCTATCATATTTTCATTAAGTGATTCTATATTTATAATATAATATGTTCCCTTTAGGATGAGTCAAAATTATGCCGGATATTTCGCTGTTTCCGTGATGTCAGGAGGAAAGGTGTATCATTTTGCAATCGAGGTGAGTCGAAAGAGACATGCTAAGTTAATGTTGCTTAAACCAAACAAATACCTACCAACATCAACCGAACTGAGACTAGATATAACGAGAACTAACATGATCAAATAAACTATTACCACATAGGCCTTTGAAAACATACAATGAGAATATAACCAGGTGTTCCAGAAGAGTAAGCGTCTCCTTCTTCATCAACGACACCTGCCATGTAAACCTTGATGATAAAAATAACTATGCTGCATACCCGACATGAAGGAAAATGTTCGGAAGTGTTTCAGTCGTCGTATCATGAGTATAGAGCTGGTTTTAAGATGCACAGATGTGATAATGAGAATTTCCAGGTTTAAAACACCGAAAGCATCAAACACCGACGACCAGCTTACTCCTCTATCGATTCAGGAAATAGAACAGTTCGACATTGGTAATGATGGCGACAATAAGACTTCACCATAGTCTTCATCCATCTGAATCTCTCGAAACATTGCATATTAGCTATCGACATTTTTTTTTATTAAAATCGCTATATTAGGGACGAGTCTTAGAATATCAGCTGTGACCTGTAAAAAAACCTTCAGTTTAGAAAGCAGGTTAATCACTATCTAGTAACATACAGATTGGTATGCTCTGTATGAGAAGGTCGAGATAGCTAGGTGGTTTCATTCGTTATGTATATACGATATATATCAATTAACGGAAAGATGGAGAACATCTCCGAATCAAGGATAGACCAATATACTGTCATCAGGTAAGCTTTTCTACACGGACGAAGTTGGGACAAGTGTAATGTTGTGTGTCAGATTTTGTGACTTTGAAACTTTTAACTAAAAGATTGGCATGTATAACATAGCACGGTACATTTTGAACCAATAGTAACTTATGTTTAAATGAAAAATATAAAACATTTGAAATACACGCACAAAGAATTGTAAAGTCATTAAATATCTTCATGAAAAGAGGCCTGGTTTTAAACAAACATTGTAAATGCTCTTGTCACTTGATTCAGCAATAAATGACAAACTCAGGGCTTTCGATCAGAACAACGTGTCTATGATTATACACTATCATTAACTTCCGCCAACAGACAGTAGTCCTTGTATACGTCTGCATTAGATATATCACAGTTATTTTCGCGTTACAATAACGTGAAAATGATCAGGAATGCGGTATTAATTCTAATGAGGTATTACCTTCCAGCCTTGTTTACATCAAATAAACGTCACACTTACTTTCCAGCCTTGTTTACATCAAATAAACGTCACACTTACCTTCCAGCCTTGTTTACATCAAATAAACGTCACACTTACCTTCCAGCCTTGTTTACATCAAATAAACGTCACACTTACCTTCCAGCCTTGTTTACATCATATAAACGTCACACTTACCTTCCAGCCTTGTTTACATCATATAAACGTCACACTTACCTTCCAGCCTTGTTTACATCATATATACACTGACGTCACACTTACCTTCCAGCCTTGTTTACATCAAATAAACGTCACACTTACCTTCCAGCCTTGTTTACATATATACACTCACGTCACACTTACCTTCCAGCCTTGTTTACATCATATATACGTCACACTTACCTTCCAGCCTTGTTTACATCAAATAAACGTCACACTTACCTTCCAGCCTTGTTTACATCATATATACGTCACACTTACCTTCCAGCCTTGTTTACATCAAATAAACGTCACACTTACCTTCCAGCCTTGTTTACATCATATATACACTGACGTCACACTTACCTTCCAGTCTTGTTTACATCAAATAAACGTCACACTTACCTTCCAGCCTTGTTTACATATATACACTCACGTCACACTTACCTTCCAGCCTTGTTTACATCATATATATACGTCACACTTACCTTCCAGCCTTGTTTACATCATATATATACAACGTCACACATACCTTCACACAGCCTTCCAGCCTTGTTTACATCATATATACACTGACGTCACACTTACCTTCCAGCCTTGTTTACATCATATATCCACTCACGTCACACTTACCTTCCAGCCCTTGTTTACATCATATATACACTAACGTCACACTTACCTTCCAGCCTTGTTTACATATATACACTCACGTCACACTTGCCTTCCAGCCTTGTTTACATCACGTCACACTTGCCTTCCAGCCTTGTTTACATCATATATACACTGACGTCACACTTACCTTCCAGCCTTGTTTACATCATATATACACTCACGTCACACTTACCTTCCAGCCTTGTTTACATCATATATACGTCACACTTACCTTCCAGCATTGTTTACATCATATATACACTCACGTCACACTTACCTTCCAGTCTTGTTTACATCATATATACACTAACGTCACACTTACCTTCCAGCCTTGTTTACATCATATATACACTCACGTCACACTTACCTTCCAGCCTTGTTTACATCATATATACAGTCACGTCACACTTACCTTCCAGCCTTGTTTACATCACATATACACTCACGTCACGCTTACCTTCCAGTCTTGTTTACATCATATATACACTCACGTCACACTTACCTTCCAGCCTTGTTTACATCATATATACACTCACGTCACACTTACCTTCCAGTCTTGTTTACATCATATATACACTAACGTCACACTTACCTTCCAGCCTTGTTTACATATATACACTCACGTCACACTTACCTTCCAGCCTTGTTTACATCATATATACACTCACGTCACACTTACCTTCCAGTCTTGTTTACATCATATATACACTAACGTCACACTTACCTTCCAGCCTTGTTTACATCATATATACACTCACGTCACACTTAACTTCCAGTCTTGTTTACATCACATACACACTAACGTGGTACGCACGCAGCACTAACAAGAAAGTACGTCAAAAACAAATCACGTGCCGTTTTATATAGCTTGCAAGCAGTACTACTTTTCCTATAATGCATACGAACCTATCAAAAGAAAATCAGAAAAATAGCGACGCCATGACTTTATTTATTAAAAGCATGTTCACACTTAGTATGTGAATATATTTGTATCTATCTATAACATCCGTTTGATAAATATTTAATTATCATTCATTGTTTATTAAAGGCTGACGTCACAACTGCCCTGAGAAGCGTCCCCTACCATGCCAACTTACGACTGCATGGGCTGCTGTACCCGAGTCTGCTGGAGGCGGTCCAGTCCCTGAGGAGCCGCACATTGATAGCAGACGATGATCTCGAGATCATGTGTAGAAAATGTTGTCCGAATCTGACCATCAACGCCATGATTTCCGGTTACAGGAAGTCGACTAAACGGCACTGAGGATATTCTCACAACGCCTGATGTGTTATTTCGAGTATCAAACTCATGGGCTGATCCATTAAAATGTCACCACTATACCGAAAGTCACAAGAGTGATTTACAACGAAACAGTACAGAATTAGGTTGTGTAAGATATAAGTTATGAACCAAATGAACATACCATTAACATTCAACGCCTGATTTTGACATTCACCAATGTTTTTGGCTTTGATACGTGTGAACCTGGTGCGATTCTTTCACAACTAATGATATTGAAGAATACGTTATTACCTTTTGAATGTGCGTGTACCAACAGCGTCACGTGATAGTTTTAAGATATTACATCAATTCTGCCGAAATTGTTTACATTATACAACGATTACTATCAATATAAAATAATTACAAATTATAAATTCATGACATTATCCAGTTTCCATAGCGTTTTGTACAAAACCCTGAAATGGTTCCATTGTTGGCGACTGATCGTGACCTTTGACCTTGATCAAACCGTGGTGTAATGCTATAAAGTATGCCCGATAGCAATCGGTATAAAACACCCAGTTGCTAAAAGGGGAAAGCGAAGCGAAAATTGCCGCTCAAATTAAAGATAGGTGTTTGTGGAATGGGAGAGTTCCATATCCTCCATACAAACAGGACGCGATCAAGGTGCCTTCCGTATACAAAGAGTGTATCTTCACAAGGTAACGGTGCGAACAACCAATGGGTTTAGCTCGACGCAGGGTAACGGCGTGCACAACCAATGGATTTAGCGCGACACAGGGTAACGGCATGCACAACCAATGGATTTAGCGCGACACAGGTTAACGGTGAGGACAGCCAATGGATTTAGCGCGACACAGGGTAACGGTGAGGACAGCCAATGGATTTAGCGCGACACAGGGTAACGGTGAGGACAGCCAATGGATTTAGCGCGACGCAGGGTAACGGCGTGCACAATCAATGGGTTTAGCGCGACGCAAGGTAACGGCGTGCGCAACCGATGGAATTAGCGCGACACAGGGTAACGGTGCGGACAACCACTGGGTTAAGCGTGACGAAGGGTAACGGTGAGGACAACCAATGCGTTTAGCGTGAGGCAGGGTAACGGTAAGGACAACCAATGGGTTAAGCGTGACGCAGGGTAACGGTGAGGACAACCAATGGGTTTAGCGTGACGCAGGGTAACGGTGAGGACAACCATTGGGTTTAGCATGAGGCAGGGTAACGGTGCGGATAACCAATGGATTTAGCGCGATGTCGTATGACGGTACGGACTATCAATAGGGTTTGGTATGACGTCATGTGACGGTGCGGACTATCCGTAGGGTTTAGTATGACGTCATGTGACGGTACGGACTATCCATATGGTTTAGTATGACGTCGTTTGACGGCACGGACTATCCATATGGTTTAGTGAACCGTTACCTTCCATTAGTATCGCTGGGGTGACAAATGTAGAGTTTGATTTTACTTGATACTTTAGTAAACTGTTAACTTCCATTAGTATCGCTGGGGTGACAAATGTAATGTAGAGTTTAGTATGAAGTCGTTTGACGGTACGGACTATCCATATGGTTTAGTAAACCGTTACCTTCCATTAGTATCGCTGGGGTGACAAATGTAGAGTTTGATTTTACTGAAAAGAAAATATTAGATGTGTATTATATAAGTGGAATACTGTTAACTTCCATTAGTATCGCTGGGGTGACAAATGTAATGTAGAGTTTAGTATGAAGTCGTTTGACGGTACGGACTATCCATATGGTTTAGTAAAGTGTTAACTTCCATTATTATCGCTGTGGTGACAAATGTAGAGTTTGATTTGAAAATGACAGAAAATTGGAAAAATAAAATATTTTATCTTAAAATATTCCCTTCTATAATAAACGGGAGAAGGCTCGTGTCAGTCAATACACGTGCGTGTAGCATTGATCTTACGTACCTACTTTACAACAGGATACACAAAAAGGCTCCAGATACAAAAACTGTACTTTAGACTGTAAAACAATGATGTGTTGTCCCACCCAGTGACATGACTAGTCCCCATTATATAAGTGGATGTCGTCTGCTCACAAACTCGCCCAACACTACAGGATGACTGAGATACAGAATCCCTTATTTAACTCCATTGTTACCATTAGAAGTAAACCTCACTAATTCTTACTGAGATATACAATATTTGCTTTAAGTCTTGTTCACCATTAGACAGGTATCCTTACTAATTCTTACTGAGATATACATCACGATATAAGTCCTTGTTACCATTAGACAGGTAAGCCTCACTAATTCTTACTGAGATATACATCACGTATTTAAGTCCTTGTTACCATAAGACAGGTAAACCTCACTAATTCTTACTGAGATATACATCACGTATTTAAGTCCTTGTTACCATTAGACAGGTAAACCTCACTAATTCTTACTGAGATATACATCACGTATTTAAGTCCTTGTTACCATTAGACAGGTAAGCCTCACTAATTCTTACTGAGATATACATCACGTGTTAAAGTCCTTGTTACCATTAGACAGGTTAACATCACTTATTCTTACCGATATATACATCACGTATTTAAGTCCTTGTTACCATTAGACAGGTAAGCCTCACTAATTCTTACCGAGATATACATCACGTATTTGTCCTTGTTACCATTAGACATGTTAACCTCACTTATTCTTACTGAAATATTCATCACGTATTTAAGTCCTTGTTACCATTAGACAGGTAAACCTCACTAATTCTTACTGAGATATACAACACGTATTTAAGTCCTTGTTACCATTAGACAGGTAAACCTCACTAATTCTTACTGAGATATACAACACGTATTTAAGTCCTTGTTACCATTAGACAGGTAAACCTTACTAATTATCACTGAGATATACATCACGTATTTAAGTCCTTGTTACCATTAGACAGGTAAACCTCACTAATTCTTACTGAGTTATACATCACGTATTTAAGTCCATGTTACCAATAGATGAGTAGAGCTAATTCCTTTTTTTAAAGACACATTTCGAAGTATTTCTAGGTCTTCCAGTACAGAACAAATCAGTCTGTTTATAGCGAAATGCCTCACTTACTTCGACCGTTTTCCGTCCGCCTATGAGGAGGATTGTTAAAACTTGGTACTTCAGTATGATAACCATTTTAATTCTATGGTATACTTTCGTGCAAGTTTATATTTTTGTTGTTTACTTTGGCTCAAGCTCTTGCAAATAAGTCTTCAATAAGTTATCTAGAAAATTAGTAGGTAAATTCAATATTAAGGAAACAAGTATGATAATTAAAGTTCCTGGTTGATCTGAGCATGTCAAACTACGAACGAAGGGTTCATCATAAGATGATGATGATGATGATGATGATGATGATGATGATGATGATGATGATGATGATGATGATAAGGACGATGTTGATGATGATGACGATGACGATGATAAGGACGATGTTGATGATGATGACGATGACGATGATGATGATGAAGATTATGATGAAGATGTTGATGATGATGATGATGATGATGATGATGATGATGATGATGATGATGATGATGACGATGATGTTGATGATGATGATGACGATGACGATGACGATGATGATGATGATGATGATGGTGCAGTAGAAGAAACAACATAACAAAGCTTTATTACTCCCAGTAAATCTTTATCTTTATGTCACAAAAAAAAACATTTCTCCTTGATGTCTTGATGAAAATGATGATCACCAAAACAACAAACAGAAACACTTAATTGAGTGTCCTCCTGCAACAACAGTCTGTCTCCTCTGTGAAACCTACACAGAAACATTAACTGACACCAAACTTGATGATGATCCTCCAGTGATGATGATGATCTCCTCTGTCCTAAACCTACACAGAAACACTTAACTGACACCAAACTTTATTACTCCCAGTAAATCTTTATCTTTATGTCACAAAAAAAAACATTTCTCCTTCACATGTCTTTATAGAAAATTTTTATCTCACCAAAACAACAAACAGAAACACTTAATTGACACCAAACTTCACCAGTGTCCTCCTGCAACAACAGTCTGTCTCCTCTGTCCTAAACCTACACAGAAACACTTAACTGACACCAAACTTCACCAGTGTCCTCCAGTAACAACCGTCTGTCTCCTCTGTCCTAAACCTACACAGAAACACTTAACTGACACCAAACTTCACCAGTGTCCTCCTGTAACAACAGCCTGTCTCCTCTGTCCTAAACCTACACAGAAACACTAAACTGACACCAAACTTCACTAGTGTCCTCCTGTAACAACTGTCTGTCTCCTTTGTCCTAAACCTACACAGAAACACGTAACTGACACCAAACTTCACCAGTGTCCTCCAGTAACAACCGTCTGTCTCCTCTGTCCTAAACCTACACAGAAACACTTGACTGACACCAAACTTCACTAGTGTCCTCCTATAACAACAGCCTGTCTCCTCTGTCCTAAACCTACACAGAAACACTAAACTGACACCAAACTTCACTAGTGTCCTCCTGTAACAACAGCCTGTCTCCTCTGTCCTAAACCTACACAGAAACACGTAACTGATACCAAACTTCACTAGTGTCCTCCTATAACAACAGTCTGTCTCCTCTGTCCTAAACCTACACAGAAACACCTAACTGACACCAAACTTGACCAGTGTCCTCCTCTGTCTGAAGACTAAACTGTCTAATCTTGTTTAACTCTCTGTGTTGGTCTTGACAGGTTTACTGGGATTCAAAAACATAATTATTTCAGTCTCTTTATAGAAACGTTGACCAGATCATGGCAGCAGTCATATGTCAGAAACAACAAAGGTGTTACTTATGTAGATAGCAATATCAGGACCTGTTAGTTCTGTCAGGTGAGCAGGACTTTTCTGGTCAATAAGGTACACACGTCTCCCATAATGCACAATCATTCTTAAAAGAGCCAATTACACATCAGTTAAACATCTTCATAACTATAAATATCTGATGGAATAAGGTTTATCCTTTATTTACATATAAATAACATGACAGCTCGTTACCTGTACACATTTATCAGTAATGTAGAAAAATCAGCAGAAATACCCAGTCGATGCCCAGCATACACCATATTATACATACCAGCAGAAAATATTAATACCAGAATGGCTGCATGTCAAGTCAGACCTGACAAAAGAATAATCATAAACCCTTAAATCATTATAGACCAACATCCCACCTCATAACAGGGCTACAACTCTCACCTCATAACAGGGCTACAACTCTCACTCCATAATGGGGCTACAACTCTCACTCCATAATGGGGCTACAACTCTCACCTCGTAATGGGGCTACAACTCTCACCTCGTAATGGGGCTATAACTCTCACCTCGTAATGGGGTTACAACTCTCACCTCGTAATGGGGCTACAACTCTCACTCTATAATGGGGCTACAACTCTCACCCTGTAATGGGGCTACAACTCTCACCTCATAATGGGGCTACAACTCTCACCTCATAATGGGGCTACAACTCCCACCTCACAATGGGGCTACAACTCTCACCCTGTAATGGGGCTACAACTCTCATCCCGTAATGGGGCTACAACTCTCACCTCGTAATGGGGCTATAACTCTCTCACCCTGTAATGTGGTTACAACTCTCACCCTGTAATGGGGCTACAACTCTCACCTCATAATGGGGCTATAACTCTCACCCTGTAATGGGGCTGCAACTCTCACCTCGTAATGGGGTTACAACTCTCACCTCGTAATGGGGCTACAACTCCACCTCATAATGGGGCTACAACTCTCACCTCATAATGAGGCTACAACTCTCACCTCATAATGGGGTTACAACTCTCACCCTCTAATGGGGCTACAACTCTCACCTCATAATGGGGCTACAACTCCCAACTCACAATGGGGCTACAACTCTCACGCTGTAATGGGGCTACAACTCTCATCCCGTAATGGGGCTACAACTCTCACCTCATAATGGGGCTATAACTCTCTCACCCTGTAATGTGGTTACAACTCTCACCCTGTAATGGGGCTACAACTCTCACCTCATAATGGGGCTATAACTCTCACGTCATAATGGGGCTACAACTCTCATCCCGTAATGGTGCTACAACTCTCACCTCATAATGGGGCTACAACTCTCACCTCGTAATGGGGTTACAACTCCCACCCGGTAACGGGGCTGCAACTCTCACCTAATAATGGGGCTACAACTCTCACCTCATAATGGGGCTACAACTCCCACCTCACAATGGGGCTACAACTCTCACGCTGTAATGGGGCTACAACTCTCATCCTGTAATGGGGCTACAACTCTCATCCCGTAATGGGGCTACAACTCCCACCCTGTAATGGGGCTACAACTCTCACCTCATAACGGGGCTACAACTCTCACCTAGTAATGGGGCTACAACTCTCACCTCGTAATGGGGCTGCAACTCTCACCCTGTAATGGGGCTACAACTCTCACCTCATAATGGGGCTACAACTCTCACCTCATAATGGGACTACAACTCTCACCACGTAATGTAACTCTCACCTCTTTAAAGACAAACATTTGGGTCTCCAACTCTAACCTGGTTATAAACAAGTATAAGTATCTATAACTCTAACCTGGTTAAAGATAAATATAAGGGTATACAACTCTCGCTTAGTTGTAGACAAACATCAGGGTTTACAACTCTCACCTCATCAAAGACAAACATACATATCATAGACAGTGTAAATATTGTACATACTATACCTACAGTATATATTATACATACATTGTAGATATCATACATACACAGTTCATATCTTACATACAATATACATGGTTTACATATCTTCCTGTGAGGCACATAGAGTGTATGTAGAACACACACACACAAATACACTGTGTATAGGATTTCCATACATCATGTTTAACACACAAACATACACTGATATTAGCTGGATGACAAAATACCAAAATAGAATTGACATATAAACCACTATCTCAAAAAATAAATGACAGAATAATGATATCCCAGATTCTCATTTAAAGTACATCATGTTTGAACACAGAATTACATGTTACTGGGAATCTTCAAACATCCTCAATGTTTATGTAGGTGTAGGCATATAGACACACAGCTGTGGCTGCAGTCGGTCATGGGGATGTGGCTGGAGTCAGTCATGGGGATAAACAGCCTTTAACCAGGGACGAGGAATGTACTGTGCTCCATCAAACATCTCAAAGTAATGATCCAAGCTGGGGTGCATTACCTGTAATGTATTTACAGCAAACAATTACTATCGAATGTTACTGATATCTGAACATACCCTCACATCAGTGATAACCTGTACCTACCCTCACATTAGTGATAATCTGTACATACCCTCACATTACTGATAATCTGTACATACCCTCACTTTAGTGATAACCTATACCTACCCTCACATTAGTGATAACCTGTACATACCCTCACATTAGTGATAACCTGTACATACCCTCACGTTAGTGATAACCTGTACCTACCCTCACATTACTGATGTAACAGAGGTCATTTTTCATCTCAATGCCTCCGCTAGGAATCGAACCCGGGACCCCTGGCTTACTAGTCTGATAACCAATCGAGCTACCCTCAAGAGAAGTTCTCTCTAGCCGAGTGGTAATTGCGGCTAGTATTTTACCAGGGTTATACTCCCCCTCCAGGAAATAACTCGTCCTCGAGTTTCCAGGGGTTACAGCGACGCCGGTGGGGCATGGCTAAGTACTATTCCCGGGTCCCTACATGGGCGCCAATGTAACAGAGGTATTTTTCATTAGTGATAATCTGTACCTACCCTCACATTGGTGATCATCTGTACATACCCTCACATTAGTGATAATCTGTATATACCCTCACATTAGTGATAATCTGTACCTACCCTCACATTAGTGATAATCTGTACATACCCTCACATTAGTGATAATCTGTACCTACCCTCACATTAGTGATAACCTGTACATACCCTCACATTGGTGATAACCTGTACATACCCTCACATTAGTGATAATCTGTACATACCCTCACATTAGTGATAACCTGTACCTACCCTCACATTAGTGATAACCTATACCTACCCTCACATTAGTGATAACCTGTACCTACCCTCACATTAGTGATAACCTGTACCTACCCTCACATTGGTGATAATCTGTACATACCCTCACATTAGTGATAACCTGTACATACCCTCACATTAGTGATAACCTGTACCTACCCTCACATTAGTGATAACCTGTACATACCCTCACATTGGTGATAATCTGTACATACCCTCACATTAGTGATAATCTGTACATACCCTCACATTAGTGATAACCTGTACCTACCCTCACATTAGTGATAACCTGTACATACCCTCACATTAGTGATAACCTGTACCTACCCTCACATTAGTGATAACCTATACCTACCCTCACATTAGTGATAACCTATACCTACCCTCACATTAGTGATAACCTGTACATACCCTCACATTGGTGATAATCTGTACATACCCTCACATTAGTGATAACCTGTACATACCCTCACATTAGTGATAACCTGTACCTACCCTCACATTAGTGATAATCTGTTCATACCCTCACATTAGTGATAACCTGTACATACCCTCACATTAGTGATAACCTGTACATACCCTCACATTAGTGATAACCTGTACATACCCTCACATTAGTGATAACCTGTACATACCCTCACATTAGTGATAACCTGTACATACCCTCACATTAGGGGTAACGTGTACATACCCTCACATCAGTGATAACCTATACCTACCCTCACATTAGTGATAACCTGTACATACCCTCACATTAGTGATAACCTGTACCTACCCTCACATTAGTGATAACCTGTACATACCCTCACATTAGTGATAACCTGTACATACCCTCACATTAGTGATAACTGTACATACCCTCACATTAGTGATAATCTGTACATACCCTCACATTAGTGATAACCTGTACCTACCCTCACATTAGTGATAACCTGTACCTACCCTCACATTAGTGATAACCTGTACATACCCTCACATTAGTGATAACCTGTACCTACCCTCACATTAGTGATAACCTGTACCTACCCTCACATTAGTGATAACCTGTACATACCCTCACATTAGTGATAACCTATACCTACCCTCACATTAGTGATAACCTGTACATACCCTCACATTAGTGATAACCTGTACATACCCTCACATTAGTGATAACCTGTTCATACCCTCACATTAGTGATAACCTGTACATACCCTCACATTAGTGATAATCTGTTCATACCCTCACATTAGTGATAACCTGTACATACCCTCACATTAGTGATAATCTGTTCATACCCTCACATTAGTGATAATCTGTTCATACCCTCACATCAGTGATAACCTGTACATACCCTCACATTAGTAATAATCTGTTCATACCCTCACATTAGGGATAACCTGTACATACCCTCACATTAGTGATAATCTGTACATACCCTCACATTAGTGATCACATTAGTGATAACCTGTACATACCCTCACATTAGTGATAATCTGTTCATACCCTCACATTAGTGATAACCTGTACATACCCTCACATTAGTGATCATCTGTACATACCCTCACATTAGTGATAACCTGTACCTACCCTCACATTAGTGATAACCTGTACATTAGTGATAACCTATACCTACCCTCACATCAGTGATAACCTCTACATACCCTCACATCAGTGATAACCTGTACATACCCTCACATTAGTGATAATCTGTACATACCCTCGCATTAGTGATAACCTGTACATACCCTCACATTAGTGATAACCTATACCTACCCTCACATTAGTGATAACCTCTACATACCCTCACATCAGTGATAACCTGTACCTACCCTCACATTAGGGGTAATGTGTACATACCCTCGCATTAGTGATAACCTGTACCTACCCTCACATTAGTGATAACCTGTACATACCCTCACATTAGTGATAACCTCTACATACCCTCACATTAGTGATAACCTGTACATACCCTCACATTGGTGATCATCTGTACATACCCTCACATTAGTGATAATCTGTATATACCCTCACATTAGTGATAACCATACATACCCTCACATTAGTGATAATCTGTACATACCCTCACATTGGTGATAACCTGTACCTACCCTCACATTAGTGATAACCTGTACATACCCTCACATTGGTGATAATCTGTACCTACCCTCACATTAGTGATAACCTGTACATACCCTCACATTAGTGATAATCTGTACATACCCTCACATTAGTGATAACTGTACATACCCTCACATTAGTGATAACCTGTACCTACCCTCACATTAGTGATAACCTGTACATACCCTCACATTAGTGATAACCTGTACCTACCCTCACATTAGTGATAACCTGTACATACCCTCACATTAGTGATAACTGTACATACCCTCACATTAGTGATAATCTGTACATACCCTCACATTAGTGATAACCTATACCTACCCTCACATTAGTGATAACTGTACATACCCTCACATTGGTGATAACCTGTACCTACCCTCACATTAGTGATAACTGTACATACCCTCACATTGGTGATAATCTGTACATACCCTCACATTAGTGATAACCTGTACCTACCCTCACATTAGTGATAATCTGTTCATACCCTCACATTAGTGATAACCTGTACCTACCCTCACATTAGTGATAACCTACCCTACATTAGTGATAATGTGTACCCTCACATAGTGATAACCTGTACCATACCCTCACCCTACCCTCACATTAGTGATAACCTGTACATACCCTCACATTGGTGATAATCTGTACATACCCTCACATTAGTGATAATCTGTACATACCCTCACATTGGTGATAATCTGTACATACCCTCACATTAGTGATAACCTGTACATACCCTCACATTAGTGATAACCTGTACATACCCTCACATTAGTGATAATCTGTACATACCCTCACATTAGTGATAACCTGTACATACCCTCACATTAGTGATAACCTGTACATACCCTCACATTAGTGATAACCTGTACCTACCCTCACATTAGTGATAACCTGTACCTACCCTCACATTAGTGATAACCTGTACATTAGTGATAACCTGTACATTAGTGATAACCTGTACCTACCCTCACATTTGTGATAACCTGTACCTACCCTCACATTAGTGATAACCTGTACCTACCCTCACATTAGTGATAACCTGTACCTACCCTCACATTAGTGATAATCTGTTCATACCCTCACATTAGTGATAACCTGTACATACCCTCACATTAGTGATAATCTGTACATACCCTCACATTAGTGATAATCTGTACATACCCTCACATTAGTGATAACCTGTACATACCCTCACATTAGTGATAACCTGTACATACCCTCACATTACTGATAACCTGTACCTACCCTCATGTTAGTGATAACCTGTAAGTTTTCCTGTGGTACATAAGTCATTTGAGGTGACATTCTGTCCCGAGTGTCCACCAGGATTGAATAGTTTGGCATTTTCCTCCAGTACTGTAACACACAAACTAAACTGTTACTGGCAGTCTTTACATGTAATATTCAATAGGTGCTTCCTGCTTAGCACCTAATGCAATGTGTTCAATACTAGGTGCTATAAATTTTGCCAACAGCAGGGATGTCTTCGCTAACAGTTATGTCATTGTTTTAGTATTAACCAGATATCATGTCAAAAGGAAATTGATTGTCAGTTTCTCCTGATTGGCATTACTGGTTTAGATCTTTTAATGTATGTGTTTGTTACAGTGATACATGTGAACCTTTCAGTAAGTATTTATTTATCCAATACTATATATGGTAGCGTATTTAAACAGGTCTTATATTTCACATTTGACATAGTCTGTACTAGTTTGCAGGATTAAATTTTGTGTTGTCCAATTTCTCTGTCTTACTGTTCACTTACTCATTAAGGGCATTCACAGGTGAGTCAGTCAGTGAAAGGTTAGCAGTTCACTTAATCCTGGTCTAATGTCTCGTGTTAATAGCTTGTTAATGACTAGGTCATGTTTCTCAAATATCAGGTAATATACATTATGTCGGTGTGTTTACTTTATTTTGTTACATACGACAGTTACCAGGGCAACACAGTAGTCGATCTATATATGTTTTTATCATTTTCAGAGATTATATCTTATAATCAAGTGAAACCAAACCCTGAGAATATTATCAACTCTACAGCATTAGATGACATTTAAATATTGATAGTGCGTTAAATCTGGATCATCTAGAATACATAGATACAAATTAAAAATACTATAAACCTACCTGTTTACCCTCAGCATGGTTGTCTTTTAGCCAAGATTCTGGTGCCTGTAATACAATCATTACATTGATGCATTTGAATAATATAAAGTCATAAAAGAAGCGTTGAAGTTATGGTACCAGGGTACTTGTCATCGTCATAAGCAATGATCAAAGTTTGTAACTAAACTGTATTTACACATCTTCAATTTATCAGTCAAAATAGAAATTTTTATTATCTTTATGAAACCAAAGAGTAGTTTCTTCCAATTGATAGCAATAGGTTTTATGCACAACTTAACCTGGCTGTGACATACCAGCCTATTATGACACCTCTGTACCCCAAACCTTGTGTATACTGTACCTACCCTGTCTGTAACAACCCAGCCTATTATGACCTATCTGTACCCCAAACCTTGTGTATACTGTACCTACCCTGGCTGTGACATCCCAGTCTATTATGACCCATCTGTACCCCAAACCTTGTGTATACTGTACCTACCAAGGCTGTGACATCCCAGCCTATTATGAACCATCTGTACCCCAAACCTTGTGTATACTGTACCTACCCTGGCTGTGACATCCCAGTCTATTATGACCCATCTGTACCCCAAACCTTGTGTATACTGTACCTACCCAGGCTGTGACATCCCAGCCTATTATGACCCATCTGTACCCCAAACCTTGTGTATACTGTACCTACCCTGGCTGTGACATCCCAGTCTATTATGACCCATCTGTACCCCAAACCTTGCGTATACTGTACCTACCCTGGCTGTGACCTCCAAGTCTATTATGACCCATCTGTACCCCAAACCTTGTGTAAACTGTACCTACCCTGTCTGTAACAACCCAGCCTATTATGACCCATCTGTACCCCAAACCTTGTGTATACTATACCTACCCTGGCTGTGACATCCCAGTCTATTATGACCCATCTGTACCCCAACCCTTGTGTATACTGTACCTACCCATGCTGTGACATCCCAGCCTATTATGACCCATCTGTACCCCAAACCTTGTGTATACTGTACCTACCCTGGCTGTGACATCCCAGCCTATTATGACCCATCTGTACCCCAAACCTTGTGTATACTGTACCTACCCTGTCTGTAACAACCCAGCCTATTATGACCAATCTGTACCCCAAACCTTGTGTATACTGTACCTACCCTGGCTGTGACATCCCAGCCTATTATGACCCATCTGTACCCCAAACCTTGTGTATACTGTACCTACCCTGGCTGTGACATCCCAGCCTATTATGTCCAATCTGTACCCCAAACATTGTGTATACTGTACCTACCCATGCTGTGACATCCCAGCCTATTATGACCCATCTGTACCCCAAACCTTGTGTATACTGTACCTACCCTGGCTGTGACATCCCAGCCTATTATGACACCTCTGTACCCCAAACCTTGTGTATACTGTACCTACCCTGGCTGTGACATACCAGTCTATTATGACTCATCTGTGCCCCAAACCTTGTGTATACTGTACCTACCCTGGCTGTGACATACCAGTCTATTATGACCCATCTGTGCCCCAAACCTTGTGTATACTGTACCTACCCTGGCTGTGACATCCCAGCCTATTATGACCCATCTGTACCCCAAACCTTGTGTAAACTGTACCTACCCTGTCTGTAACAACCCAGCCTATTATGACCCATCTGTACCCCAAACCTTGTGTATACTATACCTACCCTGGCTGTGACATCCCAGTCTATTATGACCCATCTGTACCCCAACCCTTGTGTATACTGTACCTACCCATGCTGTGACATCCCAGCCTATTATGACCCATCTGTACCCCAAACCTTGTGTATACTGTACCTACCCTGGCTGTGACATCCCAGCCTATTATGACCCATCTGTACCCCAAACCTTGTGTATACTGTACCTACCCTGTCTGTAACAACCCAGCCTATTATGACCAATCTGTACCCCAAACCTTGTGTATACTGTACCTACCCTGGCTGTGACATCCCAGCCTATTATGACCCATCTGTACCCCAAACCTTGTGTATACTGTACCTACCCTGGCTGTGACATCCCAGCCTATTATGTCCAATCTGTACCCCAAACATTGTGTATACTGTACCTATCCATGCTGTGACATCCCAGCCTATTATGACCCATCTGTACCCCAAACCTTGTGTATACTGTACCTACCCTGGCTGTGACATCCCAGCCTATTATGACACCTCTGTACCCCAAACCTTGTGTATACTGTACCTACCCTGGCTGTGACATACCAGTCTATTATGACCCATCTGTGCCCCAAACCTTGTGTATACTGTACCTACCCTGGCTGTGACATACCAGTCTATTATGACCCATCTGTGCCCCAAACCTTGTGTATACTGTACCTACCCTGGCTGTGACATCCCAGCCTATTATGACCTATCTGTACCCCAAACCTTGTGTATACTGTACCTACCCTGGCTGTGACATACCAGTCTATTATGACCCATCTGTACCCCAACCCTTGTGTATACTGTACCTACCCATGCTGTGACATCCCAGTCTATTATGACACCTCTGTACCCCAACCCTTGTGTATACTGTACCTACCCATGCTGTGACATCCCAGCCTATTATGACCCATCTGTACCCCAAACCTTGTGTATACTGTACCTACCCTGGCTGTGACATCCCAGTCTATTATGACACCTCTGTACCCCTAACCTTGTGTATACTGTACCTACCCTGGCTGTGACATCCCAGCCTATTATGACCCATCTGTACCCCAAACCTTGTGTATACTGTACCTACCCTGGCTGTGACATGCCAGTCTATTATGACCCATCTGTACCCCAAACCTTGTGTATACTGTACCTACCCTGTCTGTGACATCCCAGTCTATTATGACACCTCTGTACCCCAAACCTTGTGTATACTGTACCTACCCTGGCTGTGACATCCCAGTCTATTTTGACACCTCTGTACCCCTAACCTTGTGTATACTGTACCTACCCTGGCTGTGACATCCCAGCCTATTATGACCCATCTGTACCCCAAACCTTGCGTATACTGTACCTACCCAGGCTGTGACATCCCATCTTATTATGACACCTCTGTACCCCAAACCTTGTGTATACTTTACCTACCCTGGCTGTGATATCCCAGCCTATTATGACCCATCTGTACCCCAAACCTTGTGTATACTGTACCTACCCTGGCTGTGACATCCCAGTCTATTATGACACCTCTGTACCCCAAACCTTGTGTATACTGTACCTACCCTGGCTGTGACATCCCAGCCTATTATGACACCTCTGTACCCCCAGATCTTATGCCGCACCACCTGTCCGACACGAAACTCCACGTTAGGAGCCCGTGGACTTCTTGGATCTGGATCACCTATGAATTATTGTTTGTATTCATCTCATGATTTATTTTTTCATGTTATTTTCCATTCAAGCACATAAACTGATCAGACAAGATTATTACTTTATCAATTTAGTTTGACTTTTTTTTAAAAATTGTAACAGTTATAAGGAGCATCAATTAGACAAATATTTGATACTTTATCATTTATTCAGCCTCAGAAAACTTATAGAAGATCCTACCTGATTTTATTTCATATAAAATTAATAAAAGAAGAATTTCAATGACAAGTTCCATTATATATTCTTATGAGAACTGGAAACATGCAAGATTATAACACATATGTTATCATACACACAAGGAATTTTTACTCAGATTTTAATTATCATTGCATTTGCTACTTATACCTATATTTTCATGCAGGATAAAACTGAAAAGGTTAAGATGAGCCTGATTAACAAAGTCAGTTACCCATGTCTTACCTGCAAAGTAGCCTAGTGGGTCCTTGTACTTCAGGACTTCCACTGCAGGTGACTCCCCATTCACATTGTCCTGGCCAGTGTAGGGAGGAACGTTGTCATGGAGACCGCCAATAATGTCCAGACACCATTGTTGCCAAGATTTCCATGATAGATATTTATTCTTGAAACCCACAGCATTGTTGAGCAAACTGAAAACAGCAAGAAGATGGTTTACCATTTAAACAATAGATTTGTGTGTAATTCTGTTCCATCTCAGTTAACATTACTATAGTCAAAGGACTTGTTCCAGTTCACTAAGCCTTACTTTAGTCAGAAGACCTTTTCCAGTTCACTAAGCCTTACTTTAGTCAGAAGACCTTTACCAATTTACTAAGCCTTACTTTAGTCAGAAGACCTTTTCCAGTTCACTAAGCCTTACTTTAGTCAGAGAAATTCTTTACTGAGAGTAGACAGTTGGAAACCAGGAACCTTGTTATGTATCAATAAAATTGTAAAGAATAGGTCTATTATTTTTTGACAAATTTTAACAAAAGAAGTAAATTGTGATGTATGTTTACTTCTTAATGGCAAACGTCCTCTGTGACTCTGACACGGAGAAATACTGTGATACAAAGTACTGGGCTGGTACTGCCAGCAGAAGTAGTCCCAGCTGGATGGCCGCGCCGCGTTCTAACGGCATACTATCTCCTCCTCACCAAGGTCATCTGTAACACACAAAAAAATTAACATCAATTGTTGTTATACCAGTGTATCTCATTCACTCTACATAGACCACAGGTAAACAACATCTCACATCAGAACATAACAGTAGAAAGAGATACAGGTACAACACAGGTACACAGTATCTGACATCACAATATAAACTTGTGTCTGTAGATACAATACAGGTACACAGTATCTAACATCACAATATAAACTTGTGTCTGTAGATACAATACAGGTACACAGTATCTGACATCACAATATAAACCTTGTGTCTGGAGATACAACACAGGTACACAGTATCTGACATCACAATATAAACCTTGTGTCTGGAGATACAATACAGCTACACAGTATCTGACATCACAATATAAACCTTGTGTCTGTAGATACAACACAAGTACACAGTATCTGACATCACAATATAAACTTGTGTCTGTAGATACAACACAGCTACACAGTATCTGACATCACAATATAAACTTGTGTCTGTAGATACAACACAGCTACACAGTATCTGACATCACAATATAAACCTTGTGTCTGGAGATACAATACAGCTACACAGTATCTGACATCACAATATAAACTTGTGTCTGTAGATACAATACAGGTACACAGTATCTGACATCACAATATAAACTTGTGTCTGTAGATACAACACAGCAACACAGTATCTGACATCACAATATAAACTTGTGTCTGTAGATACAACACAGCTACACAGTATCTGACATCACAATATAAACTTGTGTCTGTAGATACAACACAGCTACACAGTATCTGACATCACAATATAAACCTTGTGTCTGGAGATACAATACAGGTACACAGTATCTGACATCACAATATAAACTTGTGTCTGTAGATACAACACAGCAACACAGTATCTGACATCACAATATAAACTTGTGTCTGTAGATACAACACAGCTACACAGTATCTGACATCACAATATAAACTTGTGTCTGTAGATACAACACAGGTACACAGTATCTGACATCACAATATAAACCTTGTGTCTGGAGATACAATACAGGTACACAGTATCTGACATCACAATATAAACCTTGTGTCTGTAGATACAACACAGCTACACAGTATCTGACATCACAATATAAACCTTGTATCTGGAGATACAATACAGGTACACAGTATCTGACATCACAATATAAACTTGTGTCTGTAGATACAACACAGCTACACAGTATCTGACATCACAATATAAACCTTGTGTCTGGAGATACAACACAGGTACACAGTATCTGACATCACAATATAAACCTTGTGTCTGTAGATACAACACAGGTACACAGTATCTGACATCACAATATAAACCTTATATCTGGAGATACAATACAGGTACACAGTATCTGACATCACAATATAAACCTTGTGTCTGTAGATACAACACAGGTACACAGTATCTGACATCACAATATAAACCTTGTGTCTGTAGATACAACACAGGTACACAGTATCTGACATCACAATATAAACCTTGTGTCTGGAGATACAATACAGGTACACAGTATCTGACATCACAATATAAACCTTGTGTCTGTAGATACAACACAGGTACACAGTATCTGACATCACAATATAAACCTTGTGTCTGGAGATACAACACAGGTACACAGTATCTGACATTGCAATATAAACCTTGTGTCTGGTGACACAGGTACACAGTATCTGACATCACAATATAAACCTTGTGTCTGGAGATACAATACAGGTACACAGTATCTGACATCACAATATAAACCTTGTGTCTGTAGATACAACACAGGTACACAGTATCTGACATCACAATATAAACCTTGTATCTGGAGATACAATACAGGTACACAGTATCTGACATCACAATATAAACCTTGTGTCTGTAGATACAACACAGGTACACAGTATCTGACATCACAATATAAACCTTGTGTCTGGAGATACAATACAGGTACACAGTATCTGACATCACAATATAAACCTTGTGTCTGGTACACAGGTACACAGTATCTGACATCACAATATAAACCTTGTGTCTGGAGATATAACACAGGTACACAGTATCTGACATCACAATATAAACCTTGTGTCTGTAGATACAACACAGCTACACAGTATCTGACATCACAATATAAACCTTGTGTCTGGAGATACAACACAGGTACACAGTATCTGACATCACAATATAAACCTTGTGTCTGTAGATACAACACAGGTACACAGTATCTGACATCACAATATAAACCTTGTGTCTGGAGATACAACACAGGTACACAGTATCTGACATTGCAATATAAACCTTGTGTCTGGTGACACAGGTACACAGTATCTGACATCACAATATAAACCTTGTGTCTGGAGATACAATACAGGTACACAGTATCTGACATCACAATATAAACCTTGTGTCAGGAGATAGGAGTCTAATACAGGTACACAAAAGCATGAGCCCAACAGTGCATCAATAGGAGCTTAAGTTTGAAATTTCAATAATTCTTTAACAATTCTAATGAAACCTGTCCATTCTGAGTATATAATTCACTAGAATTTTACCTTTGTCTGTACATAAATCCTCACTGCACTAACATAGAAATTAAGCATTGTTTCCTGGACTGCTCTGCTTGCATGCATGTATCCATGCATAATTGATAAAACACCATTACCATCACCTGGATTGTACAATCTGGAGTCATAGCAATACATCAGATAAACTAGAGTTACAACTTATCACTCCCTCAGACCAGGGATCTAGACCAACAAATCAAACTACAAACTGAACACTCCCTCAGACCAGGGATCTAGACCAACAAATCAAACTACAAACTGAACACTCCCTCAGACCAGGGATCTAGACCAACAAATCAAACTACAAACTGAACACTCCCTCAGACCAGGGATCTAGACCAACAAATCAAGCTACAAACTGAACACTCCCTCAGACCAGGGATCTAGACCAACAAATCAAGCTACAAACTGAACACTCCCTCAGACCAGGGATCTAGACCAACAAATCAAGCTACAAACTGAACACTCCCTTAGACAAGGAATCTAGACCAACAAATCAAACTACAAACTGAACACTCCCTCAGACCAGGGATCTAGACCAACAAATCAAACTACAAACTGAACACTCCCTCAGACCAGGGATCTAGACCAACAAATCAAACTACAAACTGAACACTCCCTCAGACCAGGGATCTAGACCAACAAATCAAGCTACAAACTGAACACTCCCTCAGACCAGGGATCTAGACCAACAAATCAAACTACAAACTGAACACTCCCTCAGACAAGGAATCTAGACCAACAAATCAAACTACAAACTGAACACTTCCTCAGACTAGAGATCTAGACCAACAAATCAAGCTACAAACTGAACACTCCCTTAGACAAGGAATCTAGACCAACAAATCAAACTACAAACTGAACACTCCCTCAGACCAGGGATCTAGACCAACAAATCAAACTACAAACTGAACACTCCCTCAGACCAGGGATCTAGACCAACAAATCAAGCTACAAACTGAACACTCCCTTAGACCTGTCTAAACCAACAAATAGATTACCAAACTGAATAGTCCCTCAAATCTAAACTGACATATTGAGTATCGATTGATAACTATGATACTTTGCAGGATGATGCAGTTACATCAACCAAGTGTATCAAGTAGTCAGGCATGTAAACCTGATTGTTTCTACTGAAAGGTGATGTCTGTACTAAAACAATATCAGTCAGCAGTTAGAATGTACGGTTTGAAAAGATTTTTTACAGAGTAATTGACATGGGAATGTTCCATTTTTTACATAATAATTACTAAAGCACACACCATGCACATGAACACTGTGTGTCATTTCATTACTGTAAATGTGCGGGTATAGTGTGCACTCAGGTATAGTGTGCAGGTACTTTTTTGGGGTCAAATTCAAAAAAAAAAAAAAAAAGATTTTCTACAGAAAGATTAATTGATTACTGGTTACCGCGATGAAACAGTTGTGGTTTGATCCATTGATAATTAGGAAACCACAATCATCGTGACCCTAACATATTTAATTACCTTATGTAATTATATTAAATTATATACTAAATCATATTAAAAACAACTGGTATAAATATATATATTAGAATAACTTAAAACAACACGTCAAATTAAGCATTAGCACTTTCATTCCTGAATCTTCATGATGCTTAATAACTTGCCTAGATACAATGTCTGTGAAGTAATAAAACGATTGAAAGCGCTAATGCTTAATTTGATATGTTGTTTCAAGTTATTCTTATATATTTCACCGGACACTGAGAATTCAACTTTTATATTTGAATATATATTGAAAATGTGGTGAATTCTCTGTGCCTAGTAAATATAGAAAAAAGTTAAAACACTGGAAAACACACCTGTAGAAGAAATGAAAGTACTGATGTTTTACATCATGTGTTTTCCAGTGTTTTAACTTTTTTCTTTATATATATAAAACTCTGGAGGTTCACTCTATGGCAGTGTATTACTTGGTTCACTCTGGCAGTGTATTACTTGGTTCACTCTGGCTGTGTATTACTTGGTTCACTCTATGGCTGTGTATTACTTGGTTCACTCTATGATAGTGTATTACTTGGTTCACTCTATGGATGTATATTACTTGGTTCACTCTATGGCAGTGTATTACTTGGTTCACTCTATGGCTGTGTATTACTTGGTTCACTCTGGCAGTGTATTACTTGGTTCACTCTATGGCAGTGTATTACTTGGTTCACTCTATGGTTGTGTATTACTTGGTTCACTCTATGAGAGTGTATTACTTGGTTCACTCTGGCAGTGTATTACTTGGTTCACTCTATGGCAGTGTATTACTTGGTTCACTCTATGACAGTGTATTACTTGGTTCACTCTATGGCAGTGTATTACTTGGTTCACTCTATGGCAGTGTATTACTTGGTTCACTCTATGACAGTGTATTACTTGGTTCACTCTATGACAGTGTATTACTTGGTTCACTCTATGGCAGTGTATTACTTGGTTCACTCTATGGCTGTGTATTACTTGGTTCACTCTATGACAGTGTATTACTTGGTTCACTCTATGACAGTGTATTACTTGGTTCACTCTATGACAGTGTATTACTTGGTTCACTCTATGGCAGTGTATTACTTGGTTCACTCTATGGATGTGTATTACTTGGTTCACTCTATGGCAGTGTATTACTTGGTTCACTCTATGATAGTGTATTACTTGGTTCACTCTATGACAGTGTATTACTTGGTTCACTCTATGGCAGTGTATTACTTGGTTCACTCTATGACAGTGTATTACTTGGTTCACTCTATGACAGTGTATTACTTGGTTCACTCTATGACAGTGTATTACTTGGTTCACTCTATGGCTGTGTATTACTTGGTTCACTCTATGGCAGTGTATTACTTGGTTCACTCTATGACAGTGTATTACTTGGTTCACTCTATGGCATGTGTATTACTTGGTTCACTCTATGGCAGTGTATTACTTGGTTCACTCTATGTCAGTGTATTACTTGGTTCACTCTATGGCAGTGTATTACTTGGTTCACTCTATGGCAGTGTATTACTTGGTTCACTCTATGGCAGTGTATTACTTGGTTCACTCTATGGCAGTGTATTACTTGGTTCACTCTATGGCAGTGTATTACTTGGTTCACTCTATGACAGTGTATTACTTGGTTCACTCTGGCAGTGTATTACTTGGTTCACTCTATGGCAGTGTATTACTTGGTTCACTCTATGGCAGTGTATTACTTGGTTCACTCTATGACAGTGTATTACTTGGTTCACTCTATGACAGTGTATTACTTGGTTCACTCTATGGCAGTGTATTACTTGGTTCACTCTATGGCAGTGTATTACTTGGTTCACTCTATGGCAGTGTATTACTTGGTTCACTCTATGGCAGTGTATTACTTGGTTCACTCTATGACAGTGTATTACTTGGTTCACTCTATGGCAGTGTATTACTTGGTTCACTCTATGGCAGTGTATTACTTGGTTCACTCTATGGCTGTGTATTACTTGGTTCACTCTATGACAGTGTATTACTTGGTTCACTCTATGACAGTGTATTACTTGGTTCACTCTATGGCAGTGTATTACTTGGTTCACTCTATGGCAGTGTATTACTTGGTTCACTCTATGGTTGTGTATTACTTGGTTCACTCTATGGCAGTGTATTACTTGGTTCACTCTATGGCAGTGTATTACTTGGTTCACTCTATGACAGTGTATTACTTGGTTCACTCCATGGATGTGTATTACTTGGTTCACTCTATGGCAGTGTATTACTTGGTTCACTTTATGACAGTGTATTACTTGGTTCACTCTATGGATGTGTATTACTTGGTTCACTCTATGAGAGTGTATTACTTGGTTCACTCTGGCAGTGTATTACTTGGTTCACTCTATGGCTGCGTATTACTTGGTTCACTTTATGACAGTGTATTACTTGGTTCACTCTATGGCTGTGTATTACTTGGTTCACTTTATGACAGTGTATTACTTGGTTCACTCTATGGCTGTGTATTACTTGGTTCACTCTATGGCAGTGTATTACTTGGTTCACTCTATGACAGTGTATTACTTGGTTCACTCTATGGCAGTGTATTACTTGGTTCACTCTATGGCTGTGTATTACTTGGTTCACTCTATGACAGTGTATTACTTGGTTCACTCTATGACAGTGTATTACTTGGTTCACTCTGGCAGTGTATTACTTGGTTCACTCTATGGCAGTGTATTACTTGGTTCACTCTATGACAGTGTATTACTTGGTTCACTCTATGACAGTGTATTACTTGGTTCACTCTATGGCAGTGTATTACTTGGTTCACTCTATGGCAGTGTATTACTTGGTTCACTCTATGGCAGTGTATTACTTGGTTCACTCTATGACAGTGTATTACTTGGTTCACTCTATGACAGTGTATTACTTGGTTCATTCTATGGCAGTGTATTACTTGGTTCACTCTATGGCAGTGTATTACTTGGTTCACTCTATGGCAGTGTATTACTTGGTTCACTCTATGACAGTGTATCACTTGGTTCACTCTATGGCTGTGTATTACTTGGTTCACTCTATGACAGTGTATTACTTGGTTCACTCTATGGCAGTGTATTACTGATTACAGTAGATCTTTCTATTGATGATAAACATCAATACAGTGTATGTGTTTGATAGTGTACTGTTAGGATATTCTGTAGCTGCTACTCAATATATTATTGATTTAACAGTGTAGATACTGATCATAAACAATAGGTTTCAGATAAAAAAAATTTGTTTTAAGTTTGTCATAATATAGATTGATTGTAATATCATGAATAATTAACAAAAAATATCACTTTTCAAATTCATGAATAGCACGTATATTGAACTATATTGAATATGAAAACAAAACAGGGGAAACACATTATAACCAAGTACCACAACAGGAATCAAACCTGGGTTTCCAGCATGATAATCCATGGATCTGCAAAAAGAGTCAAAGTAGCATGTTCAGTCAGCTGATAGGATGTCAGCAACAGGATTTAACACTACTTATATTTGTTGAGATCATCTACATCTCAGCTCATGAATAAATACCACAACTTGTTGGAATTAATTGGGGGTCAATGTATAAGAACAAGGGAAATTCAGCACTACTGGGCATCCTCACAAGAATCAAGTCTAGGTCTATAGCTAGTATGATAATCTTTGATTCTACTATCTAAGGTAAAGAACCATGCACCATCAGCTGAGTGGCAGAGAGAAGCGTGCACCATCAGCTGAGAGCAGAGAGAAGCATGCACCATCAGCTGAGTGGCAGAGAGAAGCATGCACCATCAGCTGACAGCAGAGAGAAGCATGCACCATCAGCTGACAGTAGAGAGAAGCATGCACCATCAGCTGACAGCAGAGCAAAGCATGCACCATCACCTGACAGCAGAGAGAAGCATGCACCATCAGCTGAGTGGCAGAGAAAAGCGTGCACCATCAGCTGAGTGGCAGAGAGAAGCATGCATTATCAGCTGAGTGACAGAGAGAAGCATGCACCATCACCTGACAGCAGAGAGAAGCATGCACCATCAGCTGAGTGGCAGAGAAAAGCGTGCACCATCAGCTGAGTGGCAGAGAGAAGCATGCATTATCAGCTGAGTGACAGAGAGAAGCATACACCATCAGCTGACAGCAGAGAGAAGCATGCACCATCAGCTGACAGCAGAGAAAAGCATGCATCATCAGCTGACAGTAGAGAGAAGCATGCACCATCAGCTGACAGCAGAGAGAAGCATGCATCATCAGCTGAGTGACAGAGAGAAGCGTGCACCATCAGCTGAGTGGCAAAGAGAAGCATGCACCATCAGCTGAGTGACAAAGAAAAGCAAGCACGATCATCTGAGTGGCAGAGAGAACCATGCACCATCAGCTGAGTGGCAAGGAGAAGTATGCACCATCAGTTGAGTACCAGAGAGAACCATGCACCATCAGCTGAGTGGCAAGGAGAAGTATGCACCATCAGTTGAGAGCAGAGAGAAGCATGCATCATCAGCTGAGTGACAGAGAGAAGTGTGCACCATCAGCTGAGTGGCAAAGAGAAGCATGCACCATCAGCTGAGTGACAAAGAGAAGCAAGCACGAACATCTGAGTGACAGAGAGAAGCATGCACGATCAGTTGAGAGCAGAGAGAAGCATGCACCATCAGCTGAGTGGCAGAGAGAAGCATGCACCATCCGCTGAGTACCAGAGAGAACCATGCACCATCAGCTGAGTGGCAAGGAGAAGTATGCACCATCAGTTGAGAGCAGAGAGAAGCATGCACCATCAGCTGAGTGGCAGAGAGAAGCATGCACCATCAGCTGAGTGGCAGAGAGATGCATGCACCATCAGCTGAGAGCAGAGAGAAGCAAGCACCATCAGCTGAGTGGCAGAGAGCAGCATGCACCATTAGCTGAGTGGCAGAGAGAAGCATGCACCATCAGTTGAGTGGCAGAGAGAAGCGTGCACCATCAGCTGAGTGGCAGAGAGAAGCATGCATCATGTATTATATAAATTTTTAAACAGCTGTTTTAATCACACAAAAAGTGGTGGCGTACACTGTAACTTCATGCAAAAGTATGGGTGTTTTCACATGTAGTGAAACAACTTCCATAAGTACTGAAATGACAGGGTACAGAAACCTAGAAATAATTTACAAGCCACAATGACCAGTCAGCTGAGTGACAGAGGCAGTATTAAACATTGAAACCATATTTAACACAAGGTACAATTATGTGACACTGACCAATCAGTTGCACTGGACATGAGCGACAGAGACTGCATCTAACATTGTGCAAGCCACACTGACCCTTCTGCTGAGAAACAGAGACCATATTTAACACTAGGTACAAACTACACCGACTAATCAGTTGATTTTGTGTGTTACTTGATTACCATATCATACAGTGTAATAGTACAAACATAAACCACTAGTTCCTCCAAACAATTGTCTTATTAATCAAAGACAATTCTTCTCCGAAAAATCAAATTGGAACACGATATCCTGATAAAAAAAAATAGTGAACTGATGGATGTCGACACGACATTTTCGTCATTGATTATTTAAAGTGAAAGTTTTATGTTTCTAAATGTCTGATTTGTAAGGATCTCATCATTATGGAATTGTACTGATCATGCAGTGCTATAGCAGAACCGTATGTCAACTCAGAGTCTGAGAATGCATGTGACACTTACTACATGATGCCGCTAAAAATATTATCCTTTAGTCGTCCTGTATAGTCACTGACGCCAACGCAAAACTTCTAAATATGTGTAAATTTAAGCCATCCTCCGTGCTGTTTTCAACAACGAAACGTTGAAACGTGTTGTGTGAATCTGTGAATGTTCACCAAATCAAAGAGAGCCACGACTGTGTTTACATTCACCATCACTTCCGGTAGTTTTACGACATCAAACTAACACGCGAATTTTGTGTTTAGGCGTTATTGCTAAGAGTTTGTTCTTAAACAATTTTAACCTTATTCCCGTTTACATGAAAAGTTATTGAAATGTTTATTTCTACACAATTGAAAATAACAGTAGTTGGTGCGTTTTCTTATAAGGGAGGTAACTGTTATTGGCGTATGCGAAAACAATAACAACAAGGTTAAAAGTTAAAGATCGATATAAAGATGATAGTTTTCATAGTAGAGTAGAGTTTAAGTTAAACTCGTCTAAATTTGATGAATGTTTGTTCAAACTTCAATAAATCCGTATGCTGGTGTAAACTTATATAAATGTGTCTGTTCGTATAACTCTGTTCGTGAAAACTTCTATAGACAAGTCTGTTGGTTTAAACTTCTGTAGACAAGTCTGTTGGTTTAAACTTCTAGACAAGTCTGCTGGTTTAAAATTCTATAGACATGTCTGCTGGTTTAAACTTCTATAGACAAGTCTGCTGGTTTAAACTTCTATAGACAAGTCTGTCGATTTAAACTTCTATAGACATGTCTGCTGGTTTAAACTTCTATAGACAAGTCTGTTTGGTTTAAACTTCTATAGACAAGTCTATATATTTGTCAACTTCGATAAATCTGCCTGTTTGTGCAAACTTCTGTAGACCTGTCTGTCAGTGTAAACTTCTGTAAGTCTGTCTGTCAGTGTAAACTTCTGTAGACCTGTCTGTCAGTGTAAACTTCTGTAGACCTGTCTGTCAGTGTAAACTTCTGTAAGTCTGTCTGTCAGTGTAAACTTCTGTAGACCTGTCTGTCAGTGTAAACTTCTGTAGACCTGTCTGTCAGTGTAAACTTCTGTAGACCTGTCTGTCAGTGTAAATTTCTGTAGACCTGTCTGTCAGTGTAAACTTCTGTAGACCTGTCTGTCAGTGTAAATTTCTGTAGACCTGTCTGTCAGTGTAAACTTCTGTAGACCTGTCTGTCAGTGTAAACTTCTGTAGACCTGTCTGTCAGTGTAAACTTCTGTAGACCTGTCTGTCAGTGTAAATTTCTGTAGACCTGTCTGTCAGTGTAAACTTCTGTAGACCTGTCTGTCAGTGTAAACTTCTGTAGACCTGTCTGTCAGTGTAAACTTCTGTAGACCTGTCAGTGTAAACTTCTGTAGACCTGTCTGTCATTGTAAACTTCTCAGGTGTATATTTATTTGTATGTCTAATTTTCTATAAATAAATATGTTGGTGTAAACTTCTATAAATCCGTTTGAAATCCCGTCTCGGTTGGTGTACACTTCTATGAATCCGTTTGCTGAAATTCCGTCTCGGTTGGTGTACACTTCTATAAATCCGTTTGCTCGAATCCCGTCTCGGTTGGTGTACACTTCTATAAATCCGTTTGCTCGAATCCCGTCTCGGTTGGTGTACACTCGGTTGGTGTACACTTCTATAAATCCGTTTGCTCGAATCCCGTCTCGGTTGGTGTACACTTCTATAAATCCGTTTGCTCGAATCCCGTCTCGGTTGGTGTACACTTCTATAAATCCGTTTGCTCGAATCCCGTCTCGGTTGGTGTACACTTCTATAATCCGTTTGCTCGAATCCCGTCTCGGTTGGTGTACACTTCTATAAATCCGTTTGCTCGAATCCCGTCTCGGTTGGTGTAAAGGTATTTATTCATTTATTTATTCTGTTGACATTTTTCTTATACATTTCAAAGAAACAAACTTAATAATAAAAGGTTCGAAATAAAGCTTCGCTTATCGCAATCATTCATATCGCAAAAAGTTTTGCGAGTTCGGATAATAAGCTTCCCTCTGAGGCCTCTTTCCTGATCACGCCACCTATTGGCAAATAATTATAATAAAGAATGATAATCAGGAAAGAACTTCCGGGGAAAGTCTGTGTGTGTTTTCATTTCATGTGTTTTGGAAAGTTTATTGTTTTTTGATCGTTTAAACATTGGTTTACACAACGAAACACATTGTCCATAATATTCACGTATGCAATTTTCATGTTATTTTAGCATACACGGATAATGTTATTGATGAGTCGTTCAAAACAGTATTCTGAGGTAAGTCAGAGCAGTCGGCCTCAGCAATCGTATGATGGCCGCGCAGTCGGTGCAGTACATGGATGCACATGAATGAATCAAGACTTAACCACATGTTTTAAAGCTTAATTTGATGTCTAGATGGAGTATGCCAGATGGCATATATCGTTATCTGTTAGACAGGTAGTCTTACTGTGATAATAAAATAACCTTTTTAACTGTAAAATTGAGTCCAACTGATGATACATATTGATTAGTGATTAATGAACACCCTAATTAGGATAGAATTTCAAATATGTCATTGTTACAAGTCTATTTAAAGGTAATGCGTACATTTTGCATGATGTATAGATGTTTTCAATACATTTTTAGTCATGAATGACTATTTATTATCATTATAATTACTTGCAACTAGGTATAATTAATTATAACTTGTCCCAAGAAGTCATCTGTACATTGAAGTATATCATGAGCTTAGAATAGATACATCTACATCTTAGTCTGTGAGTAGGTACAATTGTAATGGGAACAAAATATTGACGGCAAATTGTTTCAAGTTCTAACTGCGATAGGAACTGAAAAACAAAATCATAGGGGCCTATTGTAAAACCATGTGATTAAATGGCCTTAATTGTTATCAACATAACTACCAAACAGACCATATAGCCACCAGCAATATAATTAAGTCTGTGTCTTTATTTCAAACTTTCCTAGACATAAAGATACAACTTCTAAAAATGCATCTATGCAGAACAGATGAATATCTTTCCTATAGCCAGGAGCAGATAATGTTTTAGTTACTCGGGCTGAAACACACGGCCATGCAGGATTAGAACCATTAATTACTGAACTCTAGATAAATGCTCCAAGGTCAACCAATTTGATGTTACTTCTTTGATGTAGTTTTCATTGCTAATATATATGCACATGTATATTTATTTTTGTTATAAAGGTAATGAAACTTTTTAATGATGAAGATGCTGTATACAGTACCTACAATCATACATACTTGCATCATCAGTTCTGTTTGATATAACCACTGGTAATTTTTAAGTGTATAGGTGATGAAGTTGCTGTAGACAAAGACCTTCATGTATTGAGTGTCCAAATTGATTTAATTACTGGTAATAATTATACTTGCAGATGATGTAGTTGCTATAGACTGTACCTACTTTTGCTAGTGCCTACGTTGATGACAGTGTAACAGTGATGGAGACTGTAGGAAACAAAAGCATGCCTTTCACCAACACTTCCAATGGTGTAGACATCATGGGGTCAAATTGTTTCGACAGATATAACACCGTGGCCTGTATCAGGTGAGACAGAACCAATAGAGAAAGTAGTTTGATGACATAGACTCCATAGGGTTGAAATATTGGGTAAATACAAGAGGCCCAATGGGCTTGCATCATTCATCAGTTTAAACAATCACTCTTGATACAAGAAAAAATTGGTAGCCATGTCTTCTAAATTATGAAGTTAAGTACATGTACAGTGATAATGTGATGTAGTGATAAGAATTGTGGTTGAAATTTAAAATAACCCATATATATCAAGTAGGAAATGAAATATGCAGACATGGAATCAGTTAAGCAGAGGAATTTTTCACAACCACTCAAGTTCTTTCATAAGAGGTTAAATAAATACCCATGGACATTGACTTAAAGGATAAAATGTCCACCCTTCCTCTAAAACCTGTGTTTTTATCTTTCAGGAGCTCTGTGTTAACTTTTCTGGCAGTTTTGACAGCATTACTCTGTATAATGAAGATAGCAAAGCTACACATACATCACCATCCAGCCTGGCACCAGTATGTCATTTTCTACTGCGCGTCCCTGGAGTGTGTTATAGGGTAAGTGTGATGTCAGTTTCTACTGTGAGTCCCTGGAGTGTGTTATAGGGTAAGTGTTGAGTCCCTGAGTGTGTTATAGGGTAAGTGTGATGTGTGTCCATGGAGTGTGTTGGATTGTGTTAATACTGTGTGAGTCCCTGGAGTGTGTTATAGGGTAAGTGTGATGTCATTTTCTACTGCGTGTCCATGGAGTGTGTTATAGGGTAAGTGTGATGTCAGTTTCTACTGTGAGTCCCTGGAGTGTGTTATAGGGTAAGTGTGATGTCATTTTCTGTGAGTCCCTGGAGTGTGTGAGGGTAAGTGTGATGTCCCTGGAGTGTGTTATACGGTAAGTGTGATGTCATTTTTCTACTGGAGTGTGTTATCGGTAAGTGTGATGTGTGTTGGAGTGTGTAGGGTAAGTGTGATGTCATTTTCTACTGTCCCTGGAGTGTGTAGGGTAAGTGTGATGAGTGTGTTATAGGGTAAGTGTGATGTCAGTTTCTACTGCGTGTCCATGGAGTGTGTTATAGGGTAAGTGTGATGTCATTTTCTACTGTGAGTCCCTGGAGTGTGTTATAGGGTAAGTGTGATGTCATTTTCTACTACGCGTCCCTGGAGTGTGTTATACGGCAAGTGTGATGTCATTTTCTACTGCATGTCCATGGAGTGTGTTATACGGTAAGTGTGATGTCATTTTCTACTGTGAGTCCCTGGAGTGTGTTATAGGGTAAGTGTGATGTCAGTTTCTACTGTGAGTCCCTGGAGTGTGTTATACGGTAAGTGTGATGTCATTTTCTACTGTGAGTCCCTGGAATGTGTTATAGGGTAAGTGTGATGTCATTTTCTTCTGCGTGACCCTGGAGTGTGTTATAGGGTAAGTGTCAGTTTCTACTGTGAGTCCCTGGAGTGTGTTATAGGGTAAGTGTGATGTCATTTTCTACTGCGCATCCCTGGAGTGTGTTATACGGTAAGTGTGATGTCATTTTCTACTGTGAGTCCCTGGAGTGTGTTATAGGGTAAGTGTGATGTCAGTTTCTACTGTGAGTCCCTGGAGTGTGTTATAGGGTAAGTGTGATGTCAGTTTCTACTGTGAGTCTCTGGAGTGTGTTATAGGGTAAGTGTGATGTCAGTTTCTACTGTGAGTCCCTGGAATGTGTTATAGTGTGGGTAAGTGTGATGTCAGTCCCTGGAGTGTTTAAAGGGTAAGTGTGATGTCCTACGTGTCCCTGGAGTGTGTTATAGGGTAAGTGTGATGTCATTTTCTACTGCGAGTCCCTGGAGTGTGTTAAAGGGTAAGTGTGATGTCATTCTCTACTACGCGTCCCTGGAGTGTGTTATACGGCAAGTGTGATGTCATTTTCTACTGTGAGTCCCTGGAGTGTGTTATAGGGTAAGTGTGATGTCAGTTTCTACTGCGTGTCCATGGAGTGTGTTATAGGGTAAGTGTGATGTCATTTTCTACTGTTATACGGCAAGTGTGTCATGTCCCGGTAAGTGTGTGTGTCCCTGGAGTGTGTTATAGGGTAAGTGTGATGTCATTTTCTACTGTGAGTCCCTGGAGTGTGTTATAGGGTAAGTGTGGTGTCAGTTTCTACTGTGAGTCCCTGGAGTGTGTTATAGGGTAAGTGTGATGTCAGTGTGTTTCCCTGATGACTGCGTGTCCTGGAATGTGTTATACGGTAAGTGTGATGTCATTTTCTACTGTGAGTCCCTGGAGTGTGTTATAGGGTAAGTGTGATGTCATTTTCTACTGCGTGTCCATGGAGTGTGTTATAGGGTAAGTGTGATGTCATTTTCTACTGTGAGTCCCTGGAGTGTGTTATAGGGTAAGTGTGATGTCAGTTTCTACTGTGAGTCCCTGGAGTGTGTTATACGGTAAGTGTGATGTCATTTTCTACTGCGTGTCCATGGAGTGTGTTATAGGGTAAGTGTGATGTCAGTTTCTACTGTGAGTCCCTGGAGTGTGTTATAGGGTAAGTGTGATGTCATTCTCTACTGTGAGTCCCTGGAGTGTGTTATAGGGTAAGTGTGATGTCATTTTCTACTACGCGTCCCTGGAGTGTGTTATACGGCAAGTGTGATGTCATTTTCTACTGCATGTCCATGGAGTGTGTTATAGGGTAAGTGTGATGTCAGTGTGTTTAGGGTAAGTGTGATGTCATTTCTCTACGCGTCCCTGGAGTGTGTTATGCAAGTGTGTCGTGTCCATGGAGTGTGTTAGTGTACGGTCCCTGGAGTGTGTTAAGTGTGATGTCAGTTTCTACTGAGTCCCTGGAGTGTGTTATAGTGGTAAGTGTGATGTCATGTCATTTTTTCTACGGTAAGTGTGATGACAGTCCCTGGAGTGTGTTATAGGGTAAGTGTGATGTCAGTTTCTACTGTGAGTCCCTGGAGTGTGTTATAGGGTAAGTGTGATGTCATTTTCTACTGCGTGTCCATGGAGTGTGTTATACGGTAAGTGTGATGTCATTTTCTACTGTGAGTCCCTGGAGTGTGTTATACGGTAAGTGTGATGTCAGTTTCTACTGCGTGTCCATGGAGTGTGTTATAGGGTAAGTGTGATGTCATTTTCTACTGCGTGTCCATGGAGTGTGTTATAGGGTATGTGTGATGTCATTTTCTACTGCTGGAGTGTGTTATAGGGTAAGTGTGATGTCAGTCCCTGGAGTGTGTTATACGGTAAGTGTGATGTCAGTTTCTACTGCGAGTCCATGGAGTGTGTTATACGGTAAGTGTGATGTCATTTTCTACTGTGAGTCCCTGGAGTGTGTTATAGGGTAAGTGTGATGTCAGTTTCTACTGTGAGTCCCTGGAGTGTGTTATAGGGTAAGTGTGATGTCATTTTCTACTGCGTGTCCATGGAGTGTGTTATAGGGTAAGTGTGATGTCAGTTTCTACTGTGAGTCCCTGGATTGTGTTATAGTGTAAGTGTGAATCATTTTCTTCTGCGTGTCCCTGGATTGTGTTATAGGGTAAGTGTGAATCATTTTCTTCTGCGTGTCCCTGGATTGTGTTATAGGGTAAGTGTGATGTCAGTTTCTACTGCGTGTCCATGGAGTGTGTTATAGGGTAAGTGTGATGTCAGTTTCTACTGTGAGTCCCTGGAGTGTGTTATAGGGTAAGTGTGATGTCATTTTCTACTGCGAGTCCCTGGAGTGTGTTAAAGGGTAAGTGTGATGTCATTCTCTACTACGCGTCCCTGGAGTGTGTTATACGGCAAGTGTGATGTCATTTTCTACTGCATGTCCATGGAGTGTGTTATACGGTAAGTGTGATGTCATTTTCTACTGTGAGTCCCTGGAGTGTGTTATAGGGTAAGTGTGATGTCATTTTCTACTGCGTGTCCCTGGAGTGTGTTATAGGGTAAGTGTGATGTCATTTTCTACTGCGTGTCCATGGAGTGTGTTATAGGGTAAGTGTGATGTCATTTTCTACTGCGAGTCCCTGGAGTGTGTTAAAGGGTAAGTGTGATGTCATTATCTACTGCGTGTCCCTGGAGTGTGTTTTAGGGTAAGTGTGATGTCATTTTCTACTGCGTGTCCATGGAGTGTGTTATAGGGTAAGTGTGATGTCAGTTTCTACTGTGAGTCCCTGGAGTGTGTTATAGGGTAAGTGTGATGTCATTTTCTTCTGCGTGACCCTGGATTGTGTTATAGGGTAAGTGTGATGTCATTTTCTTCTGCGCGTCCCTGGATTGTGTTATAGGGTAAGTGTGAAGTCTGGAGTGTGTTATAGGGTAAGTGTGATGTCATTCTCTACTGTGAGTCCCTGGAGTGTGTTATAGGGTAAGTATGATGTCATTATCTACTGCGTGTCCCTGGAGTGTGTTTTAGGGTAAGTGTGATGTCATTTTCTACTGCGCATCCCTGGAGTGTGTTATACGGTAAGTGTGATGTCATTTTCTACTGTGAGTCCCTGGAATGTGTTATATGGTAAGTGTGATGTCAGTTTCTACTGTGAGTCCCTGGAGTGTGTTATAGGGTAAGTGTGATGTCATTTTCTTCTGCGCGTCCCTGGATTGTGTTATAGGGTAAGTGTGAATCATTTTCTACTGCGTGTCCCTGGATTGTGTTATAGGGTAAGTGTGATGTCATTCTCTACTGTGAGTCCCTGGATTGTGTTATAGTGTAAGTGTGAATCATTTTCTACTGTGAGTCCCTGGAGTGTGTTATAGGGTAAGTGTGATGTCATTTTCTTCTGCGCGTCCCTGGAGTGTGTTATACGGTAAGTGTGATATCATTTTCTACTGTGTGTCCCTGGAGTGTGTTATAGGGTAAGTGTGATGTCAATTTACATTTCAATTCCCTGATGTGTTAGAAAGGGTAAGTGTTTGTGATTTTAATAAATCATTTTCTACTGTGAAATAGTGTGTTTGAAGTGTGATGTCTTTTCTATCTGTGAGTCCCTGGAGTGTGTTATTAAGTGTGATGTCAGTTTCTACTGTGAGTCCATGGAGTGTGTTATAGGGTAAGTGTGATGGGACTGGTGTCCCTGGAGTGTGTTTGAGAACCCGTTGTAAGTGTGATGTCTTTTCTACTGTGAGTCCTGGAGTGTGTTATAGGGTAGTGTGAAATATCTTTGAATAGCCTTATTAAAAGTTATACTTGTGTTGTTACAGGGGTGTTCATTGGGTACTGGTAGCCTATGCACAGCTGGACTTTGTGCTACAGTATCTAAAGCTGTTACAATTTCTCGTTATGTGTCATTTCTACTGGACCTTGGCAACTCGGGCACTGAGGCGTGAAAGGCTCACCAAATGGTAATGGCAACTTAGGATTAACCATCATTGTTTATGGAATCTTAATTCAGTACATGTTCCTTTTATATATCAGACAATGATACTTTTGCTTTCAAACTTTAGAGTGATGTAGAAGTCTTGATGATACTATCAATGCCAGTATTGCTTTCAAACTTTGGAGTGATGTAGAAGACTTGATGATACTATAAATGACAGTATTGCTTTCAAACTTTAGAGTGATGTAGAAGACTTGATGATACTATAAATGACAGTATTGCTTTCAAACTTTAGAGTGATGTAGAAGACTTGATGATACTATCAATGACAGTATTGCTTTCAAACTTTAGAGTGATGTAGAAGACTTGATGATACTATCAATGACAGAATTGCTTTCAAACTTTAGAGTGATGTAGAAGACTTGATGATACTATCAATGACAGTATTGCTTTCAAACTTTAGAGTGATGTAGAAGACTTGATGATACTATCAATGACAGTATTGCTTTCAAACTTTAGAGTGATGTTGAAGACTTGATGATACTATAAATGACAGTATTGCTTTCAAACTTTAGAGTGATGTTGAAGACTTGATGATACTATAAATGACAGTATTGCTTTCAAACTTTAGAGTGATGTTGAAGACTTGATGATACTATAAATGACAGTATTGCTTTCAAACTTTAGAGTGATGTTGAAGACTTGATGATACTATAAATGACAGTATTGCTTTCAAACTTTAGAGTGATGTAGAAGACTTGATGATACTATCAATGACAGTATTGCTTTCAAACTTTAGAGTGATGTAGAAGACTTGATGATACTATCAATGACAGAATTGCTTTCAAACTTTGGAGTGATAAAGAAGTTCTCAAATATCATGCATGCATGTTCCAATCATTGTATAATTTACTAATGAATATCTGTTGAAATGTAATATTCCTGACAGAATTGACAGGGGTTCTACATAATATTGATTTATGATTATGTTTTAGGTTCCTTATCCCGTTTCTAGTACTGGTGTGTGTTTACTTCACTGTCATAGCTACGCTGGGTATTGTTAATGTGCAGTCAACTTTAACGGAGTGCCTACGTGAGTCATCAAAATCTTTGTACTCCCTCTTAGTCTAGATTATGATTGGATTAAATTATTTAGCTACAAAGGTATTCAATAAAATTATTGCTACACTTCATAAGGTTATGAAATGAAACTGATGTTTGTATGTATTCCAAAGGACCTTCTTGTTGATAATAGGGATATAAATAATTTGTAATGTCATGAACTTCCAAAAGTAATTCAGTATACCTATGTAGTTCTACTTTAGGTTTTCTATTTGAGGCAAAGCTTGTAGCTACCTTTTGCTGATCATGTATGCACAAAACCCAAACATTTTGTAATTTTTATTGGTTTGTCATTCCTGAAACAGCTGATGGGTTTATCTTGAATGGTCTGTTATTCCTGAAACAGTCGATAGATTTTTAATCTTGAATGGTCTGTCATTCTCGTAACAGCTGATGGGTTTGTAATCTTGAATGATCTGTCATTCCTGAAAGAGCTGATGTGTTTATCTTGAATGGTCTGTTATTCCTGAAACAGTTGATAGATTTTTAATCTTGAATGGTCTGTCATTCCTGAAACAGCTGATGGGTTTGTAATCTTGAATGATCTGTCATTCCTGAAACAGCTGATGGGTTCGTAATCTTGAACTGTATGTTATTCCAGGGATAAATGATCTATTTTAATTTTGATTGGTCTGTCATTGAAGTAACAGATAACTTGTATAATTGTGATTGCATCATATATATAATGTAAACCATATCAATGTCCATAGGTGTTTGTCAGCTTACATATATGAGTTTGGCCATATCTATAATCATAGGTATTTATTAAGCCATATCAATATCCACAGTTTTTCTTCATATTAGTTGTGTCAAATCCCAATCCTGTGACTGTTGATGAACTGATGTTTATAATTTGTTGTTAACTTCTTCCCCAACAGAACCTTACTGGCTGGAGTTGTCGGGGGCAGAGTTTGTGACAGTCCAGCTGTTCGGAGTAGCTGGCTTTTATATCACACGTCGACTTAATGAGATTAGTACTCTGGATTCAGTTCGATGGTCACAAAAGAGGGACCTGTGGTGGTAAGTAGTTTACATATAATAGTTTGTATATTCATATTTACTCTGTGAGAAAGAAAATCATACAAATGTTCTTAAAATCACAGATTTGAAATCTGTAACGTAATTATAGATATGTTAGCTTATTAGTGAACAGCCTTTTAGTTACATTTTAGACATCAAAATATGTGTGACAAAGTGTGATTTTCTTTTGTGTTTCAGCAGTGTGACTAAGTGTGATTTATTTTGTGTTTCAGCAGTGTGACTAAGTGTGATTTATTTTGTGTTTCAGCAGTGTGACTAAGTGTGACTTATTTTGTGTTTCAGCAGTGTGACTAAGTGTGATTTATTTTGTGTTTCAGCAGTGTGACTAAGTGTGATTTATTTTGTGTTTCAGCAGTGTGACTAAGTGTGACTTATTTTGTGTTTCAGCAGTGTGACTAAGTGTGATTTATTTTGTGTTTCAGCAGTGTGACTAAGTGTGATTTATTTTGTGTTTCAGCAGTGTGAATAAGTGTGATTTTCTTTTGCATTCAGCAGTGTGACTACGTATAACTTTCATGTTTCAGCAGTGTGACTAAGTGTGACTTATTTTGTGTTTCAGCAGTGTGACTAAGTGTGATTTATTTTGTGTTTCAGCAGTGTGACTAAGTGTGATTTTCTTTTGTGTTTCAGCATTGTGATTGTGTTCGAGATATCAGCCTTTGTTGGATTCTTGTATGATATTATGCTAAAAATATGTAAGTATTATCCCAATCACTGATAATTTAGATGTTTTACTCCTGGGAATAAAGACTGACCCTGGGGTCTGGTTTTATCTGTGGTCTATATAAGAGTTACTCTCTGGGCCATCCTTGGGTCTGGTCCCATCTCTGGTCTATACAAGAGTTACTCTCTGGGCCATCCTTGGGTCTGGTCCCATCTCTGGTCTATATAAGAGTTACTCTCTGGGCCATCCTTGGGTCTGGTCCCATCTCTGGTCTATACAAGAGTTACTCTCTGGGCCATCCTTGGGTCTGGTCCCATCTCTGGTCTATACAAGAGTTACTCTCTGGGCCATCCTTGGGTCTGGTCCCATCTCTGGTCTATACAAGAGTTACTCTCTGGGCCATCCTTGGGTCTGGTCCCATCTCTGGTCTATACAAGAGTTACTCTCTGGGCCATCCTTGGGTCTGGTCCCATCTCTGGTCTATACAAGAGTTACTCTCTGGGCCATCCTTGGGTCTGGTCCCATCTCTGGTCTATACAAGAGTTACTCTCTGGGCCATCCTTGGGTCTGGTCCCATCTCTGGTCTATATAAGAGTTACTCTCTGGGCCATCCTTGGGTCTCGTCCCATCTCTGGTCTATATAAGAGTTACTCTCTGGGCCATCCTTGGGTCTGGTCCCATCTCTGGTCTATACAAGAGTTACTCTCTGGGCCATCCTTGGGTCTGGTCCCATCTCTGGTCTATACAAGAGTTACTCTCTGGGCCATCCTTGGGTCTGGTCCCATCTCTGGTCTATACAAGAGTTACTCTCTGGGCCATCCTTGGGTCTGGTCCCATCTCTGGTCTATATAAGAGTTACTCTCTGGGCCATCCTTGGGTCTGGTCCCATCTCTGGTCTATACAAGAGTTACTCTCTGGGCCATCCTTGGGTCTGGTCCCATCTCTGGTCTATATAAGAGTTACTCTCTGGGCCATCCTTGGGTCTGGTCCCATCTCTGGTCTATACAAGAGTTACTCTCTGGGCCATCCTTGGGTCTGGTCCCATCTCTGGTCTATACAAGAGTTACTCTCTGGGCCATCCTTGGGTCTGGTCCCATCTCTGGTCTATACAAGAGTTACTCTCTGGGCCATCCTTGGGTCTGGTCCCATCTCTGGTCTATACAAGAGTTACTCTCTGGGCCATCCTTGGGTCTGGTCCCATCTCTGGTCTATACAAGAGTTACTCTCTGGGCCATCCTTGGGTCTGGTCCCATCTCTGGTCTATATAAGAGTTACTCTCTGGGCCATCCTTGGGTCTCGTCCCATCTCTGGTCTATATAAGAGTTACTCTCTGGGCCATCCTTGGGTCTGGTCCCATCTCTGGTCTATACAAGAGTTACTCTCTGGGCCATCCTTGGGTCTGGTCCCATCTCTGGTCTATACAAGAGTTACTCTCTGGGCCATCCTTGGGTCTGGTCCCATCTCTGGTCTATATAAGAGTTACTCTCTGGGTCATCCTTGGGTCTGGTCCCATCTCTGGTCTAAATGTGAGTTATTCTCTGGGTCATCCTTGGGTCTGGTCCCATCTCTGGTCTAAATGAGAGTTACTCTCTAGATCCTCCATGGATCTGTTCCTTCCTCTTTTCTCTACAAGGTTTCAGTATAACCACTGTATATGATGAATTGACTCTGATCTTGTTTTTGTTTACAGTGGGTGATGAGAGCAGTGGATGCAGTAAGATTTTTGTAAGTTGATTTTTAAGTCATTTAACATGTTGTGAATAGTGAAAAAAAATTTCAATTACTATGGTGTTCTTAGCATATTTCAAATTGTTCAACAAATTTCAACAAATTTAGACCCTCAAGAAAATCTACAGAACACTCGATAAGTATACAACAAGGACTTACTGTCTCCCTGGCAGATTACTCGATTCAGCAGAACACTATCCATGTTTTACAGGTAAACAACAATTGCTCTGTGATTTGGATATCCAGTCTTTGCCATGCCAGGTCAAATAGTTAATCTAACCACAGTCATCTTGAACAGCTTGATAAATTGTCTCTTGTCAATTTACAGTTAAACTTTATTATTTGTCCTGTTAGCTTTCCTATTCCTTCTATTGTTGACACAATATTTTAGGGTTCCCTGTCCTTACCCCATTTCTTAATACAACATCTGATAGGTACACATTTTAGGTCTGATTCTTTTCTACCAGGAAAAATTCTTTTGGAGTAAGACAGGTAATCATTGGAGTAGGACAGGTAATCATTGGAGTAGGACAGATAATTTTGGACTGAGAGATAATTTTGGAATGAGAGATAATTTTGGAGTGAGACAGATAATTTTAGATCAGAACAGATAATTTTGGAGTGAGAGAGATGGCTGGCTTTGGAGTAAATTATTGCTGGATTTAAATGGTGATTTGTTTTACAGATTTATAGATCAGATGTTCTTTTATGAGGTGAAATAGGTATTAGTTGTAATTCAATGCTGAGGATTTATCATCTGTGAAATTGTACGATTTGATAAAAAATATGTTTTATGCATTAGATAATGTGATTTTTTCTTTGATTTGTTTTTTACCCGTCATTTCAGAATGATGCAGAGGAGCTGTATTCAACAATATTCATTATTTTTATGGTAGGTGTTAACCTGGTCACCATGTCAGTATCGATTACATTGTTAAATATTCAGGGAGTCACAACTTCTAAAACACATATAGATTTAAGGAGTGTGAATTTCTCTGATATTTTAGAATGATTGTATACTTTTGAAGGTGAGACCTGACATAATAATATGCTTTCGCTTTTGAAAGTCATACCTGAAATGGTATGCTTTTGAATATACACATGATGCTTTGTTTTTGTAGATAACTCATGGCATTGTGGGGTTTTGAAGATGACATCTGACAATTTATGCTTTTGAAGAATACATATGACATTGTATGCTTTTGAAGATGACACCTGAAGCTATATGCTTTTGAAGAATACATATGACATTGTATGCTTTTTAAGATGACACCTGAAGCTATATGCTTTTGAAGAATACATATGACATTGTATGCTTTTGAAGATGACATCTGAGGCTGTATGCTTTTGAAAATCAGACCTAACATTGGGTGATTTTAAAAGTCCACCTATCATTTTGAGACTTTTGTGTTTCAGGTGTTAAAACTCTTACTTCCTATTTGGGTGATGCTGTTCGTGTTCCAGCCATCACCCCCAGTTGTGGATCATGATGACCTAATACCAGCACTCAGTGATGATGGGGTAAGATTTCACTTCATTCCTGTTATCATATTTGCAACAGATAATTTAAAACTAATTGAATTAACTTTATTCTTCATTATCTAAGATAATATTCGAGTGGTAACCATCATATCTGAAAAGGAAAGGCTCTTGATAAAAACCATTGAGATGGTGGAGTCCATTTTGGTTGTTGATTAACAACTGTGTAGCCTGTATAGCGTGGTAAGTATCTAGGTGTTGTGCCAGACTATTGTCTTTACCACGGAACTAACAATACAAAAGGCGTGTATTGCAGATGTTTTTCTCTATACAGAATTCTGCGTTCAGTGCCAGTATAGATGACCATCAGTATAGGCAGCTTTACCATCCAGCCGAGGATTACCACAGCTTCAACGATAACTCACCATCACCTGCAGCGCCACCTAGCAGGGTATCCAACGGAAACATGAAACGGAGCACCTCAAATCTTGACCCTATCAGAGAAGAAGCAACTCCGAACAGTTCCGTAAAATCCAAATCTGAGGAAACGAATAACTCCAGTAAACAGGCAGGCAGCAATGAGACACCACCTGTCCAGAGGAGCAAGTTTTACATATGATGGTGCAGGCGTCTTTTGTACTGTGTAAGCCCAAGTTTTGTGACTATAGGTCCAGTAAACTTCTAAAGTACAGTTAGGTAAAGAATTACTGTAAGATACACAAGTTGAAGACAAACTTCCTGCCGTGTTACAGATCATCCCTCTATTGTATAGCGTTACTGGACTGGATTTTACAAACTGCATCTTCCTCAGGTCCCAAGAAAAAAAAGCTCAAGGTGTGTGATGCTACAGGAAATCTCGAAGATTGTCTGTACAACCATCATGACTATTGATTTGATTTGTGATGTGACTACCTCCAGTCACTATGTGCAATTTTCATCTTGTTTGATTTCCAAAAAATGAAACTTAAAGTAAAGACGATGATATTACATGTAACTTCACTTCTTGAGGAATTTTCTTAAATGACAAGGAATTTTCTTTTTTCATTCTCTGACTAATCTTGATCAGAGTCAACAGTTCCCAAAGAATTGAATATAATTTGTTATATATGAAAAGTGTACATGTGATGTGTGTGTGTTATATCAAAGTCTTATATACTTTGTGAAAAGTGTACGTGATGTGAGTGTGTTATATCAAAGTCTTATATACTTTGTGAAAAGTGTACATGTGATGTGAGTGTGTTATATCAAAGTCTTATATACTTTGTGAAATCACTTGGATAGGCCCACTCAAGATTTTTTTTGTTGAAACTCAAGAAGTGAAAGATCTAGGAAACAATGAAGAGACTACAAATAAGTCTGACCACAGTGATACGTTAAGTTTAGACTAATGACAATAGCAGAGCACTCCATATTTAAATAGGGCTGGTCAAAGGAAGCAAGTATCCGGGTTACAGGTGAAACACACCACCTAGTGTACTAGTGTGTCTGTGGTATTTTATACCTGAGCAGCTGATTACCCAGGGTTTATTCTATTTAGTACATATCTAAATCATGAATTGTGTTTTCTCACTAATGATCGATGTCCAGATGTTTAATTCTAGACTTCAGATATAAACTGGCATAAAAATAACCTTAAAAAATCATGTTTAGTCATTTTATAAAATTCTGAGAGGTAATGACATGTCGTTACATGTATGTATTTTTCATATCTTGTATTCTTTGCCCAACACAGCTGTTATATCTTAAAGGGTCCTTACTATATGACATTTATATTACAAATGGTTTTGTGCTATAATTTACATCTGATTTATTTAAATTTATACATTTTTTCATGTTTTAAAATTTTTCCGGTCTTAGCTCACCATCAGATGGTGGTGGACTTGTCAAATCGCTCATCTGTAGTCCATCCATCTTTCCATTAATCCTTAAGCAAATCTTGATGTCACCATTTTTGGAGAAGCAGAATACGGATCATTACCTTGGTCCTGGCTGACAGGCAGGAAACTTGAATTTCTGGGATTGGACAGTTGGATATTTCTGTTGTTATTTATTAAGAGGAATTTCGTGATTTTATATAATTAAGAACAAAATACAGAAAAAGAAAAGAAAGAAAGGAAAGATCTTTTAGAGAACAAGTAGATGAGACACCAGTGGGTGCCCTCTGGGATATCTGGTTTAGCTACAACACTTGTATAAAGAATATATAGCAGTGCTAATTATGTTTACAATGCATTTGCACCATTTGATATTATAGACAAGTTTATGTTGAAATTTTCATGCTACTTTTTACTTTTTTCTATTATTTGTAACTTCACACACCAAGTCATTGATTGGTGTGGTGTAACTTCACACACCAAGTCATTGATTTGTGTGGTGTAACTTCACACACCAATTCATCGATTGGTGTGGTGTAACTTCACACACCAAGTCATTGATTGGTGTGGTGTAACTTCACACACCAAGTCATTGATTGGTGTGGTGTAACTTCACACACCAAGTCATTGATTGGTGTGGTGTAACTTCACACACCAATTCATCGATTGGTGTGGTGTAACTTCACACACCAATTCATCGATTGGTGTGGTGTAACTTCACACACCAAGTCATTGATTGGTGTGGTGTAACTTCACACACCAAGTCATTGATTGGTGTGGTGTAACTTCACACACCAAGTCATTGATTTGTGTGGTGTAACTTCACACACCAATTCATCGATTGGTGTGGTGTAACTTCACACACCAAGTCATTGATTGGTGTGGTGTAACTTCACACACCAAGTCATTGATTGGTGTGGTGTAACTTCACACACCAAGTCATTGATTGGTGTGGTGTAACTTCACACACCAATTCATCGATTGGTGTGGTGTAACTTCACACACCAAGTCATCGATTGGTGTGGTGTAACTTCACACACCAAGTCATTGATTGGTGTGGTGTAACTTCACACACCAAGTCATCGATTGGTGTGGTGTAACTTCACTCACCAATTCATCGATTGGTGTGGTGTAACTTCACTCACCAATTCATCGATTGGTGTGGTGTAACTTCACTCACCAATTCATCGATTGGTGTGGTGTAACTTCACACACCAATTCATCGATTGGTGTGGTGTAACTTCACACACCAATTCATCGATTGGTGTGGTGTAACTTCACACACCAAGTCATCGATTGGTGTGGTGTAACTTCACACACCAAGTCATCGATTGGTGTGGTGTAACTTCACACACCAAGTCATTGATTGGTGTGGTGTAACTTCACACACCAAGTCATTGATTGGTGTGGTGTAACTTCACTCACCAATTCATCGATTGGTGTGGTGTAACTTCACACACCAAGTCATTGATTGGTGTGGTGTAACTTCACACACCAAGTCATTGATTGGTGTGGTGTAACTTCACACACCAAGTCATTGATTGGTGTGGTGTAACTTCACTCACCAATTCATCGATTGGTGTGGTGTAACTTCACACACCAAGTCATTGATTGGTGTGGTGTAACTTCACTCACAAATTCATTGATTGGTGTGGTGTAACTTCACACAACCATTCATTGATTGGTGTGGTGTTTTTGAATTTCTAAAACTGTAATTTCAATGAATGTTTTTGTATGTGTTTACATGAGGTCCAAGCTGTACTACCCAGTGCTTAGTAAATACTACGACTAAGTTGTGTGTGGTGGTTTCTTAGGAATTGTTTTGTTCAAAGTTCTACACTTTCATGATTATGCCTTAATTTGATTTGGTTGTATGTGATGTTCACTTACATAAGATTAGGTTGTTAGGTCCAAGTTATACACCTCAATGTTAACTTCAATATTGTATGTACTATTCATGATTTTGTGATAACCCTGGGTCTTACACAGCTTCTTCAGATCATGATATTCACCATTAGCATGCTAGGAATAAGGACAACTAAGTTTGTTCAAATGATTGACCTTGACTCATTTTCAGTGTCAATAGAGTCTTTTAATAGTATTTCTTCAATCAAAACAAATGTAAAATTTCCTCTAAGTACCTAAGAGGCCCTCCTGGAAATTGGGACAGTAGCATTCCAAGATAAAGGCTACCAACTTTGTACAAATGTATTACATTGACCTACTTTCAGGTCACATGTGTAGCTAGGTTTTTTAGGAGCTGCTTGCAATTATTTGTGTTGGTTACCACATGTGTAGGATCACCTTGAACATTTTCCACAAAATTGGTGTAAGTATGGCTGTATAAGCTATCAAGGACATGAGGATTTGAGGCTGTTGTTGATGATTACTGTAATGAAGACTGTATTTTAGATGTTGGTGTACTTTAGTATTAAGTGTGATGTACATATGTCACTTTGTTAATGGTTCACTGCAGCATTGATAAACCCTAGTGTTTTGGTATATGCACTACTTGTACATTGATGTCCTGAGCACCATCCTTTAAGATGGCTGGATATGCTAGATAGGATTTGTATCAGTATTCAAATTACTGAATTAGACACAATATCTTGTTGACACAATATTTTTAAGTATTTGGTACTAAGTTGTTTTGTGTTTATTGGTTTCTGAAAACAAATGTATTAGGAATATCATTGCTTTGACAGTTTGTTACATTCACATAGCTCAGATGCTACTGAGGTGTTCTACTAACCCTCTCTAGGCTATGCATTTCCACCACACATTTCCATGTGAAGGCAGTGTCAGGTGCATCCTTATATTGTTACAATACCTGCCACAATAATCATCACACGAGTCAATATTTTATAAACATGTACCAGTAGTTACAGGTCAACTGAGGCAGTAAGATCTATTGCAATCACATTTTGTCTGTTCGTAGTAAACATTTCCCATTTTCTACATATTCCCTCAACCAAATTTAATTATTTTTGCAGAAGGCTTTGATGGCCAGAAGTAAACCAAAATTGTCAGTTATACAGAGATAAAGTTTACTATAGCTTTTGTGATTTCCTAAATAACTCCAACTTTTGTTTGAAGATAATTAACATGAGATAGCATTACATGTTTCAGTTCTCTTACTTTTATTATTAGAATTCAGATGACCATTGAGGCCAATTGCAATTCCTATATTGATGTTAAGTGGTTATCTCCCTTACCTCATGTATGCATGTCAACACTATACCTTGATTTTAAGTGGTTATCTCCCTTTCTTCGTGTATCTATGTCACTACCATACATTGATTTTAAGTGGTTATCTCCCTTACCCTGTATGTCATCACCATACATTAATTCAAAGATGTTATCTCCCTTGCTTTTGAGTATGTATGTCACATCTATACATTAATGTTAACCGATTATCTCCCTTACTCTTTGTGTATGTCATCACCATACATTGATTTTCAGTGAGTATCTCATTTGCTCTTGTGCATGTATGTCACACCAGTACTTTGATGTAAAGTAGTTATTTCTCTTACTCTGTATGTCAACATCGATGTATAGTGTTAATGATGTAAAGTGGTTACGATGTGAAGGGAGTTATCTCCCTTACTCTGTATGTCACTAATACACATCAATGTAAAGTGGTTATCTCCCTTACTCTGTCTATGTATGTCACCATTATACAATGATGAAAAATGGTTACTCTGTGTATTATGTTAAATACATTTGAGACAATATTAGTGGAGGAAGACTGGGTCACAGCATTTATCTTTTGTATCACAGCTTTACTGAAGGTTTATTTTTACTGGTTCCCTTCTGTGTGATTTTATACTTATGTTACTTGTCAATCTTAAAAGTACATGCATTAAAAACAACATATAAAACTGAAGCATTTTGTCTGTTTTTATCAACTAACTGCCATATTTGTTATCTGAACTGTACACAGTCTTGCTAGTGTACCAGTATTAACACTGGAAGCTGACATGCTAGCTACCTGTATTAACACTGGGAGCTGACATGCTAGCTACCTGTATTAACACTGGGAGCTGACATGCTGGCTACCTGTATTAACACTGGGAGCTGACATGCTAGCTACCTGTATTAACACTGGGAGCTGACATGCTGGCTACCTGTATTAACACTGGGAGCTGACATGCTGGCTACCTGTACTAACACTGGGAGCTGACATGCTGGCTACCTGTACTAACACTGGGAGCTGACATGCTGACTACCTGTATAAACACTGGGAGCTGACATGCTGACTACCTGTATAAACACTGGGAGCTGACATGCTGGCTACCTGCATAAACACTGGGAGCTGACATGCTGGCTACCTGTACTAACACTGGGAGCTGACATGCTGGCTACCTGTATAAACACTGGGAGCTGACATGCTGGCTATCTGTATAAACACTGGGAGCTGACATGCTGGCTACCTGTATAAACACTGGGAGCTGACATGCTGGCTACCTGTACTAACACTGGGAGCTGACATGCTGGCTACCTGTATTAACACTGGGAGCTGACATGCTGGCTACCTGTATTAACACTGGGAGCTGACATGCTGGCTACCTGTATTAACACTGGGAGCTGACATGCTGGCTACCTGTACTAACACTGGGAGCTGACATGCTGGCTACCTGTACTAACACTGGGAGCTGACATGCTGGCTACCTGTACTAACACTGGGAGCTGACATGCTGACTACCTGTATAAACACTGGGAGCTGACATGCTGGCTACCTGTATTAACACTGGGAGCTGACATGCTGACTACCTGTATAAACACTGGGAGCTGACATGCTGACTACCTGTATAAACACTGGGAGCTGACATGCTGGCTACCTGTATAAACACTGGGAGCTGACATGCTGGCTACCTGTACTAACACTGGGAGCTGACATGCTGGCTACCTGTACTAACACTGGGAGCTGACATGCTGGCTACCTGTACTAACACTGGGAGCTGACATGCTGGCTACCTGTATAAACACTGGGAGCTGGCATGCTGACTACCTGTATAAACACTGGGAGCTGACATGCTGGCTACCTGTACAAACACTGGGAGCTGACATGCTGGCTACCTGTACTAACACTGGGAGCTGACATGCTGGCTACCTGTATAAACACTGGGAGCTGACATGCTGGCTACCTGTGCTAACACTGGGAGCTGACATGCTAGCTATCTATATTGGTATCATCTTGGTAAAAATACACAGTTATATTTTCAACATGAATTGATAACAACTTCAGATGAAGATGAATGATATTAGTAAACAATTGAAAAGTTCAAAATTCAGTTGGATTGGTTAACCTTTATTGTATAACAATTATAACAGCAAGTTGTCTGATGACTGCAGGCTTGTTTAACAATTATAATAGCAAGTTGTCTGATGACCACAGGCTCGTTAAACAAATATCATAGCAAGTTTTCTGATGACCACAGACTCGTTTAACAATTATAACAGCATGTTGTCTGATGACCACAGGCTTGTTTAAAAATTGTCATAGCAAATTGTCTGATGACCACAGACTAGATTAACAATTATAACAGCAAGTTGTCTGATGACCACAGGCTCGTTTAACAATTATAACAGCAAGTTGTCTGATGACCACAGGCTCGTTTAACAATTATAACAGCAAGTTGTCTGATGACTCCAGGCTCGTTAAACAAATATAACAGCAAGTTGTCTGATGACCACAGGCTCGCTTAACAAATATAACAGGAAGTTGTCTGATGACCACAGGCTCGCTTAACAAATATAACAGGAAGTTGTCTGATGACTCCAGGCTCGTTTAACAATTATAACAGCAAGTTTTCTGATGACTGCAGACTTGTTTAACAATTATAACAGCAAGTTGTCTGATGACTGCAGACTTGTTTAACAATTATCATAGCAAGTTTTCTGATGACTGCAGACTTGTTTAACAATTATAACAGCAAGTTGTCTGATGACTGCAGACTTGTTTAACAATTATCATAGCAAGTTTTCTGATGACTGCAGACTTGTTTAACAATTATAACAGCAAGTTGTCTGATGACTGCAGACTTGTTTAACAATTATAATGGCAAGTTGTCCACTGTCAGCAGGTCCCAAACAACCACTGTCCACTGACAGCAGGTCCCACACTCCCCATGTCACATGACATCAGTCCTATAATGACTTTGGTCCCACACCCCTAATGTCTCATGACATCAGTCCAACAATGACTTTGGTTCCACACTTCCAATGTCACATGACATCAGATCCACAATGACTTTGGTCCCACACCCCTTATGTCTCATGACATCAGTCCCACAATGACTTTGGTCCCACACTTCCAATGTCACATGACATCAGTCCCACAATAACTTTGGTCCCACACTCCCAATGTCACATGACATCAGTCCAACAATGACTTTGGTTAACACTCCAAATGTCCCATGGCATCAGTCCCACAATGACCTTGGTCCCACACTCCCAATGTCACATGACATCAGTCCCACAATAACTTTGGTCCCACACCCCTAATGTCCTATGGTAATAGTCTACAGGTCTGAAGACCACAACATCAGTCCAAGGACATCCAGGTACACACAAAGAAAAAGTTCCTCTGTAGATTTGCCATTGAATATTCAGCAACACAGTAATCTCATCTTCGGTGACACCAAATTGTTGACTTTCTGCAAACAACAGATTCTTTTTATAACAATCGTGATATTTCTTTTAGTTCAGGCTAATAGAAAGTGGTTTAGATCTTCCTGGAAAAATGTATGAAAGGAACTTTTTTCCTTTAACACAATTTAAGTATAGAGTATGACATGTAATGCTACCGACCTGACCATTCCATTCATATACATGTAGTGTTTGTTACAACATTCCTGTAATCTATGTTTCCGTATCAAACATAACTTCCGTATCAAATCTATATAAGGACTTACCGTACAGGAGGCAAATGGTCCTATACAATGTCCAAACCTTCTCATAGCTTCCTGTACATCACTGGGCAGGATGGCCTGCGATGAAGAAACCTCTAAATTTTGACCATGTCCACTCTGAGGAGGATAGAAAACAGAATCTCACTCTAATGTGATATACACCTATTAAAACCTCAATTTTATACAACCAATAATTTCATGTTGTGTTAGGTATTGTTACCAGCTTACCTTTCTGCGCTTCTTTGATTTAGATTTGTGGGACATTCCACTGCCTGATGACCCAAGCCCTGAAGATGAGCCCAATCCACCTGGTGTAGAACCTGGAGTTGATGGGGTGGTAGGAGGACTCTGGAAAAGTCACACAGAAACATAAATACTGACCCCTGTGAGAGAAGTGATCCCTGAGTGGGTTACTGATACTGACCACTGTGAGAGAAGTGATCCCTGAGTGGGTTACTGATACTGACCCCTGTTGGAGAAGTGATCCCTGAGTGGGTTACTGATACTGACCACTGTGAGAGAAGTGATCCCTGAGTGGGTTACTGATACTGACCACTGTGAGAGAAGTGATCCCTGAGTGGGTTACTGATACTGACCCCTGTTGAAGAAGTGATCCCTGAGTGGGTTACTGATACTGACCCCTGTTGGAGAAGTGATCCCTGAGTGGGTTACTGATACTGTCCCCTGTGAGAGAAGTGATCCCCGAGTGGGTTACTGATACTGACCACTGTGAGAGAAGTGATCCCCGAGTGGGTTACTGATACTGACCCCTGTTGGAGAAGTGATCCCTGAGTGGGTTACTGATACTGTCCCCTGTGAGAGAAGTGATCCCCGAGTGGGTTACTGATACTGTCCCCTGTGAGAGAAGTGATCCCTGAATGGGTTACTGATACTGACCACTGTTGAAGAAGTGATTCCTGAGTGGGTTACTGATACTGACCCCTGTTGGAGAAGTGATCCCTGAGTGGGTTACTGATACTGTCCCCTGTGAGAGAAGTGATCCCCGAGTGGGTTACTGATACTGACCACTGTGAGAGAAGTGATCCCCGAGTGGGTTACTGATACTGACCCCTGTTGGAGAAGTGATCCCCGAGTGGGTTACTGATACTGACCCCTGTGAGAGAAGTGATCCCTGAGTGGGTTACTGATACTGACCCCTGTTGGAGAAGTGATCCCTGAGTGGGTTACTGATACTGACCCCTGTTGGAGAAGTGATCCCTGAGTGGGTTACTGATACTGACCACTGTGAGAGAAGTGATCCCGAGTGGTTACTGATACTGACCCACTGTTGAAGAAGTGACCACTGTGAGAGAAGTGATCCCTGAGTGGGTTACTGATACTGTCCCCTGTTGGAGAAGTGATCCCTGAGTGGGTTACTGATACTGACCCCTGTTGGAGAAGTGATCCCTGAGTGGGTTACTGATACTGACCACTGTAAGAGAAGTGATCCCTTAGTGTGTTACTGATACTGACCACTGTTGGAGAGGTGATCCCTTAGTGGGTTACTGATACTGACCACTGTTGAAGAAGTGATCCCTGAGTGGGTTACTGATACTGACCCCTGTTGGAGAAGTGATCCCCGAGTGGGTTACTGATACTGTCCCCTGATACTGACCCCTGTTGGAGAAGTGATCCCCGAGTGGGTTACTGATACTGTCCCCTGTGAGAGAAGTGATCCCTGAGTGGGTTACTGATACTGACCACTGTGAGAGAAGTGATCCCTGAGTGGGTTACTGATACTGACCACTGTGAGAGAAGTGACCCCTGATACTGACCACTGATACTGACCCCTGTTGGAGAAGTGATCCCTGAGTGGGTTACTGATACTGACCCCTGTTGGAGAAGTGATCCCTGAGTGGGTTACTGATACTGTCCCCTGTGAGAGAAGTGATCCCCGAGTGGGTTACTTATACTGACCACTGTGAGAGAAGTGATCCCTTAGTGTGTTACTGATACTGACCACTGTTGAAGAAGTGATCCCTGAGTGGGTTACTGATACTGACCCCTGTTGGAGAAGTGATCCCCGAGTGGGTTACTGATACTGACCACTGTGAGAGAAGTGATCCCTTAGCGGGTTACTGATACTGACCACTGTGAGAGATACTGACCACTGTGAGAGAAGTGATCCCTTAGTGGGTTACTGATACTGACCACTGTGAGAGAAGTGATCCCTGAGTGGGTTACCGATACTGACCCCTGTTGGAGAAGTGATCCATGAGTGGGTTACTGATACTGAGCCCTGTGAGAAAAGTGACCCCTGGGTGGGTTACTGATACTGACCCCTGTTGGAGAGGTGATCCCTGAGTGGGTTACTGATACTGACCCCTGTTGAAGAAGTGATCCCTGAGTGGGTTACTGATACTGACCCCTGTTGGAGAGGTGATCCCTTAGTGGGTTACTGATACTGACCCCTGTTGGAGAAGTGATCCCTGAGTGGGTTACTGATACTGACCCCTGTTGAAGAAGTGATCCCTGAGTGGGTTACTGATACTGACCCCTGTGAGAGGTGATCCCTGAGTGGGTTACTGATACTGACCCCTGTTGGAGAGGTGATCCCTGAGTGGGTTACTGATACTGACCCCTGTTGGAGAGGTGATCCCTGAGTGGGTTACTGATATTGACCCCTGTTTGAGAGGTGATCCCTGAGTGGGTTACTGATACTGACCCCTGTTGGAGAGGTGATCCCTGAGTGGGTTACTGATACTGACCCCTGTTGGAGAAGTGATCCCTGGGTGGTGACCAGGTCGTCCTAGAACACTTCCACTGCTAGAAGGGGAATGATCATGGTAGTTGATACAAACACTGGGAGTGTTTTTAGCCAGGGGGTCACTTGAGGCTGATCGTATATCCTGCTTCACTAGCAATGCCAGGTCCACTACCTGTCAATCAAACCAATAATGTTTTATCTATATCTTTTTATTCCGGTAATTTTGATCAGCCTCATTTCCAGTCTAGATCCACTCAGCCTTTAAGCAATGAATTGTCTCTCTATCAACTTGTAGAATGTTGTACTGACTCAAGAAAAGTCATCCTGAAATTTTTCATCATTGCAAATTCAAAGGAAAATTTTTTTCAATCTTTGACCTTATTCTTTATTACAATATGACCATGAGATTGTTACTTGAGAACACATGACCTTGACACTATAACCTGTATTACATGACCCCATGACCCTAACTTGGTTACTTGTATTGTAGGATTTAATAGCAGTTTTTTTTTTACATTGACCTTATAACCTGGTTTGTTGGATCATATCACATACACCTTTTATCCTGACCTCATTTTTTATTGTTGTATATTGACCTTGATCTAATTATCAGTGTTCTTTTTAATTCTGTACCCTTAAACTTTTAAGGGGTTTTGCCCACCAGTGTTTTGTAGGAGAGGTTTTTGTTACATAACTCTGGCACTTTTACCTGTGCAACTGTTTCATAGGAGAAGTAGGAGAGTATCTCAAGGGCTGGCAGGTTAGGTTTGATGTCAATGTTCACACCAGCCATCAGCCAGTCTTTAAATCTCTGGGACTTGTACTTTCTACCTGTCAGAACAAATAACTACAACATAAATCAAATTCAGACATAATTTATATTTCACAAGTACCACATATAAACACACAGGAGGTCCCGGAGGAATGTCACCATTGCTTGATCTTCATTTATTTCATACAAATTTGATCTTTTCTCTTCTTTTCTTTAGTTTTGCACTTAATTAAATCAAATTTGAAAATTTACCAATGAAATTGCAATAATGACTGCCTAAACAAAGATGACCACCTGTGAGCCATTCTTTTACTGTTAATCTGATCTGCCCCAAAATTAAAAGGGCACAACTAGGGACCATGGGGAAATTTTATATGATATTACATCCATCCAGTAGTACTTCTCAATACTTTTCAACATGACAATATCTGTGTAGGACCATGAAGGTAGGGTAATCTGAGTAGTCACTATCTGATAATGGTAATGGGCTAAAAACTATGATTCTTCTGTCACACATGAATTAACCACTAGAAGAAACACTTACTGAAGTTGATTTGTCTCGCCTCACAAAACTCCATGTAATGTTTCTGATCCATACCTCTTGACTGCAATTCTGCTCTCTAAAACAACATCAGCTTATGATTGATCCTATTCTATTTTGTTTTTATCCACAACTAGCAACGTTATCTATAAATGGTCAATCTGCATAACCAACATATCTGTCAAAGGTCCATGTCTACAAGAACATACCAAATGGCTAAGTTTACAAGAAACCTATCTACATGAGGAAAATATTTTCCCCTTCTGGTTTTAAATATTTTTAAGTTTCTGATCTTGATCATTACTTAACTGTTGAATACTTATACACATGCTGGTAAGCTCAATGGTTGAAGTACAAAATGTTTAAACACAAGCTCCAAGCAAAGGAGCTCCCTTGATAAATCAATCTTCTAGTATGTTTAAACACAAGCTCCCAGCTAAGGAGCTCCCTCGATACACCAACGTTCTAGTATGTTTAAACACAAGCTCCCAGCTAAGGAGCTCCCTTGATACATCAACCTTCTAGTATGTTTAAACACAAGCTCCCAACAAAGGAACTCCTTTGATAAATCAATCTTCTAGTATGTTTAAACACAAGCTCCCAGCAAAGGAGCTCCCTTGATACACCAACCTTCTAGTATATTCAAACACAAGCTCCCAGCAAAGGAGTTCCCTTGATACATGAACATTCCAGTATGTTTAAACATAAGCTCCCAGCAAAGGAGCTCCCTTGATACATCAACCTTCTAGTATGTTTAAACACAAGCTCCCAGCAAAGGAGCTCCCTTGATACATCAACCATCTAGTATATTCAAACATATGCTTCCAGCAAAGCAGCTCCCTTGATAAATCAACCTTCTAGTATGTTAAACACAAGCTCCCAGCAAAGGAGCTCCCTTGGTACATCAACCTTCTAGTATGTTTAAACACAAGCTCCCAGCAAAGGAGCTCCCATGATACATCAACCTTCTAGTATGTTTAAACACAAGCTCCAATCAAAGGAGCTCCCTTGATACATGAATATTCTAGTATGTTTAAACATAAGCTCCCAGCAAAGGAGCTCCCTTGATACATAACCCTTCTAATATGTTTAAACACAAGCTTCCAACAAAGGAGCTCCCATGATACATCAACCTTCTATTATGTTTAAACACAAGCTCCCAGCAAAGGAGATCCCATGATACATCAACTTTCTATTATGTTTAAACACAAGCTCCCAGCAAAGGAGATCCCTTGATACATCAACCTTCTAATGTTTAAACACAAGCTCCCAGCAAAGGAAATCTCTTGATACATGAACTTACTAGTGAACTTATTTTGACATCCAATTTGAGCTTCTTTTGATAAAAAATCCTTCCTTCAGTAAGAATCATTTTCATGCTAACCCCCTGAAAAAACTCCTTTTCATACATAAGCTTCTTAGTGGAGCCTACTACTAGAGCTCTTTTTAAAACATAGGTCTCCAAGTAGAGCTCCTTCTTATACCTTAGCCTCCCAGTGGGGCTCTTTCTAATGCACAAACAACCTCTTAGTGGAGCTCCTTATATCTAAGCATTCCAGTGGAGCCCTTTCTAATATATAAACAACCTCCCAGTGGGGCTCCTTTTAATACATAAGCCTCCTGGAAGAGCTTCTTCTAATACATAAGCCTCCTGGAAAAGCTTTTTCTAATACATAAACCTCCTGGAAGAGTGTCTACTAATATGTAAGCCTCCAGGAAGAGCTCCTGATAAATAAGAATAAGCCTCTAAGTGGACTAATTTTGACATATATGTCTCTTTTCAGTGAGGCACATTTTGACATATAAGCCTCCTTGTGAAGCTCACACTCAGCACAAGAATCCTGGTTAAACCTGGAGCCTCTTTAATGTGAATTAAATTTGGTCATTATAACAATCATGGAAAGTCTCTAGTACTGTTTATTTCCAATCTGCACAACTTTAGCTTATATATAGGTACATTTATTTTTTAGGACGCATTTTCATGTGCCTCATCAGGAAATATATTCATCATGTTTGCTGTTCTACAATTTCTGAAGTGAAAGAGTGCAAGAAGTTTTTTGTACCAGCACAATGTCAGGTATCAGCCACATCCTGCTATTGCTGACGGTAGTGTAGCCATATGATTTCTGTGTGGTATTGATTTTTGGTGAAGACAATAGCTGGGAGTGTCTAGATAAACCTACGGTGACAAACTTTCCACATGCTCACCTTTCTTACTTCCAGGCATCTAGTCTCTATATCATATCAGACAATACTTTCATTTCAGATAAAAAATATGAACGTGTTTTCTACCAGCTAGCTGTCATTGTGTATGGTAAATAGCCTAGATATATCAGCAGTGGGTGTCATATTGTACAAATTAAGAAATCATTCCTAGTCAACAAAATCCCCACTTTGCTGCTTCATAGCACACATGCAGTTCCAAGCAGCAAAATGTCTGCAAAATATTTGCTGAATTGCAAATATGGATTTTGAAACAATCATGTCAGTTGTCCTCAACAAGTGGCGGTACAGGCCTTACTAGTCAAGTGACGAACATCAGAAGGGTTAGGCCAGTTTATGGAGAATCCATTCTGAACAAAACATTAATCCACTTGGTCAAGTCCCAGAATATTTCTACAACTCCAGGTGATGACACAATCTTAATCATTTAGGATTACACATCCCAATGATGTTTCAGACCAAATTTGGCTGAAATTTATACAGATGCTAAGGTGAGGTAGCACTTTAAAGCAAAAGGTTAGCTTAGCTCCTCATTTATTTGGGAAATGAATGTTCTAATCCAATGATACTTCTAATGAAATTGGGTTGAAATTCACTTAGGTATTAAGAATGGACAGCATTTTAAATCACAATGAAGGACTAGTACTATGATGAAATATCAGACTGAATTTAGACCTGGGGTTGGTTACGTTCAGTTCCCTGCTGAACTCTATAACATTACCTCTCACTACCCTAATGTGATTCCAGTGTTGAAAAAAGATTGCTGACAATTTTCTATTTATTTAGAGAACATAGAGCAATTTCATTTAAATAACATTATAACACCATTAAAACAAATCTCACCAGGAGCAACATTCCTACAACCTATTAATCTTACAGTCTTGATAGCTGTGTCAACTCACAGACTTGTAAATTTGAAGATTATTTAAATTGTAGCAATTACACCAATCTCCACCGTTACTAACAACAAAATGAAATATTTTATGAACACTAACTTATTGTGATTCCAAAAAATATAAAAAAGCATAGGAAATACTGCAAAGTCATAATGGTAAGTAAGATATACAGAGAATATATACACAGGGAGTATATACACAGGGAATATATACACAGGGAGTATATACACAGGGAATATATACACAGGGAATATAGACAGGACATCATGGTAAGTAAGATACACAGGAAATATATACACAGGGAATATATACACAGGGAATATAGACAGGACATCATGGTAAGTAAGATACACAGGGAATATATACACAGGGAGTATATACACAGGGAATATATACACAGGGAATATTGACAGGACATCATGGTAAGTAAGATACACAGGGAATATTGACAGGACATCATGGTAAGTAAGATACACAGGGAATATATACACAGGGAATATATACACAGGGAGTATATACACAGGGAATATATACACAGGGAATATTGACAGGACATCATGGTAAGTAAGATACACAGGGAATATATACACAGGGAATATTGACAGGACATCATGGTAAGTAAGATACACAGAGAATATTGACAGGACATCATGGTAAGTAAGATACACAGGGAATATTGACAGGACATCATGGTAAGTAAGATACACAGGGAATATTGACAGGACTTCATGGTAAGTAAGATACACAGGGAATATTGACAGGACATCATGGTAAGTAAGATACACAGGGAATATATACACAGGGAATATTGACAGGACATCATGGTAAGATATACACAGGAATATATACACAGAGAATATTGACAGGACATCATGGTAAGTAAGATACACAGAGAATATTGACAGGACATCGTGGTTATACACACAGGGAATATTGACAGGACTTCATGGTTATATACACAGGGAATATTGACAGGACATCATGGTAAGTAAGATATACAGAGAGTATTGACAGGACATCATGGTAAGTAAGATACACAGGGAATATTGACAGGACATCATGGTAAGTAAGATACACAGAGAATATTGACAGGACATCATGGTAAGTAAGATACACAGGGAATATTGACAGGACATCATGGTAAGTAAGATACACAGGGAATATTGACAGGACATCATGGTAAGTAAGATACACAGGCAGGACATCATGGTAAGTATACACAGAATATTGACAGGATACACAGGGAATATTGACAGGTAAGTAAGATACACAGGGAATATTGACAGGACATCATGGTAAGTAAGATACACAGGGAATATTGACAGGACATCATGGTAAGTAAGATACACAGGGAATATTGACAGGACATCATGGTTATATACACAGAGAATATTGACAGGACATCATGGTTATATACACAGAGAATATTGACAGGACATCATGGTAAGTAAGATACACAGAGAATATTGACAGGACATCATGGTAAGTAAGATACACAGGGAATATATACACAGGGAATATTGACAGGACATCATGGTAAGTAAGATACACAGGGAATACACAGGGAATATTGACAGGACATCGTGGTAAGTAATACACAGAGAATATTGACAGGACATCATGGTAAGTAAGATACACAGAGAATATTGACAGGACTTCTTGGTAAGTAAGATACACAGGGAATATTGACAGGACATCATGGTTATATACACAGAGAATATTGACAGGACATCATGGTAAGTAAGATACACAGAGAATATTGACAGGACATCATGGTAAGTAAGATACACAGGGAATATTGACAGGACATCATGGTAAGTATATAGAATATTATACACAAGAATATTGACAGGACATCATGGAATATTATATACACAGGGAATATTGACAGGACATCATGGTAAGTAAGATACACAGAGAATATTGACAGGACATCATGGTAAGTAAGATACACAGAGAATATTGACAGGACATCATGGTAAGTAAGATACACAGGGTGACAGGAAGTAAGATACACAGGGAATATTGACAGGACATCATGGTTATATACACAGAGAATATTGACAGGACATCATGGTAAGTAAGATACACAGAGAATATTGACAGGACATCATGGTTATATACACAGAGAATATTGACAGGACATCATGGTTATATAAACAGAGAATATTGACAGGACATCATGGTAAGTAAGATACACAGAGAATATTGACAGGACATCATGGTTATATACACAGGGAATATTGACAGGACATCATGGTTATATACACAGAGAATATTGACAGGACATCATGGTAAGTAAGATACACAGGGAATATTGACAGGACATCATGGTAAGTAAGATACACAGAGAATATTGACAGGACATCATGGTTATATACACAGAGAATATTGACAGGACATCATGGTAAGTAAGATACACAGAGAATATTGACAGGACATCATGGTTATATACACAGAGAATATTGACAGGACATCATGGTTATATACACAGAGAATATTGACAGGACATCATGGTAAGTAAGATACACAGAGAATATTGACAGGACATCATGGTAAGTAAGATACACAGGGAATATTGACAGGACATCATGGTAAGTAAGATACACAGAGAATATTGACAGGACATCATGGTTATATACACAGAGAATATTGACAGGACATCATGGTAAGTAAGATACACAGAGAATATTGACAGGACATCATGGTAAGTAAGATACACAGAGAATATTGACAGGACATCATGGTAAGTAAGATACACAGGGAATATTGACAGGACATCGTGGTTATATACACAGAGAATATTGACAGGACTTCATGATTATATACACAGGGAATATTGACAGGACATCGTGGTTATATACACAGAGAATATTGACAGGACATCATGGTAAGTAAGATACACAGAGAATATTGACAGGACACAGGGAATATTGACAGGACATCATGGTAAGTAAGATACACAGGGAATATTGACAGGACATCATGGTAAGTAAGATACACAGGGAATATATACACAGGGAATATTGACAGGACATCATGGTAAGTAAGATATACAGAGAGTATTGACAGGACATCATGGTAAGATACACAAGAATATTGACAGGACACAATATGACAGGACATCAGTAAGTAAGATACACAGGAGAATATTGACAGGACATCATGGTAAGTAAGATACACAGAATATTGACAGGACATCATGGTTATATACACAGGGAATATTGACAGGACATCATGGTAATACACAGGAATATTGACAGGACATCATGGTTATATACACAGAGAATATTGACAGGACATCATGGTTATATACACAGAGAATATTGACAGGACATCATGGTTATATACACAGAGAATATTGACAGGACATCATGGTAATTAAGATACACAGGGAATATTGACAGGACATCATTAAGTAAGATACACAGGGAATATTGACAGGACATCGTGGTTATATACACAGAGAATATTGACAGGACATCATGGTAAGTAAGATACACAGAGAATATTGACAGGACATCATGGTTATATACACAGAGAATAATACACAGAGAATATTGACAGGACATCATGGTAAGTAAGATATACAGAGAATATTGACAGGACATCATGGTTATATACACAGAGAATATTGACAGGACATCATGGTAAGTGAGATACACAGAGAATATTGACAGGACATCATGGTTATATACACAGAGAATATTGACAGGACATCATGGTAAGCAAGATACACAGAGAATATTGACAGGACATCATGGTTATATACACAGAGAATATTGACAGGACATCATGGTTACCGTAAATTTTCGCTTATAGTGTGCACTTTTTCATGCTAAAACTGTCGTGTCAAAAAGGGGGTGCACATTATACGCAGGAACATGCCATTCTTGGGGTTATCATTCCCGACTTCTGCGTCTGCCATATTGGATTACCTCCCTTCACTTAGTTATATGTAAAAGTCGTCGGTCATATATGATAGTTTGGAGATAAAAACATCAACAATAAAAAAATAAAATAAAATAAATTTCAAATGTTTTAATGATCAGCCATACAGACTAGCATTACAGTGAATCTATTTTTTTTTTTTTTTTTCGTTTCCCGTCATTCGAATAGTGACGGTCTTACTATCGGTCGGGGCTATATTAGTGTCTGAATTTCTGCCTCATTTTGATGATGTATCTGTGGAATTCAATGAGTCCGGAAGTTTTTGGGTGATTGTCGTTCTGTTCATAAATCGGACAACCCATCCCACCAATGCCCAAAGTTGGTGACCCCATGACCTCTCTTGATCTGCATGGCCCGCACGTGCAGATCTGTTGTACTGGCAGCGATGCCGGCATCTCGGCGATCGCATATGAAGTTGAACAGCTCTCTCTCCATCTCTGGGTGTTTCGCTGTCGCACCTATGTCAGCCCTTCTGGTCAGTGGTTGGGACTTCAGACGGTCCTGTTTTTTTCTTCCGTGCCTTGATATTTCACTCTGGAATGTCGAAGTGGCGACCGGCGGCACGAAACTTAAGTCTCTTGGTGTAGTCAATGGCGTTCGCTGTTTCCCCATGTCGAAGTCGGTGTAAACAATCTATAATTAAGTACCTTCGGATACCACGGTAGGTACAGATATGGGGACAAGGTATGAATGAAACTTTTCAGACAGTTAAAACAACATCGTTTTCTGAGCAATAGTACGCGTTCAGCTGAAGCCGGGTGTCATCAATCTCCTCCTACTCAACGTGTTTGGTACCTGTTAAGAACCGTTAATTATCCAATTAGCCAAGCCTTTCATGCTTGTTAAGTCAGGTACCGGAGTGAATTTGTTTACATAAGGTAATTAAATATGTTAGGGTCATGATGATTATGGTTTCCTAATTATCAATGAATCAAACCACAACTGTTTCATCGCGGTAACCAGTAATGAATTAATCTTTCTGTAGAAAATATTTTTTTTTTAAATCTGACCCCAAAAAAGTACCTGCGCACTATACCCGAGTGCGCACTATACCCGCAAATTTACGGTATATACACAGGCAATATTGACAGGACATCATGGTAAGTAAGATACACACAGAAAATTGACAGGACATCATGGTAAGTAAGATATACAGAGAATATTGACAGGACATCATGGTAAGTAAGATATACAGAGAATATTGACAGGACATCATGGTTATATACACAGAGAATATTGACAGGACATCATGGTAAGTAAGATACACAGAGAGTATTGACAGGACATCATGGTAAGTAAGATACACAGGGAATATTGACAGGACTTCATGGTTATATACACAGAGAATATTGACAGGACATCGTGGTTATATACACAGGGAAAATTGACAGGACATCATGGTTATATACACAGAGAATATTGACAGGACATCATGGTTATATACACAGAGAATATTGACAGGACATCATGGTTATATACACAGAGAATATTGACAGGACATCATGGTAAGTGATAGGACATCATGGTTATATACACAGGGAATATTGACAGGACATCATGGTTATATACACAGAGAATATTGACAGGACTTCTTGGTAAGTAAGATACACAGGGAATACTGATAGGACATCATGGTTATATACACAGGGAATATTGACAGGACATCATGGTTATATACACAGAGAATATTGACAGGACATCATGGTAAGTAAGATACACAGAGAATATTGACAGGACTTCATGGTAAGTAAGATATAAAGTGACTATATTAATAAAAGTTGTCTTACCACTAAGCGATCATGTTTGATGTCATCCACCTTATCATCATCAAACAACGCCACTAGCTCTCCTGATTGATCGATTGATGATAGGAAGTCATAACAAATTTTTCTTCGTTTTTTCATTGGCTGAATGACTTTGTCACCTGATGAAAACAAAGTATAATTATTTCTAAACTTATCTTCATAAATCACCTATACAACTGTACTTAACACCAGATTATCTTCCAGACACACTCTACAAATACCCACTAACCTATACTCCACCAAGATTATGGTCCAGACACACACTACAAATACCCACTAACCTATACTCCACCCAAGTTATGGTCCAGACACACACTACAAATACCCACTAACCTATACTCCACCAAGATTATGGTCCAGACACACTCTACAAATACCCACTAACCTAAACTCCACCCAGATTATCTTCCAGACACACTCTACAAATACCCACTAACCCTATACTCCACCCAGATTATCTTCCAGACACACTCTACAAATACCCACTAACCTATACTCCACCCAGATTATGGTCCAGACACACACTACAAATACCCACTAACCTATACTCCAGCCAGATTATCTTCCAGACACACTCTACAAATACCCACTAACCTATACTCCACCCAGATTATCTTCCAGACACACTCTACAAATACCCACTAACCTATACTCCACCAAGATTATCTTCCAGACACACTCTACAAATACCCACTAACCTATACTCCACCAAGATTATAGTCCAGACACACACTACAAATACCCACTAACCTATACTCCACCAAGATTATAGTCCAGACACACACTACAAATACCCACTAACCTATACTCCATCCAGATTATCTTCCAGACACACTCTACAAATAACCACTAACCTATACTCCACCAAGATTATAGTCCAGACACACACTACAAATACCCACTAACCTATACTCCACCAAGATTATAGTCCAGACACACACTACAAATACCCACTAACCTATACTCCATCCAGATTATCTTCCAGACACACTCTACAAATACCCACTAACCTATACTCCACCCAGATTATCTTCCAGACACACTCTACAAATACCCACTAACCTATACTCCACCCAGATTATGGTCCAGACACACTCTACAAATACCCACTAACCTATACTCCACCAAGATTATAGTCCAGACACACTCTACAATTACCCACTAACCTATACTCCACCCAGATTATGGTCCAGACACACTCTACAAATACCCACTAACCTATACTCCACCAAGATTATGGTCCAGACACACTCTACAAATACCCACTAACCTATACTCCACCAAGATTATGGTCCAGACACACACTACAAATACCCACTAACCTATACTCCATCCAGATTATCTTCCAGACACACTCTACAAATACCCACTAACCTATACTCCACCCAGATTATCTTCCAGACACACTCTACAAATACCCACTAACCTATACTCCACCCAGATTATCTTCCAGACACACTCTACAAATACCCACTAACCTATACTCCACCCAGATTATGGTCCAGACACACACTACAAATACCCACTAACCTATACTCCACCAAGATTATGGTCCAGACACACTCTACAAAAACCCATTAACTTATACTCCACCTAGAGTATGGTCCAGACACACTCTACAAATACCCACTAACCTATACTCCACCCAGATTATGGTCCAGACACACTCTACAAATACCCACTAACCTATACTCCACCCAGATTATGGTCCAGACACACACTACAAATAACCACTAACCTATACTCCACCCAGATTATCGTTCAGGCACACTGTTCACAGTCAGACATTTGTCAAATGTAGATGTCCCCATCTGTTTATACTTGATAACTCACCAGATTCAGTGCCATCCTCCTCCTCCAAACCACCACCCTTTAGTACTGTTGCCTTCATGTCCTTCAGGTCCAGATATCGCAGTAAACGAGCTAGCTTTACCTGTAACATATACTTCATTCTCAACCAATACAGTAATCCTATCAGAAATACCTTAGTTAATATCAGAAATACCCCTAACAATCCTATCAGAAATACCCCCATCATTCCTATCAGAAATACCCCCATCAATATCAGAAATACCCACATCAATATCAGAAATACCCCTAACAATCCTATCAGAAATACCCCCATCATTCCTATCAGAAATACCCCATCAATCCTATCAGAAATACCCCCATCAATCCTATCAGAAATACCCCCATCAATATCAGAAATACCCACATCAATATCAGAAATACCCCCATCAATCCTATCAGAAATACCCCCATGAATTCTATCAGAAATACCCACATCATTCCTATCAGAAATACCCCATCAATCCTATCAGAAATACCCCCATGAATCCTATCAGAAATACCCCCATCAATATCAGAAATACCCACATCAATATCAGATACCCCCACCAATCCTATCAGAAATACCCCCATCAATCCTATCAGAAATACCCCCATCAATCCTATCAGAAATACCCCCATGAATTCTATCAGAAATACCCCCATCAATCCTATCAGAAATACCCCCATGAATTCTATCAGAAATACCCACATCAATATCAGAAATACCCCCATCAATCCTATCAGAAATACCCCCATGAATTCTATCAGAAATACCCCAATTAATCCTATCAGAAATATCACAAAATGTATGTAGCATGTCTCTCTCCTTGTAATAGACCATCAAAATGTATGTAGCTTGTGTCTACCCTTGTAATAGACCATCAAAATGTATGTAGCATGTCTCTCTACTTGTAATAGACCATTAAAATGTATGTAGCTTGTGTCTACCCTTGAAATAGACCACCAAAATGTATGTAACATGTCTCTCTTCTTGTAATAGACCATCAAAATGTATGTAGCTTGTGTCTACCCTTGAAATAGACCACCAAAATGTATGTAGCATGTCTCTCTACTTGTAATAGACCATCAAAATGTATGTAGCTTGTGTCTACCCTTGAAATAGACCACCAAAATGTATGTAGCATGTCTCTCTACTTGTAATAGACCACCAAAATGTATGTAGCATGTCTCTCTACTTGTAATAGACCATTAAAATGTATGTAGCATGTCTCTCTACTTGTAATAGACCATTAAAATGTATGTATCTTGTGTCTACCCTTGAAATAGACCACCAAAATGTATGTAGCATGTCCCTATCCCTAAAACACACCACCAAAATGGCAAGTTATTCATATAAAGCATGTTATTCCATATAGGACCAGTGAGATCTGTACCTTGTCTTTCCTGAGCAGGAACAGAAGATCCTCCATCCCAATAAACCTAGCACTCCTCAAGGTCGCCACATCACACGCCTGATACAGCTACAACAGCAAAGGTCAAGGTCATTAGCACAGGATACTGTATCGGATGTTTACATAGGACTTCTGTATAGCTACCATGTAGGGACCTAAATATTCATGATTTTGGTAACACTGTGATATTCAAGTTTCTCCTCTAGATACATTTGCTGTTTATTGATATTGAATGACACTTAATCTGTTATATGGAACAGGTTGTAAGACATGTTTGATACTTTTGTGAGCCACTCCTTGAGCTTGATGTAAACAGTGACAGAAAATATGAACTGCAAGTGCAAAGATCTGAGTACAGAAACAGAAGAAAAAGATTTTGCAAGCTCCATTTCACACACCAAGTAAGACTCAGAGGAATCAACAGTATTTTGAAAAAATTCTGCCAAAAGGAAATATTGAAATAAGCCTAAAAGTAATAGGTGGAATTTGTTTATCATCAGAGACATTTGTGCCATTGTTAAATTGATAAAAAAAAAAGAATAACAGAAAAACATTATTTAATGACATAACTGATAGATTTGAAGACAGATGGAATAGAACTTCTTTAATACAAGGACTGTCGTAAGGAAGTTTCACCAGGACTGATATCCAAGACAGGTTGCTTAGAAGCAGATGGTGGTTTGAGACGTGAACAGAAGCAAATGGCCCATGGACCTAATAGGCCAAATAGGCCTCAAGTACTAAACTACTCTATAGTTTACAGAAAAGAAATTGTCACTGCATAAGGTCATTTTCTGCAATCTTAAAATACTGTTCATATATATACTACTACACAAACACCATGACCCCAAACCTCTTGCTTCCTGAAAAAAGAAATTTTATGATCGCAACACATTTGACCCCAGAGACATTGAAAAAAGGTCAAAGTCAATCATTTGAATAAATCTGGTAGTCCTTAATCCAATTATCTTAAAGCACCAATATCAACAGCCTGGGCCTTTAGGCTATTGAGAAAAAGTCATTTAAATGCTTTAAAACCTTTGACCACTGTAATATTGAAATGGGTCACGATCAATCATATGTTCAGATGTGGAAGCCCTTCATCCTAGCATGCTACAGGCCCAATATCAGTAAACTTGGCTTTTTGTTATCAAGAAGAAGTTGACCAAAGGAAGTTACAGATATTAGTAAAGCTGAAGTAAGTAAACATGTAACCCCTGACACGAGATTTGAAGTTAAGGTTACCAATGTAAACAAAATGCTTCCATTTTGAAAAAGACGAATACTTGAAAATACAGTTACACATAGATAAGAGGAGGTCATTGATAAAAGTTATGTCATACAAGAGGTCCATAGGACCTGTATTGCTCTGCAACTTTGCTTAATCTTAACTTTATGGAAAGCATTTAAAAGATGTAGATCTATTTCCAATGAAGCCCTGCCCCTGTCCGATGGGAATCAGTTTCATTCACTCCTGGACGCTTTAGGACAAAATTAAATTGTTCCTTAAAAATAGTGAAAATTACAATGAATCTGCTGTATTTCCCCAATTGTGTGTCCCATCTTTCCTGTCCCTGGGGGCCTGACACCAACATTTTATGCTAAAACGATTCCCTTCGCCCAAGGATGCTTCAGACCAAATTGGGGCAAAATTATGAAATACCAACAGAAAAAAGAATCTGAAGAATTTGCTCTTTTTCCCACTCTATACCCATTGTTTATACAAAACTGATTCCTTTTCACCATGGATACTTTGGACCAAACTTGGGCAAATCCAATCATTCCTACTTGAGAAGTGGATTTAAAAGAATTTTCTTTACTTCCCCTTTTGGGCCCCGTTTCTCCTGCTCTAAAGAAAAAGATTGATTTTAAAGAAATTAATTAATTTTCCCACCATTGGGCACTGCATCACAGGCCCTAGAAGCAAAGACTCAACTGTTTGTTCAAAATTTGTTCCACTTCCCCAAAGGATGCTTTGGACCAAATTTGGTTAAAATCCACTCAGTCATTCATGACTAGTTGCGACTTATAAGAAAAGTTGACCAACAACAGATGGACGAAGGACAGCAGTCCACTTTGACTTTCTGGCCAGGTGAGCTAATAACATGACTTATACACAGTGATATAAAAAGAAAGTCCAAAGTCGTGGTTTTTAAGATCATAATCTATGAAATCTCCAGTGATTTTACAAAATGTCAAGGTCACAGAAACAAAGGTTGAACATCAGATGACTTTTAAAATATGTGATTTCAAGAGAACAAACACAACATTAACTATTACAGGACTTCACATCATGACAAAGTCACCACTTCAGAGACCTGAAATACCATGTCAAGGTCATTTCCTGTAATGTAGGACTCACCAGTGCTGACACCTGTTGGTGTACAATTTCTTCTACAAGAAGAGCTGTGTCATTGAGAGGTTTCCTACAGTCACCAAACCCATGCCTGAAAAATATAATATGTGTATTTAAACATCAAATTCATGCCTAAAAAACACAATCATACATGTATTTAACCATCAAAACTGATTCCTTAACAGGATTATTAATCAAAAATATGTGTGTGGTGTGTGTGAGGGTGTGTGTGTGTGCGTGCGTGCGTGCGTGCATGCGTGCATGTGTGTGGGCATCTTCCTTCACTCATTATACCAACCATATTTGAAATATTTCCAATGGAAATTAAACAAATTATGCTCAAAAATCTAGTTTTCCTATATAAACTATAAAAAAATTTACTCCCTTCCCCACAGGGAAATGTGAGACCCTGGGGGTATGAAATTCACAACTTTGGTCAAGCACCTTAAGATGATTCCATTCATGAAGTGTATTTGATTCTACCATACCTTGGTCTTGAGAAGAAGGTTTTTTTAATTTAAGTCCATTTGACCCCTTTTGGCCCAACCCATCAGCCCCTTGGTGTCAATCAGGATCAATATGGGCATACCATCAAGCTGTCACTCTTCAGTCATACTTCTAACCGTGTTTGAAATATCTCCAATGGAAATTGAACTAGTTATGCTCAAAATCTAGTCTTCCAATATAAACTATAGAAAATTTTACCCCCTCCCCATGGGGAAATGCGAGACTCTGGGGTCATGAATTTCACAATTTTTATAAAGCACCTTAAGATGCTTTCATTCATGAAGAGTATTTGATTCTACCATATCTGGTATATAGAGAAGAAGGTTTAATAAAAAAAAAAAAAAAAAAGTCAATTTGACTCCTTTTGGCCCCGCCCCTCATGCCCCTGGGAGAGGGAGAGGACTGTATAATTCACAAATTTAGTTCATATTAAGCCAGGGAAGGTTTCTGCTAAATTTCATTGAAATCAGATTAGGGATTTTTTGAGAAGAAGTCGAAAATGTTAAATTGTTTATAGACATACAACGTCAGATGAAGGTGATAAGAATAGGTCACAATGAGACTTTGTCATAGTGTTACTCCCTAGCCCTGTATCTAGATATCTTTATATCACATAGAGATACTCCCTAGCCCTGTATCTAGATATCTTTGTATTTATATAAAGATATTCCCTAGCCCTGTACCTAGATATCTTTATATTTATATACAGATACTCTCTAGCCCTGTATCTAGGTATCCTTATATAGAGATACTCCCTAGCCCTGTATCTAGATATCTTTATATAGAGATACTTCCTTGCTCTGTATCTAGATATCTTTATATTTATATAGCGATACTCTCTAGCCCTGTATCTAGGTATCTTTATATAGTGTTACTCCCTAGCCCTGTATCTAGGTATCTTTATATTTATATAGAGATACTCTCTAGCCCTGTATCTAGGTATCCTTATATAGAGATACTCCCTAGCCCTGTATCTAGATATCTTTATATAGAGATACTTCCTTGCTCTGTATCTAGGTATCTTTATATTTATATAGTGTTACTCCCTAGCCCTGTATCTAGATATCTATAGAATTGTATCTGGACACTCTCTAGCCCTGTATCTAGATATCTTTATATTTATAGTGTTACTCCCTAGCCCTGTATCCAGATATCTATAGAATTGTATCTGGACACTCTCTAGCCCTGTATCTAGATATCTTTATATAGAGATACTTCCTTGCTCTGTATCTAGATATCTTTATATTTATATACTGTTACTCCCTAGCCCTGTATCCAGATATCTATAGAATTGTATCTGGACACTCTCTAGCCCTGTATCTAGATATCTTTATATTTATAGTGTTACTCCCTAGCCCTGTATCCAGATATCTATAGAATTGTATCTGGACACTCTCTAGCCCTGTATCTAGATATCTTTATATTTATAGTGTTACTCCCTAGCCCTGTATCCAGATATCTATAGAATTGTATCTGGACACTCTCTAGCCCTGTATCTAGATATCTTATATATTTATATAGATATCTATAGAATTGTATCTGGACACTCTCTAGCCCTGTATCTAGATATCTTTATATTTATAGTGTTACTCCCTAGCCCTGTATCCAGATATCTATAGAATTGTATCTGGACACTCTCTAGCCCTGTATCTAGATATCTTTATATTTATAGTGTTACTCCCTAGCCCTGTATCCAGATATCTATAGAATTGTATCTGGACACTCTCTAGCCCTGTATCTAGATATCTTTATATTTATATAGTGTTACTCCCTAGCCCTGTATCTAGGTATCTTTATATTTATATAGAGATACTCTCTAGCCCTGTATCTAGGTATCCTTATATAGAGATATAGCCCTGTATCTATATCTTTATATAGAGATACTTCCTTGCTCTGTATCTAGGTATCTTTATATTTATATAGTGTTACTCCCTATCTATAGAATTGTATCTGGACACTCTCTAGCCCTGTATCTAGATATCTAGCCCTGTATCCAGATATCTTTAGAATTGTATCTGGACACTCTCTAGCCCTGTATCTAGATATCTTTATATAGAGATACTTCCTTGCTCTGTAGAAATCTTTATATTTATATAGTGTTATCTGTTATATAGAGATTACTTCCTTGCCCTGTATCTAGATATCTTTATATTATATAGTGTTACTCCCTAGCCCTGTATCCAGATATCTATAGAATTGTATCTGGACACTCTCTAGCCCTGTATCTAGATATCTTTATATTTATATAGTGTTACTCCCTAGCCCTGTATCCAGATATCTATAGAATTGTATCTGGACACTCTCTAGCCCTGTATCTAGATATCTTTATATTTATATTTATAGAATTGTTACTCCTCTAGCCCTGTATCTAGATATCTTTATATTTATAGTGATAGCCCTGTATCCAGATATCTATAGAATTGTATCTGGACACTCTCTAGCCCTGTATCTAGATATCTTTATATTTATATAGTGTTACTCCCTAGCCCTGTATCTAGATATCTATAGAATTGTATCTGGACACTCTCTAGCCCTGTATCTAGATATCTTTATATAGAGATACTTCCTTGCTCTGTATCTAGGTATCTTTATATAGAGATACTTCCTTGCTCTGTATCTAGGTATCTTTATATAGAGATACTTCCTTGCTCTGTATCTAGATATCTTTATATTTATATAGTGTTACTCCCTAGCCCTGTATCCAGATATCTATAGAATTGTATCTGGACACTCTCTAGCCCTGTATCTAGATATCTTTATATTTATATAGTGTTACTCCCTAGCCTGTATCCAGATATCTATAGAATTGTATCTGGACACTCTCTAGCCTTGTATCGTTTGCTATTCATTCATAAACTCCCTGGCCACTTACATGTTTTGAGATACTCCCTAACCTTTAAAGAAGTAATAAGGATACTCATTTAAGCCATTAACCTTGATACTCCCTGGTCAGGTAGCTGAATAAGATTGCAGTTCTGCCTTCAGATCGAGCCATTTCTCAGCCGTGTTTCTGATTAGAGCCACTCCCTAGCCCGGGAGTGTGTGTAGTAGCTGTAACACTCCCACACCTACAGACTGTAGCTACCACATAACAACAAGCAGTGTGCTACAAACCTAACTCAGCATTCACAACAGTGACCCGGGCCTCAAATCCCCACCCCTGGGGGAGGCCACCTTCCCACTTAAGTTGAGAGCTGTAGCAACATAGCACTGAAGACCCTGCAGAATGCAGTATGAAGAGAGAAGCTATGCTGCTGGAAACAGGAGACTGAACTGACCATTCCTTGTGGAGAATGGACACAAAGGTAAGACAACAGCCCCAACCAGCCAATCATCCCCTCACACATCCAATCACATGTTCACAGTAAATCACTACCTTCGACAGCCAATCATCCCCTCAGATGGTCTCTGTTACCTCCCATACCTGTGGTGGCTTGGGGTGGTGATATTTGCATTCCCACTCACCACCCACACACACTCACACAGCTGATCTGGGGCATTACTTACAACCCTATCAAATGACTGACATTGTCACCCACAAAGGCATCCCTTATGCGTGTAGTGTTGTAGCCGCAAAGTTTCATCAGCTATTGATCTGTTCTTTTCAACTTAGTTGAACAAACTTTTACCTTGAAGATGAGAAAGGTATTTCAATACCTATCATGGAAATCTAGTCCACTGTATTACAGTTGTCAGGTATATTATATTCAACAGGTGTATTACAGTAGTCAGGGGGATTAAAGGCACATGTTTATCACTGCAGACAGGTAGTCAGGTGTCTAACAGTAGACAGGTGTATACCAGTAGACAGGTATATTACAGTAGACAGGTGTGTTACAGTAGACAGGTGTATTACAGTAGTCAGGTGTCTAACAGTAGACTGGTGTACAATAGTAGACAGGTGTATTACAGTAGACAGGTGTCTAACAGTAGACTGGTGTACAATAGTAGACAGGTGTACTACAGTAGACAGGTGTCTAACAGTAGACAGGTGTACTACAGTAGACAGGTGTATAAAAGTAGACAGGTGCACAACAGTAGACAGGTGTACTACAGAAGACAGGTGTATTACAGTAGACAGGTACATGACAGTAGACTGGTGTACAGTAGTAGACAGGTGTATTACAGTAGACAGGTGTACTACAGTAGACAGGTATCTAACAGAAGAAAGGTGTATTACATTAGACAGGTGTATAAAAGTAGACGTGTACAACAGTAGACAGGTACATGACGGTAGACTGGTGTACAACAGTAGACAGGTGTTTTACAGTAGACAGGTGTATTACAGTAGACAGGTGTATAACAGTAGACAGGTGTGCAACAGTAGACAGGTGTCTAACAGTAGACAGGAAGATGACAGTAGACAGGTGTATTACAAATGACAGGTGTATTACAGTAGACAGGTTTATTACAGTAGACAGGTGTCTAACAGTAGACAGGTGTATTACAATAGACAGGAGTATAACAGTAGACAGGTGTATTACAGTTGAGAGGTGTATTACAGTAGACAGGTGCATTACAGTAGACAGGTGCATTACAGTACATGGATACAATACAATAGACAGGTGTACTACAGCAGACAGGTGTATTACAGTAGAAAGGTGTATTACAGTAGACAGGTGTATTACAGTAGACAGGTATATTACAGTAGACATATGTATTACAGTCGACAGGTGTCTAACAGTAGACAGGTGTATTACAATAGACAGGTGTCTAACAGTAGACAGGTGTATTACAATTGACAGGTATATTACAGTAGACAGGTGTATTACAATAGACAGGTGTATTACAGTAGACAGGTTATTACAGTTGACAGGTGTATTACAGTAGACAGGTGTATTACAGTAGACAGGTGTATTACAGTAGACAGGTACAGTAGAGTAGACAGGTGTATTACAGTAGACAGGTATATGACAGTAGACAGGTATATTACAGTAGACATATGTATTACAGTAGACAGGTGTCTAACAGTAGACAGGTGTATTACAATAGACAGGTGTCTAACAGTAGACAAGTGTATTACAATTGACAGGTATATTACAGTAGACAGGTGTATTACAATAGACAGGTGTATTACAGTAGACAGGTTATTACAGTTGACAGGTATATTACAGTTGACAGGTATATTACAGTAGACAGATGTATTACAGTAGACAGGTGTATTACAGTAGACAGGTACAGTAGAGTAGACAGGTGTATTACAGTAGACAGGTATATGACAGTAGACAGGTATATTACAGTAGACAGGTGTCTAACAGTAGACAGTTGTATAATTGTAGACAGGTGTATTACAATAGACAGGTGTCTAACAGTAGACAGGTGTATAATTGTAGACAGGTGTATTACAGCAGACATGTGTATTACAGTAGACAGGTGTATTACAGTAGACAGGAGTCTAACAGTAGACAGGTGTATAACAGTAGACAGGTACATTACAGTAGACAGGTGTACAACAGTAGACAGGTGTCTAACATTTATCAGATATATCACATTATTTTTATCTAGACACCAATTATTGGTAAAATTAATATAGTTTTATAGTGGCGGTGTTATTTTTTTTATAATAAATCGAACTCTATGGTTGAAAACAAATTGATATAAATGATGAAACTGAAATTTCACAAAACTTATGTCACTTTATTAATATTATAAATTGAATATTAAAAGAAGAATAAGCAATGACTGTCTCCAATAAATCAAATAACTAATAATAATAAATATTGCAAATAATTTCAATATGAGTTACTTCCCTTGCATCGCAATTCTGAAGCATATGGAAAGGATTTCATGTAATATAGACAATTTAACTAAACTAAGAATCTAACAGAGAATACTTCTACAGATATATTCTCCTTACCTAAGTTTCATAACAAAGAGAGATACGGAGCAGATGGAGTAAAGAGACCAACAAACGAAAAGAACAGAAAACATTACAGGCCAAGGGCATGAGAATAATTAAGATGTTTGAATTACCTCCCTTAGACTATTTATTTCTCAGAAGTTTATTTTGATGGTTAACTTCTTGTTCCGGTCTAACCACAGGACATATTAAAAGGACGGTTTCCTTGTGATAGCAATGCAAAATCACACACCCACAAACAGGCAGGAAAACATTCCACTTCACTGTGCCCCTACATCAGTCAGCCTTATATAGCAAACTACACCACATAGCAAATTGCAAGTTTGATTAGAAAATTGCAATAGTATTAAATAATACATAAATGCTACCCCTCCCCCATATGGTAGAGGGCATTTAAATAAGTTTCAAAGTGAAATCATTGTTAGAGCCCATTTACTGTAGCAAGATTATATCTTATTGGCCAATACAGAAGAATTCACTATCTGCAGCCACTCCTTCACAACAAACCAAGCATGCCCCGGTCACCTTTCACCTTATCACCATGTGATTACAAGCCTTTCAAAATGCAAATAAAAAACAAAACCTTAATACTAATAATGTAGTGGAACCAATAAAACACTAAGAACAGAACTATTTAAATGTTTAAATTCTGAAAGTAGAATCAAGGTGTGGATAGTAGTGGCGGGCAAAAACAGGAAAACCACAAATATTTGGATCAGGAGTACACATGAGAACACATTATATGACTGTGAGAGAAAGTCATTGTGCCTTCAACAGTTGGTGAACTGCTATTCAAAATTATCATCAATTTGTCATTTTCTGTTCGATTGGAAGCTTAAAAAAAATTATAACGCACAAACCAGGATGAGCACTTACTGTGAGATTCTGTTCTTTCCTTTTGAAATATTTTTGAATGTACATGTGAGTCTGATGGAGGTGGCCCCCATGTGGTAACTACAGTATAGGGATATATATCACCACAGTTACGGAGGCTGTGTCTCTGGTTTCAACACTCCCACTCCTGTGTAGGGCATCCCTCTGGATTTATACACCTGTTCTTCATACCTCTGATTCGTTACAGGTAAGTTAACTACTAAAAGCACTTTTAACTCATTTTCTGCACAATGCTGTGAGTTACCTCAAGTTTAATCTCATGCCAAACAACTATAACATACCTCTACATTAGTGAATCATAGGCTTTTCTTACATCAGGAAACCTGATATTAACAGTACACCATCATAACATGTTATTCACTTAAGTCTCCTTAGAATTAATTTATTCATATCATACTGGATTTATTATGGTCAACTTTAATAACTTTTTATACGACACAAGTAGTTCTCAAACTTTTTCATTTAACTGACATAAAACTGGCCATCCCACTCCAGACATCTGTGGTCACAAATGTTTTGATTCTGTTTATTACATAACTCCTTACCAACATACAGTCTTGCTGATCTAGCAATTATACTAACTTTAATAATAGGGGATACATTTGTATATGTTGTAAATTGTTTAAAACAGAGAATATGTTTATATTTCTTATAAATTGTTTAAAACAGAGAATATGTTTATATTTCTTATAAATTGTTTAAAACAGAGAATATGTTTATATTTCTTATAAATTGTTTAAAACAGATAACATATTTTATATTTGTTATAAATTATTTAATAAAGGAGATAAGTTTTATATTTGTTATAAATTATTTAATAAAGGAGATAAGTTTTATATTTGTTATAAATTATTTAATAAAGGAGATAAGTTTTATATTTGTTATAAATTATTTAATAAAGGAGATAAGTTTTATATTTGTTATAAATTATTTAATAAAGGAGATAAGTTTTATATTTGTTATAAATTATTTAATAAAGGAGATAGGTTTTTTATTTGTTATAAATTATTTCATACAATTTTTTAATACATAGGATATATTTTCATATTTCTTATTTATTGTTTAATACAGAGAATATTTTTATCTTTTCCATATGTTTAATAAAGATACAATTTATATCTTTAATATAATGTTTTATATAGGAAATGAGATTTATATTTGTTATATGTCTAGATATATTTTGCACTTGTAATATATTGCTTGATAAAGAGACTATTTTTATATTTGTAACAAAATGTTTAATACAGGAGATGAGATTTATATTTATTATACATTGTTTAAAACATGGGTAATTTTTCTATTTGTTATATATTTCTTAATACAAAGGATATTATTGAACACTTTATTTAACACTTGTATATATTGTTTAATACAGAAAATATAATTTACATTTGTAATATACTGTTTAAAACAGAAGATATATTTACATTTGTAATATATTGTTTAAAACAGAGGATATATCTACATTTGTAATATATTGTTTAAAACAGAGGATATATCTACATTTGTAATATATTGTTTAAAACAGAAGATATATCTACATTTGTAATATATTGTTTAAAACAGAAGATATATCTACATTTGTAATATATTGTTTAAAACAGAGGATATATCTACATTTGTAATATATTGTTTAAAACAGAAGATAAAATTCACATTTGTAATATATTGTTTAATACAAAGGATATATTTACATTTGTAATATATTGTTTAATAATATATTGTTTAATACAGAAGGTATAATTACATTTGTAATATATTGTTTAATACAAAGGATATATTTACATTTGTAATATATTGTTTAAAACAGAAGGTATAATCACATTTGTAATATATTGTTTAATACAGAAAACAGAATTTACTTTTGTAATATACTGTTTAAAACAGAAGGTATAATTACATTTGTAATATATTGTTTAATACAAAGGATATATTTACATTTGTAATATATTGTTTAATACAGAGGATATAAGATATTTGTTACATTTTCAGTGTTGTCAACATGTGTTAAATGGATATTAAACCTTACAGATAAAACACATACAATTCTAGTTCTAAAACATTTTTGTGATTTTTGTTTTCATTTTGATTTGTTTTTTTTTTCTGTTGTATTTTCACATTAGATATTTACCTAGTTATAGATCTGATAACACAAAGTCCACCAGTTGATACATATTATTCACATCTTTACTTCTATGGCTCCCTTTATTTGGTATATGTATTTCTGTGTCTTTAAATAACATTTTTTTCATTGTTAACAAAATAACATTATCTGCTTAAAACTGAATTAAAAGGTAAAATAGAATTATCCAATTTTATGCATCAAAATCTATTGATCTCCCTGCTTTTTGCATAAGAAGCTAGCACACAAATACTGAACTGCTGACTCAGCTATCAGGAGTGTGGTAACCATGAATACAGGCGTCATGTTGATATCATGTGACCAGTATGTTTCTAAAGGGTAACATACCAAACTGGTATCATGTGACCAGTACAATTGTCAGGGGTAACATACTACACTGTTAACATGTGACCAGTGTGGTTGTCAGGGTAACATACTACACTGTTAACATGTGACCAGTGTGGTTGTCAGGGTAACATACTACACTGTTAACATGTGACCAGTGTGGTTGTCAGGGTAACATACTACACTGTTAACATGTGACCAGTGTGTTTGTCAGGGAAATAATAAATCACAAGAAAGTATGGCTGTCAGGGGTAACATCACGTGACCAATACTGTTGGCAGTGTAACATATCAAACTGGTATCATGTGACCAGCATGGTTGTCAGGGTATCAAACCATACTAATATCATGTGATATATATGGTTATCAGGGGTAAATACAACATTGGTATCATGTGACCATACTGTAAAAAATGTGAATCCTATACTCATAGAGTTTCTGGAAATACTTCAATTTTACATTGTATGACCCAAAGTTTTCAGCAAAGGACTTGTGAAACTTATGAACAGTAATTAGGTTCTAGAAATGTTGCTTAGATCATCACCAGCAGCATCAGTGATTCAGAAAAACCCCTGTCTACAGATAATGGACGATTCACCTCTATAACTCCAGTCTTCAGTAACTATTTAAAGTTTTCGGTAAGAATTGTATCTGTCTACAGAACAATGATTCACCTCTATAACTCCAGTCTTCAGTAACTATTTAAAGTTTTCGGTAAGAATTGTATCTGTCTACAGAACAATGATTCACCTCTATAACTCCAGTCTTCAGTAACTATTTAAAGTTTTCAGTAAGAATTGTATCTGTCTACAGAACAATGATTCACCTCTGTAACTCCAGTCTTCAGTAACTATTTAAAGTTTTCAGTAAGAATTGTTTCTGTCTACAGAACAATGATTCACCTCTATAACTCCAGTCTTCAGTAACTATTTAAAGTTTTCGGTAAGAATTGTTTCTGTCTACAGAACAATGATTCACCCTATAACTCCAGTCTTCAGTAACTATTTAAAGTTTTCAGTCTTACAGAACAATGTAACTCCAGTCTTCAGTAACTATTTAAAGTTTTCGATAAGAATTGTATCTGTCTACAGAACAATGATTCACCTCTATAACTCCAGTCTTCAGTAACTATTTAAAGTTTTCGGTAAGAATTGTATCTGTCTACAGAACAATGATTCACCTCTATAACTCCAGTCTTCAGTAACTATTTAAAGTTTTCGGTAAGAATTGTATCTGTCTACAGAACAATGATTCACCTCTATAACTCCAGTCTTCAGTAACTATTTAAGGTTTTCGGTAAGAATTGTTTCTGTCTACAGAACAATGATTCACCTCTGTAACTCGAGGTTTCAGTAACTATTTAAGGTTTTTGGTAAGAATTGTTTCTGTCTACAGAACAATGATTCACCTCTGTAACTCGAGGTTTCAGTAACTATTTAAAGTTTTCGGTAAGAATTGTTTCTGTCTACAGAACAATGATTCACCTCTGTAACTCGAGGTTTCAGTAACTATTTAAAGTTTTCAGTAAGAATTGTTTCTGTCTACAGAACAATGATTCACCTCTGTAACTCGAGGTTTCAGTAACTATTTAAGGTTTTTGGTAAGAATTGTTTCTGTCTACAGAACAATGATTCACCTCTATAACTCCAGTCTTCAGTAACTATTTAAGGTTTTTGGTAAGAATTGTTTCTGTCTACAGAACAATGATTCACCTCTGTAACTCGAGGTTTCAGTAACTATTTAAGGTTTTTGGTAAGAATTGTTTCTGTCTACAGAACAATGATTCACCTCTGTAACTCGAGGTTTCAGTAACTATTTAAGGTTTTTGGTAAGAATTGTTTCTGTCTACAGAACAATGATTCACCTCTGTAACTCGAGGTTTCAGTAACTATTTAAGGTTTTTGGTAAGAATTGTTTCTGTCTACAGAACAATGATTCACCTCTGTAACTCGAGGTTTCAGTAACTATTTAAAGTTTTGATTTGTTCTCCTCCTGTGGCATATCATTACCTAATACAACTCTCTGTATATAATGAGGACAGGTGTTCCTCAGGTGACATCTCTCTGGTTCTCACTAAAACTACATGACACATGATGTTAACCTTAAATCAACATCATCAGGCAACAACTTCTGGTAGCCGGATTGGACTTCTTTTTATTTCATCTCTTTCTGTATAGAAACGGTTCAGACTGAGATTACATCAACCAAACATTACAACCAGATCAATTGTCAACATCTTTTTAAAATCTTACCATTTACATGCTTTTATTTATCTGAACAGTTTTTAATCTTAATATATACATGAGTTCATTTTCACAGAAGGTCATTCATGAATTCATTTGACACCCAATTCTACTTTGCCTTAAAATCAGATATACAAATCTGTAATGATATGATAACAAACACCTACGACAGATATTGGAAGCACAATGAAAGATTCATCATTTGTTCGATGTCAAATTGCACAGGAAAGAGAAGCATTGATCAAATGTAGTCATAATAGTAGTTACACCCCCACACTGACAACAATCAGCCTCTGGTCATTTTAATTGGTCTCGTCTTTATTCCTTAACTCGACTCACAGGGATGTGGTGCCTATACAGTCTGTGGTATATGTACAGTCTGTGGTATATATACAGACTGTGGTATATAAACAGACTATGGTATATGTACAGACTGTGGTATATATACAGACTGAGGTATATGTACAGACTGTGGTAT